AGCCCCGCAGCGGCCCGGCGCACACCACTGCGAACGCAGCACTCACGCGCCACAAGATGTCCCGCGACCCGCCGGCGCAGGGCCAACTCGCAACCGTGGCCATGGTGGCCCCCGGTCTGAGGGGAGCGGGATACAGCCAGCCCGCCCGCCTCCCTGGTTCAAAGGGAGGGAGGCCCCAGGAGGACCCGGTCGGGGCTGCCCCAAACGGTGCCTGAGCGAAGCCCGGCCCAGGACCCAACCCGTTTCTCCGAGATTTCGTCTGGACACGCCTAGGAGGCCAGAATTCCCCCGGAGATAAGCGTCCCAAGGGGGCCCGGGACACCAAAAGTCGCCCTCGGGAATCAAAAAGGTCCCTCCGAAGCAAAGTCCGGCGAGGCACCAAAAATTGGGGGCGGTGCTGCTGCATGCTGGGAACTGTAGGCTCCACCGCCTCTGGAAGCAAGGCGAGCGTTGCATTCTGGGACTCGGAGTTCCAAAGTACAGCATGCTGGGAGACGAAGTCTTCTTGACGGTATCTCGTGGCATGCTGGGAATCAGTCTGTTATAAGACATACTAGAGTCCCGTTGCAGACATTTGTGCCTGTTTTGTAATGTTAAGTTACTAAAATAATACATCTTGCTATAAAGTATTACTAGGAGATCAAATGATCAGGTAACATTTATTGTTATTTTCTATAAATAAACACAATCTCTGGTATGCTAAAGTGAAAGGTATTATAGAAATACTCAGATAGGGTTTGATTACAAGTTAATCAAATTTATTACTTAAATCCAAATTTATTACTTAAAAAAAAAAATAAGCAGGGCTGAAACAGGTTTGGCTCAGTGGATAGAGCATTGGCCTGCGGACCGAAGGGTCCCAGGTTCGATTCCAGTGGGGAGCATGTGCCTTGGTCACTGGCATATTTCTGGCTCTCTATCCCTCTCCCTTCCTCTCTGTAGAAAATCAATAAAATATATATATTTTTTAATTATTGAAAAAAAAAAAAAGCAGGGAGCCAACTAGAAACTGAATCAAATATAAGCCCTTGAAGGGCAAATGTAATTTGGATAAGCTACATGCCCTTGACTGGAATCGAACCTGGGCCCTTCAGTCCGCAGGCTGACGCGCTATCCACTGAGCCAAACCCGTTAGGGCCAATCTGACATTCTTTCCTTTATAAGTGAATTTGTCTTTTAGTCTGGATGCCCCCAATATTTTTCTTCAAAATCTATTTCATAATTTTATTATATTACGAGAGGCCTGGTGCACAAAATCCATTCACTCTGGGGGTGCCTCAGCCTGGCCTGTGCCCTCTTGCAGTCAAGGAGCCCTGGGGAGATGGGGAGGAAGAGGATGTCTGACTGCCACAGAGGCAGGAGAGGCTCCTGCCACCACCGCTACTGAGCCTGGCTTCTGGCTGAGCAGCACTCCCACTATGGGAGTGCACTGACCACCTGGGCAGCTACTGCATTGAGCATCTGCCCCCTGGTGGTCAGTGCGTATCATAGCAACCACTTGGTCAATTTGCAATATTAGCCTTTTATTATATAGGATGTCACAATGTTGATCTTCTGGATTGAGTTCCCAGGTATGGGGTATATTCTTGCTATAAGAAGTTACAAATCTTATTAATTTTTTTCAATAAATATTTATTATTATAGTATTTTTTAATTTATTCTTTTTTATCTTGAAGGACATGTACAATATACCTTTAGAACTTTTTGGCCTATCATCTATATTTGTCATTTTCTCTCTGATTTCTCTTGATTCATTCTGGAATTAAATTTTTTCCTTCTTTTCATTTATTCCCTTAAGGTAGGGGTGTCGAACTCAATCAGAGAAGGGGCCAAAATCTAAAATCCAGCCTAAATCGCGGGCCGAATGGTTTACTGAACAGTCATAAACTGTCATTGTGATGGAAACGCAGCGGAGTGCAGTGATGATAGCGCGGTGCGGGCCACATTGCAAGGCCTGGCGGGACGGATTTGGCCCTCGGGCCTTGTGTTTGACACATGTGCCTTAAGGTATTATGTTGTGAAAAACCTTATTACTATGATATTCCTTCTGGTTCAGTCTTCATTTGTGAAATAAGTTTTCTTTTCTTTACAAATCTTTCCTGAGTTTTACTACCTAATTTCTGTTAATTCTGATTTGTGCTTTTCTTTTACATCTTATAATATTTCCTTAATTTACTTTAGCTCATTTTAATATATTGTTATTGTTTTTATCTGGTTTTGTGTACATGTCTGTCTGGAATGCTTTCATTAATTAGGAATGTTAATCTGCTCCTTATTCTATTTTGTTTAAAAAGTTTTTATTGGTTTTTAGAGAGGAGGGGAGAGGGATATAAATAGAAACATCATGGCTCAGCTGCCTCTTGCACATCTCCTACTGGGGATTGAGTCTGAAGCCCGGGCATGTGCCCTGACCAGGAATTGAACCATGATGTTTTGATTCATAGGTTGATGCTCAACCACTGAGCCACCAGCTGGGCTCTCAGTTTTTTATAACTTCATTATGAGGTTTGGCTTCAATCCTTTCGGTTGCTCTTTTTCACATGAAATTAATTTTCCTGCACATTTGGGGGGTGGGGGAGGTGCAGAGATGTGAGTCAGGATAGCTATGCTAAATTCAAAGCTCTTTCTGTTGTTTTATGAAATGTTCAAAAATATGGCTTCAGATATTCTGAAATATCCTGGCTCTGTTCCCCACCCCCACTCTCATCTGGACTTCCCTTTTCTTTGCACAGATATCTGCCAGGAACAGAAACCTAACATTGTCACTGGAGATAAAATGTAAAAAGAGCTAGCTGACCTTGATTGTTCTGAATGGTCAGAGCTATTAACTCATTGTCTAGTTGAGATAGTGGTGCTTGAGGCAACTTTAATTTGTTAATCATATGTAAATATAAGTTGATTTTCTGTTGTTGGAACTTCCCCCTTAAGAGATGTCTCAATAAAAGCAATGGTAAAAGGCCAGAGAACTGTTAGTCTTCCCACTAGAGGTAGACTTCCCGCCTGGCCCCCATTTTCCCAAATTAACTCTTTTCCAGTCTCTTCATTTTAGTGTGCAGCCTTCTCCAGAAACCGGACCCTGAGTGGGCCCTGAACCACGAGGGTCGTCTTAAAGGCACATGTGTCAAACACAAGGCCCGCGGGCCAAATCCGTCCCGCCAGGCCTTGCAATGTGGCCCGCACTGCGCTGTCATCACTGCACTCCGCTGCGTTTCCATCACAATAACAGTTTATGACTGTTCAGTAAACCATTCGGCCCGCGATTTAGGCTGGATTTTAGATTTTGGCCCCTTCTCTGATTGAGTTCGACACCCCTATTAAGGGATCCCACAGATATCCATGGCCTACACTACTTGTATTCTGTTCCCTGCATTTTTGACTCTGGTATCCTAGAAAGATATTTTGTCTGGTTTTGAGAGGTCACAGGACCTGGGCTGCTCCAGCTTCTTCAGACCTTACTTTGGACCCCTTGCACTCATCAGCTGCCAACTGGATTGTTTAAAGCTTCCCCCACCCCACCCCAGTAACCAGCTGCTGTTCTATTGGCCCTCTGTACTTTCCAGGGAGTACTTTCTGGCTATTTTGAGATTCTCTTATTTTTAAATTTCTCAGACACCCTGTTGCTTCCCTCTGCTTCTTTGCACAAAAACGTTGACTCCACATACCGTATTTTTCGGACCATAAGACGCACTTTTTTCCCCCCCCAGAAGTGGGGGGGAAAAGTCCCTGCGTCTTATGGTCCAAATATAGCCTACACATATACTTTAAAAAAAAAGTTTTTTTACTTGCCCGGCTCTGTGTGGTCCCTGTGTGCTTGCCCGGCTCTAAAATGGTTCTAAATGCTGCTGTTTACTTTACAGGGTTGATTACATGTGTTTATGACTGTGATGTTGGGTTTTAATGCACATAAAATATTTTAGGACACTATTTGTTTCAGAATCTTTTTTTCTTCATTTCCCTTCTCTAAAAACTGGTGTGTCTTATTGTCCGGAGCGTCTTATGGTCTGAAAAATACGGTAAGTCTTCAGACTGACAGTGGTCTCCACCTACTTGAGTTCTGGGAGTTGTGGTGATACCGTGTTATCGGTTCAATTGTAGATGTTGTCCGTAGGTTTGCCAAGGTGATCTTAAGCTCTCCATTGCCTCAATTTGTGTACATCTTCCTTTATCTGCTGGTCAGACTTTAAGTCCAATGTATCTTTGTACCCTACTCACAAAAATGTAGGGAACTCCTGTCCTGAAGAGAACAACAAAAGCAGGAGGGAATTGGCAATCCTGACCGGGCAGAAGCTCAGCCTCCTGGATGGTGTGCCTTTGAACATAAAGTATTAAAAAAATCTCTCTGAGGTGTCACTGGTGTTGCCCTTGAATGCACTCTAGCCAGGAAGTCATGCCACCTTGAAGGGATGCTCAAAGTGCCCTCAAAGAAATATCTAAAATATGCTGTAAGTGATCAAGTTCCTTAAGCCCACTATTCCATACTTACAGGAGGAAAATTCAGATGTTCAACTTAACCCCCATACTTCAGCAGCTAGCACTTTACCGGTAAGTCAAATTCTCGGCAGCCTCCAACATGCTAAAGACAAAATATCAAGGAAGAACTTGAGGTCAAAGTCAAGTGAAGACACAGATGTCATGTGAGGTATTTATTTTGCAACCATTAGGTTCAGTTGCCCAGGATCAGGTCACCAAAGACAAATTTCCAGGCGCCCAATGAATCCCAACCAAAGTTCACACTGTTTGGCCACTTTAGGATGGCAAGCATTTGGAGAGAAGAGGATCACCGCGGAAATCTGTACACAATTCAGGGAAAAGACCTCAGAAGTTAGGATGGATCCGTGCCAGGAATTAAGAGCATAGCTCCTGGGAGGCACATCACTTGACTGTGAGAAGCAAAAGGCAGGCACCTGAGCAGGCCTAACCCATCCCTTGTGCTTCATTCCAAACCAGCGCATAGTCACAATGATCACAGGCAAGGGAAAAGAAGAGCTGAAAGACACATGTGCTGAACAACTTTTAATTTTGTTTGTTAAATAGGTAATGAGGCTTCAGATGTTAGGGGTTGGTGCCATTCCGTCAGTTTTCCTGCTGGCTTTGGTGTCCAGGAGACCACATTCCAAAAAAGTTAAAAGAGAACTGAAAAACAAACAAACAATAAAACAAACATGTAAATTTCAAGATAAAGACTCCCTCATACAAAAAGGAGCTAAACTGTAGAAAAGCATCTACTTATGTTTAAAGATATGATTTCAACACCAGGCTGCTTTTCTTATACAAACTATATCACTGGAAAACCAAATGGTAGATAAAGGGAAGTGTTATAAATGAAGTATTCCAGTTAATAAACAAGGAAGAAAAGATAGAACTGAAATATCACCATTTTTGAAGCCCCTAATAAATTAATGGATCTAGGCATTGCTTAATAATGGCCACTCATACAAAAAAGAAAAAGATAATTAGGCATTTTGAGTTTATGGATAGAAGAATTTAACTTCACTTATCAAGTAGTCTTGCCTTCCCCTTTCTCCCCCCCAAAATAAAAAAATAAAAAAAAAACCCTGAATCTGATCAAATCTTTAGATACAACCACCAATCTGCAGAAAAAAAGATAGGGCAGCCGAGACTGGTTTGGCTCAGTGGATAGAGCATCGGCCTGCGGACTGAAAGGTCCCAGGTTCGATTCCAGTCAAGGGCATGTACCTTAGTTGCGGGCACATCCCCAGTGGGGGTGTGCAGGAGGCAGCTGATCAATGTCTCTCTCTCATCGACGTTTCTAACTCTCTATCCCTCTACCTTCCTCTCTGTAAAAAAAAATCAATAAAATAAATAAATAAAACAGATTATGATACTTAAAAAAAAAAAAGGATAGGGCAACATGATAGATAACACTAAATAATATAATCAGCAAAATCCAGATAGTGAGAAACTATCGAATAAACAATTCTTCAACAAATAAATGGCAAAGTGAAAAAGGAAGATGGAGTAGGATTCTATAATTTAAAGACATTTAAGAAATACATCAAACAACTTCATGAAATTCAAACACTGAATATATTTGATATTAAGGCGTTATAATTTTAAAAAATGTGACCATACTATTATGATAATGTTTTAAAGAGGATCTTTTATAGAGACAGAATTTAAATATTATGGATAAACTAATAGGATGTCTTACATTTGCTTCAAAATAATATGGGCAGAAAGAGGTGGGTGTATGGATTTTAAGAGATTGGCCAAGAGTTGACAACCATTGAAAGTGGGTGATGAGTATATGGAAAGTCAATATACTTCCGTGTTTCCCCGAAAATAAGACATCCTCCAAAAATAAGACCTAGCGCATGGAAAAATAAGACATCCCCTGAAAATAGGATCTAGCGCATCTTCGGGAGCAAAAACTAATATAAGACACTGTCTTATTTTCGGGGAAACAGGGTATTCAACCTATTTCTGTCTGTGTTTAAAATTTTCCACTAAATTAAATTTTTTAAAAAGAATAAGAAGTTATGTTGACCCAGGTTCTCCCAATTTACCTCAAAGAAAGGGAACAGAGAAGAACATTGAGAAAGAAATAGCCAAGGAACAGAAAGTGGATTCTCTGGGCAGGGACATTTCAGACACGGCATGGGAAGAATAAGAGAGGGAAGAAAACAGTGTTAGCCATGGTGTGAAGTCGTGCAGTTTAGAGCCTGTGTTATAGGGGATTAGAGCACTGAGTGAAAGCTGATTTAAGAATAAAAGAATTGATGTGTATAAACCTAGTTTAAAAAAAAAAAAAAAGGTGTGCAGCTTTGGCTTATGAAATAAGCAGTCCTGACGTGAGTGAGTGAAAGGATAACGGCATATAAACCTGTGTATAGATCAGGAGGTTTTAATGAAGTCCTTTGCTCTCCCCGCTCACACTGCAGTGTAAGTATCTGCTGGCTGCTCTCCTCTGGACAGACCCACTTGTCACCGCCCTGGGCAGGCAGCCCCGATCTGGATGAGGTCCTTCCCGTATTCCGTCCCTCAAGCCAAAGCAAGGCTTCCTAGGTGCAGCCTCCAGGCTTTTCCGGGGTTTGGGCTCAGAGGAGAAATGGCACTAGCCCTCTGGTGATAAGTGAAGGAAAGAAGGAAGCCAGATATTCAATGACTTATGCAGGGGTAGCCTCCCTAATTACAAGAAATGGGAGGTCCCCTGTGATCTGAGGTTTCAGGGAGAAAAGGGGTTAATGCTCTCCCAGTGATCCATTTCAGACCACGTCCTCTAATGCACAGATTTACCTGAGAAAGGTTATCTGAGAGATTAGAAGCCATACTTTTTCAGGGAAAGCGAGGAGTCCAGAGATTACGGTGGAGGGCACAGCCAGCTCATAAATCTGCAGTGCCTGGAGCTCCAGACAGCCCCTCTCACTGGCAAAGCGATCAATGCTTCTGCCAGGGAAGCTCCAAAGAAACTGTTCATCACTATCTCTTTTGGAGACTTGACACCCATTTGGAGGCACTGAGCAAAGCCCAGAGGTATCAAATCGGTGTAAATCAGGGCCCTGAGGGCCAGTCTCTTCTCAGATGCCAGCTTCTGACTCTTAAGGTTCACAGCAGCTGGGACACTCGGTCTGGAGCCTTCATAACCAAAATATGAGAAAGAAAGTGAAATCTCAGCTCAGGAGCAGGCCGAGAGAGCCCCACCAGGACCTCACCAGCGTGATGTCTGGTATTCTGACAAGGGGGAGATGAAGCACCTGTTATCACTGTACTGTCCACCTCTGTCCTCTCCAGCTGGGCTCAGATTTTCTTGTTCTCCGTGATATGGTATCACTGTGCCTCAATGAACAACCTATATGTTCACTTTCAAAAAAGCCATGGGAAGCTGATTACTCTTTTCAGAACAATGGGTAACTGATTACTCCTGCTCGTTCAGGACTCAGTTCAAACAAGTCCCCTTCTCTGATGTACAAAACAGGTGTAATGAGATAGCGAGGTGGGCTGGAAGGGAAGGAATGTTTCAGACATCTGTGCAAAGGCGTGATGTGGCTGGCAATGGCAAGAAGTTCAGCATGGCTCAGGCCTTGGAATACTGACAAGGTAGAACAGGGAGGCTGGAACAGCCATGGAGGAATTGACATTTTTCCTACACTCTACCCATTAAGCTAACCACTGACAGTGGAATCATCAGAGGTCCAGAGAACAGAGCATGCACAAGAATTTGTAAGCTCTGGAGAACCCTATATAGAAAAGGCTAATATGGAAAGTGTCCCCTCCAGAGTTTGACCAGGGACCAGGAGTTTGATCACTCACTATGACATGCACTGACCACCAGGGGTGACGCAGAACAAAGGAAGGCCCCAGCTGGTAGCCAGCAAAGGAAGGCCTTCACTGGTGGCTGGTGGCTGGCAGCCGGGAAGAAAGAACCCACTGGCCCTGATTGCTGGCCAGGCCTAGGGACCCTAGCAGTGCACAGATTTTGTGCACCAGGCCTCTAGAGTAGGGGTGTCGAACTCAATCAGAGAAAGGGCCAAAATCTAAAATCCAGCCTAAATCGTGGGCCGAATGGTTTACTGAACAGTCATAAACTGTCATTGTGATGGAAACGCAGTGGAGTGCAGTGATGACAGCGCGGTGCGGGCCACATTGCAAGGCCTGGCGGGACGGATTTGGCCCGCGGGCCTTGTGTTTGACACATGTGCTCTAGAGAGTAATTTAAAAATGTCACACTTGCCGAGACCGGTTTGGCTCAATGGATAGAGTGTCGGCTTGGGGACTGAAGGGTCCCAGGTTCGATTCCGGTCAAGGGCATGTACCTTGGTTGCGGGCATATCCCCGGTGGGGGGTGTGCAAGAGGCAGCTGATCGATGACTCTCTCTCTCATCGATGTTTCTAACTCTCTATCTCTCCCTTCCTCTCTGTACAAAATCAATAAAATATATTTAAAAAATAAATAAATAAATAAAAATAAATAAAAATGTCACACTCAGAGTCTGAGCCCATGTTGAGAAATCACAGGGAAACTAGGAAAAAGCCACCCAGGACTGTACCCAAATGGAACAAACCTGTACTGTGCTGCTGGGAAGGCAGTAGAGAATAGAGGGGATGCTGGGGCCAAAAGGCAGGAGCTCTTCTAGAAAAATCTAAGATCCTGCATTTCCCAAATCACATGGATTTCACAAATGGAGACTTCAGCAAGAGAGACATGCACGTACACACACGCCACACTAAACTGTGCAAGAAGAGGAACAGGCCTGACCCTCTCTGTTTTATGCTAACAGAACTGATGCACCTGCCCATTTTTTTACTGTATCACACAACAAGAAGATAAAAATATAACCTCTTACTTCCTCTTCAGCTGGACTTGGCTGCTGTAACTGTTTGGTTTGGGACAACTGCAGTTGTTGGAAGATGGTCCACCTCTGGTGCATCAAAAAAGTATGCCTGCAGAAAAAGAAGACCCATAGGGGAGTTACAAAACAGAGCAGTAAAGACTCCAGGCGAACAGTACTGCTGGGTTCTCATGGCCCATTTCCCTGTAACATATTGGTCTTCACACTGAACTACAATATCTCTGCTTCTTTCTTCTCACTTATTTGACTATTAGTGCCTTTTGAAAATTCCGTTACCATTTATTGAGCATTTACTACAAAAAACTTAATCTTCATAACAGCCCTCATTTAACGGATGAAGAAGCTGAGGTTCGGAGGGGTGCATATGGGGAAGCCAGGACTCAAAGGAGGCTCCTTCGAACTCCAAAGCTCCAGTCTCTCCTCCAAAGACTGCATCCTTCTTGTCTCTGTGTCATCAGCCCCTCACTACTACTCAGTGAACTAAACTACGGTAGACTGCTGCTAATGCTAGGCAGGCCGTACCTCATCATTCTTCATCTAGGAATGAAAGGTTTGGTAAGTGCTTCCACTCACCACCTATAATTTATCTGTCAAAGATCAGAAGGAAGTGGAAGAGGGAAAACTTTAAGGAGGATCATCTCACCTGTGTCAAGGTCTCAGAATCCTAACTTTAGCCCAGGAAAATACCAGTCTCACTAGCCTTGAACACTAGATATTCAAAAGAAAGGTGAATCGGTAATAACCCAAGGAGTTAGGGCGTTAGGAAGGTAAAAAGATAAAAAGGCACCAAGTTAAGAACCATTTCCCCTGCTCTGCCCTCTTGGCCAGAAGGGGGCACCAATATGACACGCTGGAGCTTTCCCAAACAGATTCCCAGTTAACTCTACAATAGTCCATTTCAAAAAGTTTCTAGCTGCAGACTCCCTCTAGTTTACCACATTCCCAGGGTAATTCTATTAGCTTTAAAGTCTTCCTCCCAGGACCCCTTCCAGCAACTGTTTTCTGAGGCAGAGAAAATAGTTCCTAACTTAAGGGGGAGCCAGGGGCCACGTGGCTAGGGTTGGGCCCTGCAGGTCCCTGGCAGGAGCGCTGGGCCAGCAGCGCCCAAGATGCAGGAGCAATGCTTTTCCTCAAACTCTGGAGGAGCCTCTCAGATGGAATGAGACAGGACATCCAGGTGCTAAATGGGACTCTGCTAGTAACTTGCACTGTGACTTGGACAAGTCACTCCACCCTCCTGGCCTCTTTTGTTTTGTTTTAAAAGCTGGAGATAGCCCAAGCTGGTTTGGCTCTGCGGGTAGAGCATCAGCCTGCGGCCTGAAGGGTCCTAGGTTTGATTCTGGTCAAGGGCACGTGAGGGAGGCAAGCAATCGATGTGTTTCCCTCTTTGTCTCTCCCCTCCCTTCCACACTCTCTAAAAATCAATGGAAAAATATCCTTGGGTGAGAATTACAAAAACAAAACAAAACAAAAAAAAACTGGAGATATTTATCTTGGGAACTTTTAAATTTAATAATTTGATTTAACTTTACAGACTAAGCTGAGAAATTCTCTCTTAAAAGAAAAAAAGGATTATATTTTCCCCTCTCATTTTAAAAGTAATACATATTATAACAAATTCAAATAATACTAAAGTATGAAAGTACCTGGTTATAAAAACACCTTCTTAGCCCTTTGTCTTTTTTATTTTTTTGTCTAAAAATATATGTGGCATATAGGCCTCAATTTCCTATCTGTAAAACAAAACGTTGGGAAAAATGATCTCTAAGGGCAAGTTATAATTCTATGACTCATTAGTTCCACCAACACTGGGGCGCAGGGCCCGCTGCTATTGGCAGTAACCACCTCAGACACAGGCTCGTCTGCAGTCATTCCAGCCAAGGACTCACCCTCTGCTGCTTCCTTAGGTGTCCCTGCCGGGTGTGTGCCAGCACCAACTTAGACGTTGTGGACAGGTGCAGCACCGAGGGGGCCTCGGCAGGTATGGGGCTGTCACATGCTTCACTGCACGAAGGCAACAGCGCCCCCTGTGCTCCCCAGGGGAGTGAGAAGGCCAAGCTGCCTGATTCAGCCGGTGCCCTTGGCTCAACTAGTTCCTCTGACAATTCCTCTCCCTGCCTTTCCCATAATGTCTCTGTTTGTACAGCTTGTCCTGTTTTTCCTGTTGCACGTATCATTCAATCCTTACTGCAGCTCCTTTTCCTAAGTGAGGAGGAGGGGGTGCAGAGGGGGGAGATAACCAGAGCAGGGAGTGATGGACAGGACGAGAACCCATCTCCTCACTTCTGCTTCAGCCCTCTTGCACTGCACATGTCCTCCAGAAGAGAAAGGAGGAGCAAGCTCCAGTGTGGAGACCCAAACCCGGGCGCCCTGGCTACACACCTGATCATGGATGGCTCCCCCCCCTAAGGAGAAGACGGGGCTGCCCTCCAACAAGGGTCCTTCACCTGCTCCTCCAAGTCCCTTAGAACTCGGCAGAGCAACGCCTTTTCTCCTGCCTCTTCCCTCCAACTTCTCAACCAGGAATGCAATGGGTAAGAAGTTCAGGAGAGAAACAGGAAGTCAGTGAGAGGCACTGGTGAAAGGCAGTCTTTAGAGCTGTGTGACCTTGGACGGCTCTTACTGGGGCACTCAGGATAAGCAGCAGAGTGGAACCTGGTGGTTTCTGATGACCCGGGGCTTTTTTAATAGCTGCTTTACATCTGAAGAAACTGTCATAGTGTCTGAGCCGATCACATCCATTGCTCTGAGTCTCACAAAAGCCGATGGAAATACGAACCTTCCTAACCAATGAGGAAACAAGGTTTTAAGAGTTAAGTCACTTGCCAGGATTCAGCGTGCTAAGCAACTCCCAGTGCAGTGCTCTCTCCACCTCATTATAGTGTTCTCTTTTAAAAATTCCTAACTTGCCGAAACTGGTTTGGCTCAGTGGTAGAGCGTCGGTCTGCGGACTGAAGGGTCCCGGCTTCGATTCCGGTCAAGGACATGTACATTGGTTGCGGGCACATCCCTGGTAGGGGGTGTGCAAGAGGCAGCTGGTCGATGACTCTCTCTCATCGATGTTTCTAGCTTTCTATCTCTCTCCCTTTCTCTCTGTACAAAATCAATAAAACATGTTTTAAAAAAAATTCCTGCTGAGACCGGTTTGGCTCAATGGATAGAGCATCGGCTTGGGGACTGAAGGGATCCGGGTTCGATTCCGGTCAAGGGCATGTACCTTGGTTGCGGGCATATCCCCAGTAGGGGTTGTGCAGGAGGCAGCTGATCGATGACTCTCTCTCATCGATGTTTCTAGCTTTCTATCTCTCTCCCTTTCTCTCTGTACAAAATCAATAAAATATATATATTTTTTAAAAATTCCTAACTTCATTGTTATTCACCCCAAAGGGGAGTAATAGGCATAGGAGGTAAGATTCTGCCCACAGGTACCAAATGAAATGGGTTAACAGTAATAGTAATAACAACAACCACAACCACACCTCCCTGCTCAGTTATCCAGTCTGTCTTGCTCCTCTCTATTCTTTTTTTTTTTTTTTTTAATATACTTTACTGATTTTTTACAGAAAGGAAGGGAGAGGAATAGAGAGTTAGAAACATCAATGAGAGAGAAACATCAATCAGCTGTCCCCTGCACACCCCCCACTGGGAATGTGCCCACAACCAAGGTACATGTCCTTGATGGGAATCGAACCTGGAACCCTTGAGTCCTCAGGCCGACGTTCTATCCACTGAGCCAAACTGGTCAGGGCAACTCCTCTCTGTTCTTTACAGAACCAAACAAGGCAATAATGCCTTTTCTCTTCAACAAGTTCTCCGCTGGGGAAGATTCAGGAGACAGAAGATGCCAGGGAAAGGCGTTACAGGGAGAGGCCATCACCATGCAAAGAGCATCTTCCTCAGCAGACAGAGGGTCACGGCAGCATTTCAGGGGGTCAGCAGAGTCCAGTGAGGCTCTGCCATGAGCCAAACCCACAGCCTCTGCCTCAGGGCTTAAAGCTTAGGCACATGGAGAGTGCGTGTAAACCAGGTCTGTGTTTCAGAACTTGACACTTTTTATGAGATTTGTTCAATGACAGAGTTTTGGGATCTTATTAAACACTTAATGAGGCCATGGTCGTCTACACAAAAATATTAAAGATCAAACGGCACCAAAGAAATATTTCCTCCCACAACGGCAAAACCTGACCAAGGGTCTGGACGGGGCTCTGTGGACGACTCCCCGGGGGCGTGTGCTTTCCTTCATCAGTGACCTTGTTAACGTTCTTGGGCTTGGAGGTTTTTCAAACCCTGCGCCAGGCCTCGTTAAGGCCACGGACGGCAATTTTTGAGCACCATGTCTACAAAAGATGCAAAGCGACGTCTACTTAGGATCAAAGGAAAGGGATCTAACTTATGAGCATTTATGGGTAAGTTCTATGTCCTGTGCTTTGTATATATTATTTTATTTTGTGCTCAGAACATCCCTCCGAGGCTGGGACCTATTACACCCACATTACGATACAAAGTTCACAGAGCCAGTGAGTGACAGAGCTGGCCTTCAATCCGGGCCTGATTCAAAGAGCACACACTCTCCCTAAGAAGACACCTAAACACGTGAACTCAAAAACGGTTTGAAGTGTTTTTTCTTTAAAATAATTTTCTCCTTTCCTGTACTGGACTTCATTCTTAAGCTTCCACCTATGAAGCTTTAAATTTCAAAACTCTTTCTAGTTCTGTGCAGACACTAGCAAAGGCATCCAAAGCAGAACTCCCAGTCTTATTTATAGACACTCACCCAGCCCTACGTCCTCAGGTCAGACACCAAGTCTTGACTAAGCCTTAGAAATCAGGTAAAGCTGGAGGTTACAATTAAATCCTCATGACTTTGCCCTGGCCGGGTAGCTCAATTGATTGGAGCATCGTCCCATGCACCAAAAGGTTGTGGGTTTGATCCACAGTCAGGGCACATACCTAGGTTGTGTGTTGATCACCATGTAAGGGAGGCAACTGTTGATGTTTCTCTCATATTGCTGTCGTGTCTCTATCTCCCCCCATTCCTCTCTCTCTCAAATCAATAAGACATATTCTTGGGTGAGGATAAAAAAATCCTCATGACTTTACTCTTCTCATCCAGGAGAGTCTATCTAACACAATGTTTATTTCATGGAGCCAGTTCTAAAGAACCACCATGTCAAACAGTTTGAGGCCTTTTTTAAAAAAAATATATTTTATTGGTTTTTCACAGAGAGGAGGGGAGAGAGATAGAGAGTTAGAAACATTGATGAGAGAGGAACATCGATCAGCTGCCTCTTACACACCCCCTACTGGGGATGTGCCCGCAACCAAGGTACATGCCCTTGACCGGAATCGAACCTGGGACCTTTCAGTCCGCAGGCCGACGCTCTATCCACTGAGCCAAACCGGTTTTGGCAGTTTGAGGCCTTTTATTTATTTATTTATTTTTTGAATTTTAGGTTGTTGTTTTTTTTTTTAATTTAATTTTTTTATTAAATTATTATCTGTGTACAAATTTGAGGCCTTTTAAGTATTTGCATTTAAAGCACTCCATAGCCCTAGCTGGTTGGCTCAGTGGATAGAGCATCGGCCTGTGGACCAAAGGGTTCTGGGTTCGATTCAGATCAGGGGCACATACCTTGGTTGCAGGCTCCTCCCCAGCCCAGACCCTGGTCAGGGCTTGTGCAAGAGGCAACCAATCAATGTGTTTCTCTCACATCAATGTTTCTTTCTGTTTTTCCCTCTCTCTTCCACTCTCCCTAAAAATCAATGGAAAAATATCCTCGGATTAACAAAAATATAAAAGTAAATATATGTAATACTAAGAATCTCTATTAAATAAATAAATAAATAAATAAATAAATAAAACACTATAAAAACACAGGAATGAGACCATACCAAGCAGCCCACAGAAAGCAGCGTGTGAAGCAACACAATCGTCACAATTGTGGCCAATGCGACTCGCCGATTATCCTCACGAACGGCTGGCCAAAAGGTCATTGCCAAGACAGAGCCTGAGATGCCCAGCGCCATCATGACTAGAATCCAACGAACAGCTTTCTGGGGGATAATCCACAGTATCTGAAAGAAGAGGTGGGGAGGGGAGGGGAAGAGAGACACTTCAGAGAGGCACATCTATATATATAAAAACCCAATATGCAAGCTGTCCCCTCAGGAGTTTGAATGGGAGACCGACCAGGAGTTCAATCACTCACTATGATGTGTGCTGACCACCAGGAGGCAGTGCAGAACATGGTGGGTGACCAGTGGTGGTGGCAGGGTGTTGAGGGAGCGAGGAAAGGAGGAGGCAGGGAGACAGGGAACCTGATTGGCCCTGATCACTGGCCAGGGCTAGGAACCCTACCAGTGCACGAATTTCATGCACTGGGCCTCTAGTCTGTTTATAAAGGCCCGTGAGCCAATCAGCACTGGCCCCCACTGCCTTTCTGGTTTCTCAGCACAGCCGAGAGAAACACCACCAGCATGCAGACTGAGGGAAAGCTTTCACAGAAGGACTTTAGGTCCGTGAAGGCACTTTTCTCCCCAGTGCCCATGCATGGTGAACTTCTAAATTCACAGGGTTAATTTGTGATGTGTGTTTTTTAAATTTATTTTTATTGTTGACAGTACCACAGATGTCCCCATCTTCCCCTTTGTCCATGCCTCACTCCAGACCTTTACTACACAATTATTTGTTTCCATGTGTTATGCATTTAAGTTCTTTGCTTAATCTCTTTCTACCCCTTCTCTACCCCCCTTCCCTCTGAGATCTGTCATTCTGTTCCATGCAATTCCCAGGTATATCGGTGTTAGGCTGGGAATAATGAAGCCAGTGAATTTTCAACCAAGAATAGGACATCACTGAGAATAAGTGTGGCACTTACTGCTGTGGGGATATAAATGAAGAGTGAATATCCATAGACGCACACAATCTCCAAAAACGAATAGGAAACGATGTTCATCACTTTGCTGTTTCTCCACAGGAGGAAACCCCAGAGTGCGAAGGGAACCAGCCAGGCGTAGGCATAGATGACTGTGGCTGCTATGGACACTGAGGATAACAGGACAAAAGCCTTCAGTGCACAACCAGAGCACTTCCAGTGCCGTACTGAACCTACTTCCCAACATTTGAATCTATTTCACTGGGCCATGGGATCACCATAGACACTGAGCCTGGCCCAGCAATGGAGACATAATAATCGCTCAATAAATGTGCTGAATAGATCAATCTTTAAAACAAAACAAAACATGTTTTTATTGATTTCAAAGAGCGAGGGAGAGAGAAATAGAAACATCAATGATGAGAGAGAATCATTGATTGGCTGCCTCCCACAAGCCCCCTACTGAGGGATCAAGCTTGCAACCCAGCATGTGCCCTGACTGGGAATTGAACCATGACCTACTGGTTCATAGGTCACCGAACCACTGAGCCATGCTGGCTGGGCAGAATTGATCAAACTTTAGCAATTGTCATCATGATGATGACCAGTAGTTTCTCATATGTTTTTTAAAATGTGTTTAATAACTAACAACTAATATTATTAAATTAGTCATTAAAAACTTGAATTCTTCAACTAAAATAAGGCCACACTACAAGGGTTTAAATGTACTGAGCCTTTCAGATAAAAGCCAACTATTCCCTTGGAAGAACACATCCTCTTTCCTAGTATAACAAGAGCTGACATTGATTTCTTCAGCAAATTTATTAAAATGCCCTGGGTACAGATTAACTTGCTCTGCATACTATTTAGGGTTCCTTCTGTCTCTAACAGGGAATTCTAGCTCATTGATGAATTGCTTGACATACTAGTATTCTCCAGTTTCACTTCCTTTTTAAATAATTCTGTCTCTGGTGGAAAAGGAATTCAGCAGCTCCTCAGAACAGCGATGTTGAGTGTATTACTGTAGCTCCCTCCTCCTCTGGCAGCAGCACGCCCTGGAGGATTCCTTCTCCCCCTTGTGGGGTGGAGGATCATAAAACATGGCTAAACCCGTGGCACCAGCGCTTTCTACATAAAAATCAGCAGGTAATTCACTCAACGCTCCTGGCAAGAACAAAGGCGCTTCTAGCAATTACAGTCCGACTAGTTAAGACTCGTGATTATCCAAAACACTGCTAGCTACCGGAGAAGCTTTTTCACATCGGAAACTCCCTGATTAGGCTAAATGTAATTTTGCTGACATATGGCCTTTTTTTTTGGATAACTAACAGAAGAGGAAAAGAATTACTACTATAGCTACAGCTAGCCACTGGGTGTCAGGTATTACACTGAGTGCTTTATTGAGAGGCAATACTATAACAATCAAGGGCATAGTCCCTTGTTCCAATCCTAATTATGCCATTATAGCTATGTAACCCTAGGTGGAACGCTGGTTCAAGTCCCAGTGCTGCCACTTCCTGCCTCAGTTTTCTCATCTGTAAAGTGGGAAGAACAATAGCAGACTACCTTATAAGATTAAATGAGTACAAACAGGTATACTTAGAACACTGATTTATAAAAAATAAATAACCAATAATTACGATTTTATATTGTTAACCGATAAGTAAACACAATATTTCATGTATTTTATATCTCCATTTTAGAGACAAGGAAACAAGATCAGAGAAGCTATCAGGCGTCTTCAAACTACGGCCCTCGGGCTACATGCAGCCCGCAGAGGAGTCTGATCCTGCCCGCCAGGTTTTTTGGGCAGTGAGCACAGCCGAGGTGTTACAGTAGGAATTAGTAGTTCATATAGTCCGGCCCTCCAGCTCTCTGAGGGACCATGATCTGGCCCCCACTTTAAAAAGTTTGAGGACCCCTGAGCTAAGTGGTCAAGATCAAATAAGTGGTGGAAGCAGGATCTGACTTTGGTCGTGTGACTTACACTCTTTAAAATGGAAAATTGTTTATTGATAGAGGCAATGACTATTTTACACCCCATGACTCCCTGAGACTAGGATGCCCAGATAAAGACCCTCCTGGGCTTTCAGACCTCAGGCAGGGTGATTCACTCCTTTTCTGTCAATATACCTACACCTACCTCAGATACAGAAATTAACACATACTATTTATAGCAATATGCATTTACCAGTCTTTCTTTGCTTAACCATCGAAGCTACTTGAAGGCAGGATCTATAGCTCATTGATAACATTTATTGAATTAATCTCTAAGTTCATTTGACAAATGGAATTGGGACTGAATCCAGATCCGACGCCACAATGAAGAAGGAAAGAAGTGAAAATGGGCATGGAAGGTAGAGGGAAAGAAAGAAGGAAGGCTACAGAGAGGCACACAAATATAGGTAAATGCACACCTCTATATACACATATACATATGTGTGTGTGTATATACATGTCTTCATATATACATATATCAACTCTATTCAAAAACTAGCCCTATAATATAGGTATTAATAGTTCCATTTCACTGATAAGGAATCTGAGGCCAACAGAGATGAAATAACCTTCCCAACAAGGTACAAGTTAATGAGTGGTGGGGCTGGAACTTGAAGCCAGTGGCTTGGTTCCAGAAACCATGCTTTCATCCAGGATGTACAGCCTCTCATCAGGAGAGCAGGCAGGCAGAGAAGGAGAAAACTGAGAATGTGGCAGAGGTCAATCTCCTACAAAGCCAAACTTTCTCAGTTGAAGTGGCTCTCACCTGTTGTTTTTTTGTTGTTGTTTTTAATTAGCCAAGGCTACACAAGAAAGGCAGTTTAGAACGGGAATGTGATGCACAGCCCATCACTCATTTCTGCATTTTCCCTTCTGGGCCCCGACCCTTTGCAGACTTCTCTTTAACGAAGTTGCTGACAGCACAAGCATAAGTTTTAATGATCAGTCTTCCACCTTGCTCCAGAGCAGGGGCCCACAAAATCATTTGGTCTGGCCTAGCCAAGGCATTAAGGATGAGTTCATTAAATGTTTGACCAAATACAGCAGGCTAATTTTTAAGTTGACACTTTTGTATGGTCCTCAAATAACGTTATAAATATCCAAATGGCCTTTGGCAGATAAAAGGTTCCCCACCCTCCTCTTGAGCTTCATAATTAGTGGCTACAGACCTAGCTAGTTGCATCATCGTGACTTAAATAACATCCCTATTGTTTCCAACATGAGGATAACACAGATAATGCTACAATGGAAACTTTCATGCACACTGCTTTTTGCTTATGTTGTACATTTTTCTTTAAATAAATTCCAGTTGCTATTGGTCATCCCCTTAGTTTTACAGAAGACTATATGAAATTTCAATATTGTGATAGTACACTGAATTGTATACTTGAAAGTAATTAATATGGCCAATTTTATGTTAAGTATATTTTATCACAATTTAAAAATTTACTTGTATTTATACAAATGGATGTTAAGTGCTGAGACACTGGGTATGTCTGAGCCCTGAAATACAGCAAGCAGGGGATGCGGCACCGAGAGAGAGACAGGGACCCAAAAGCTCAGTGGTAAAGGCACTCAGGGTCACGAACTGACAGCATTCCAAATGAGTCAAACTACTCACCAACCTTTTCGGAATTCGGGTACATAGTGGTACGACTTCTCTCCCAGATGGATTAAGAAGTTGGAAAGATTCCCACTAATTGCTATGGCAAAGACCAATGTGGCGCATATCCAAAAGGGACCTGCAAAATTCAGAGACAAGAAAATGAAGCACCAGTTTTTAGATTCTTAAAGAGTGTTTTCTCACCTCCCTTGCCCTACTCATGTAAGCAAGGGACAATGACTTTTTAGATGCATTACTATACCTGTTTAGTGGGGATTTTCTTTTTCGACCGACTACAGAACTCAATAATTAGCTGCCTTTATGGCAGGGGAGATTGGAATGCAAAAGCCAAAACAAAAACACCACCCTAACTGGTTTGGCTCAGTGGATAGAGCGTCTGCCTGCATCCTGAAGGGTCCCGGGTTCAATTCCAGTCAAGGGCATGTACCTCAGTTGTGGGCACATCCCCAGTGGGGGGTGAGCAGGAGGCAGCTGATCGATGTTTCTAACTTTGTATCCTCTCCCTTACTCTCTGTAAAAAAAATTAATAAAATATATATATTTTAAAAAGCCAAACACCTCCATAATTGTGAATAAAGACAGATTTGTTTTGTTTATAGCCTCTTTTATTGGAGGATCACCAAATCTGTTAAATCTTTAGCATCAAGATAGAGGAAGAAATACTTCCCTCGTCTAAGTGCTGACTGTGAGTGCCAGAAAAAAATAACTTCAACCAGACAGGTCCTTCTATGGTCTAAACGGAAGAGTAGGGCAAGCAGAATGCTTTAGGGAAGAGTTAATGCAATCTACCCATTCACTATGGGTGTATTTTTGTGTGGTTAATGCTTTTTTCTTTCTTTTTTTAAAAATATATTTTATTGATTTTTTACAGAGAGGAAGGGAGAGAGCTAGAGAGCTAGAAACATCTATGAGAGAGAAACACTGACCAGCTGCCTCCTGCACACCCCCTATCGAGGATGTGCCCGCAATCAATGTACATGCCCTTGACCGGAATCGAAGCTGGGACCCTTCAGTCCGCAGACCAACGCTCTACCACTGAGCCAAACCGGCTTCGCTACTTTTTCTTTCTTTTTAATGAAAAAAGTAATAAACACACAAAATTCAGTGTTCAAAAGGTACAAAAGGGGATACAGAGAAAAGCTAACTTTTCCCCTCTCTGTTCTTCAGTTATCCATTTCCTCCCCCAGACCTCACTATTGTGATTAGTTTCTGGTAAATTCTGCCAGAGATTTCTATACACAATAAGCAAAAGTGTGCGTGAGTGTGTGTGATTCTGTCATAGCTATTCATAAAAATAAGTTTTATTCTTTTTCAGTGACTGTAAAACACTCCACTGAATGAAGGTGCACCATGCTTTGCAGACTCCTTTCATCATTTTCCTCGATTCATGTACACATGAAACATCTTTGTTTCTTCCCATTTAGAAAAAGTACTATTAGGATGTAATTTTAAATCTAGAGATTTTAATATATTTTATGAATTTCAATTTCACTAATATTTTGCAATACCTTTTGGGATAATTGCACTGTGACAAATCATAAAATTAAGAGACCTATTGTGTGGGGGAGATGACTAACAAAAGTGGATTAGCACTTTTCAAAGCTCCCTGAATCCTGAAGGCGGGGAAGAGAGCACCAACACTCTACTGGGTACTCCAAAGAGTCTCTGAGGCAGCCAAAGACTAAACCTTGTTCACAGCATTATTCTGAGCGCCTGCCACCTTAAAGATGCAACAAACAAAACCGGTTTTTAAAGAAAAACTCTACAATCAACAATAAAAAAATTCCCACCCTGGCGGTGTTGCTCCGTGGTTAGCCCATGCACTGAAGGAAGGATCGTGGGTTCGATCCTGGTCCAGGGCACATACCTGTGTTGTGGGTTCGCTCCACGTCCCCAGTTGGGGCTCATGTGGGAGGCAACCAGTTAGTCATGTAACTCTCTCACATCGATGTTTCTCTCTCTTCCTCTCTCTCTTCCTCCCTCCCTCCCTCCCTACTTCCTTCCACTCTCTCTGAAAAGCAATGGAAAAAAATATTCTCATGTGAGGATTAAAAAAACACACGCACAAAATTCCTAAAAGCTTTGTAAAAAAAAAATGGACAAAACTGGCCATGTGTTTGTTGTTGATGGGCAGAGACCATCCAAACACATGACCACAAGTGGACACAATATTATAGTACCCATAACTAGAAAGCAGAGAATGTCACATTCTGTCAGCCTCTGGGCCCTGGGCTAAGTGCTGGGGACACAATGGACAGCAGCAGACACAGGAAGCTTAGAGTCCAGAGACACACCGCCTGTTCACCCCAGGCCTGCACACTGCTCCATACTGCCTTCTCTCTTCCTCCTTCCTTCCAAAAGCCTACTCTTATTTGGGCTAAGGGTGGGAGGGAGCCTTGGTTTCGTTTGTAGTATGTACTTTTATATTATGAAATATTCCTAACATACAGAAAATCACAAAGAATGATAAAACAAATCTCAGTTTTTCTCTTTTGATAAGACTAGGAAATAAACAGTATAAAGTAGACTTAGCTCCATGCCTGGCATCTGTAGGGTGCTCAGCAAACATTAGTTCTCTCTTCTTCCCCTTGGGGGTAGAGGCTAAGACTTTATCTTTAATCCTCAGCTTCTAGCACAAAATAAGGTGCTCACAAATTGCATACTTACTCTGTGCCAAGCCCTCTGCACTGATAACATGGATTACTCAGGCACAGAGCCTGCCTCTCAAGAAGTTCTCAAGCTAGAAGAACGAATGAGAGAGCTAAAAACAAAACAAAACAAAACAAAAAACCACACTTGGCAACCGTTGGATGAAGGGCATGGGCCAAGGCAATGGTTTTCACACCATGCTCACTGGAGCTCTAGAATTCCATGGATCTCTGGATGGAACTTCTGGTACCATCATAGAGAGTGGGAACTGACCAGAAGGAGGCCTCTCCTCAACCTCCAGAGCAGTTACTCTTTTACTGGTTTTAAATATCAGGCATCTGCCCAGCCCGTGTGTGGCTAAGTGACTGAGAGTCCACCTATGAACCAAGAGGTCACCGGTTCAATTCCCAGTCAGGACACATGCGGGGGTTGCAAGCTCGATTCCAGAAGGGGGCGAGCAAGAGACAGCTGGCTACTATTTCTCATCAGTGTTTCTATCTCTCTATCCTTCTCCCTTCCTCTCTCCCCAAAATCAATAAAGACATATTTGAAAAAACATTGGACACCTATGCCGTTTGATGAAAAGGTTCTGTATCTTAAAACGTCAGTCTCATAGATAAGTAAATAACACTGAACTAGGTTATAGTTCTACTTTTTAATTTTATTTTTTTCTTTATTTTTTATTTCAGAGAGGAAGGTAGGGCAGAACCCCACTGCTGTTGGAGCCCTCTCTCTCACAGTACTGCATGGACCTCTGACCTTTCTCAGATAGCAGCGGCACTGAGGGTGACAGTCATCTCGTGGCCCATCCCTCTTACAGACCCCCAGTGCTGCTGCCTGCGCCCCAAGGGAAGCCAGCCTGTCTGAAGACTGAGCTGGGACTCAAGAAAAAAATGTGTGAGTACTTCGCTACCCCAAACCAATTCCTCCAAAATTAAAATCAACAATCTCCCCTTAGACAAAGTAACTTAATTTGTCTCAAGTTTGTAATATCATCTGAAGGGCACACTATTACTTATAATCATGGCATTCATGTAACAGATAATTGCCCTTTTTTCCAAAATTCTCTCCAAGGTTTGCTACTGAAGCTCAGAGAAGTCAAACAGAATGCTGCATGCCCCAACAACAATGCACTTCTCCAACTTTCCAGGTAACCCGCACACTCACCTGAGTTCAACGGGCACATGGTAAAGAATCAAAACGGCACTACACATACCGTAGAGATCTGGATTGCTGCGAATATATAACCTCACAAAGTTTTTTCCTGGTATTGGCAAAAGAGACCCTTTTATTCTGTCAAAGACCTGGAAAACAACATAGCAGTAAGTCTACAGAAGATTTTTTAAGATTAATACATCAACCACTGTAAAACTGAACCTCATTAGAGCTTTTATGATAATAGTATTTTCAAATACCAGTAACCCCTTTACTTTTGTAAGATCCTAACCAGTATACAAAAGCTTTCACATTTCATTGCTTAACTATAGAAGAAACAAGTCTCCATTACACGTAAAAGGAAAGGTGAAATTGCTTTACACACCTGGTAAGTGTCTACATCGAAAAATGTCTGATAATATTCAAATGTCCAGAAAGGGGAGCTTTTCTTCTGTCCAGCAAGTAACTGTTAGAGGTAAAATGAAACATAATGAACACAAGTGATTTCCTTATTTCGGATACACAGGCTGATCATATATAAAATCAGAATACAGAAAAGACTCTTCTGCATCTGTCAACTTCGCGACAGCCACACCCGATGCTCAGCCTGATAAAAAACAAGCATGGGCTCTGAAGTCACACCAAAAGGTTGGTCCCTCCACTAAGGGCAGCATCATCAAATCACTAGACTCCTGTGTCTCAGATCTGTTACCTAAAAAGTAATGCTAATGAGATCTACCTCAGAGGTAGACTATATATAGGTCATACGAATTATATGAATCCTCAGATGATTATAGGGAGGATTAGATTAATGATACATAATATACAGTATGTATTATGTACAATAACATATATATGCATATGCACATATATATACACACATATACACACAGAAGGCAGTCAGCGTAAATATTTTTCTTCCCTCACCCCTTCAAGATCCTTGTTACCTGCCTCACCTGAATTCTCAAAAATCTGACATACTAATTCACTCTAAGGTACTAGAAATTTAAAACAGACTCCTCTACAAAAGAAACAAAACCCCAGGTTAGAAGAGGCTCGCAGGGAGGGCCACACCCGTCCCAACAGCACAGCTATGTGACGGCAGAATGCAGGCCGCAGCCAGGAATCGGGACTGCGTCTTCAGTTACCTGAAGAGGGTTCATACAGCAAGGGGGAAAACAGACTCGGAGGATCTTTGCAGGACAAGGGTAGGTACTCTCGGCAAATATTTTTGTTCATTATAAAGGAAAAAGACTTCACAATTCAAGTTGTCCAACAGCGGCAGTGGCTGCTTTCCATGGTGAAAAAAGCCTGTGTCTGGAGGTACTCCTGGTTGTCTTTCTGACATACCTCAAGCAGCATTAGTATCTTGGAAGGGAATCTGAACTAGAGGAAACTGGAGGTCCTTTCCAACCCTAAATATTACAAGATATGGAGCACCAAAGACCCACAATCCATACTGTACCAGGCGTCTTCAAACTTTTTAAAGTGGGGGCCAAATCACGGTCCCTCAGAGAGCTGGAGGGCCGGACTATATGAACTACTAATTCCTACTGTAACACCTCGGCTGCGCTCACTGCCCAAAAAACCTGGCGGGCCGGATCAGACTCCTCTGCGGGCCGCATGTGGCCCGCGGGCCGTAGTTTGAAGACGCCTGCAGGCCAATTAATTGTCAGAATGTTGGTAACCTTTTCCCAACAGACATTAAAATGATGGGCAGAATGTTTTTAAGATTTTCCCTCTACACTTTTCATAAACTTTTGAAGCCTGCTGCTGCTCAATGTGATGATTAGTTATAAACACACACACACACACACACACACACACACACGGTGGCCAGATTATTATGTGGTTTTTTTTAAAATATATTTTATTGACCTTTATACAGAGAGGAAGGGAGAGAGATAGAGAGTCAGAAACATCGATGAGAGAGAGTCATCGACCAGCCGCCTCTCGCACACCCCCTACCGGGGACATGCCCGCAACCAAGGTACATGCCCCTGACCGGGATCGAACCCGGGACCCTTCAGTCCCCAAGCCTACGCTCTATCCACTGAGCCAAACCGGTCCCGGCAGATTATTATGATTTTTTGAACACATAATAATCTGGCCACTCAGTGTGACTCCTATATAATAAAAAGCTAATATGCAAATTGTCCCCTCCACCAGGAGTTCCATCAGCAGGCAGGCCGGCCAACTGCCCATGTCCCTTCCCCCTGGTCAGGCTGGCCGGACCCCACCCATGCACGAACTCATGCACCAGGCCTCTAATATGTACACGCAGAGTGGCCAGATTATTATGTGCTCAGAGATCATAATAATCTGGCCACTCAGTGTGTGTATGTGCGTGTGCGTGTGCGTGTGCGTGTGCGTGTGTGTGTGTGTGTGTGTGTGTGTATCAATTTGTCTGGGCCACAGTGCTCAGATATTTGGTCAAATATTCTGGATGTTTCTAAAAGGGTGTTTTTGGATGAGATTTACATTTCAATCAGCAAACTTTTTCAGTAAAACAGATTGTCCTCCAAAATGTGGATGGACCTCAGCCAACCAGGTGAAGGCCTGAACAGAACAAAGGCCGACCTGCTGAGCAAAAGGGACTTCTCCAGTAGGCTGCCTTCAGACTTCAGCGGCAACACTGGCTCTTCCAGGTTCTATAGCAGATGCCTTTGGACTTGAACCCCAACTTTTTTCTGAGTCTTCAGCTTATTAGCCTCCTCCATCAGATTTTGAACTTGCCAATCATCTACAATCATGTGGACCAATTCTCTAAAATAAATTTCAGTTTCTATGTATGCACATCCTATTGGTTCTATTTTTCTGGAGAACCGTGACTATTACATTTAACTATACCAATGGTTGGCAAACTGTGGCTTGCGAGCCAACCACTAGAATAAGGGTTTAATCACAAGGAACAACAATAGCCTGTCATTATCGGAATCAAGAGTCTAGGTCAGTGGTCGGCAAACTCATTAGTCAACAGAATGGTAAACCGTGGCTCGAAAGCCGCATGTGGCTCAAGAGCTGCAGCTTGTTGACCCCTGACCTATACTAATAATTAACCACTCCTGTCTCCTGAGGGTGCCAACCACTTTAATAAGCACTTAAAATACACTAACTCCAGTATGTAGGGAAGGAGCACAGGCCCGGTTTAAAGTTCCTTCTCCTACCTGCCTGTTATGTGTACTGGGGCAAGTTACTTAAACTCTGCGTCTCAGATTTCTCAATTGTAAAACAAGGATAAAAATAGTTCCTGGCCGGCACTGGTTTGGCTCAGTGGATAGAGCGTCGGCCTGTGGACTGAAAGGTCCCTGGTTCGATTCCGGTCAAGGGCATGTACCTTGGCTGCGGGCACATCCCCAGTAGGGGGTGTGCAAGAGGCAGCTTGTTGGTGATTCTCTCTCATCTATGTTTCTAACTCTCTATCCCTCTCTCTTCTTCTCTGTGAAAAATCAATAAAATATATTTAAAAAAAAAAAAAAAAAAGAATAGTTCCTGGCATTCAAGATTGTTTTGAGGATTAAATAAGATGATCCAGAGAATCCAAGATGGCGGCATAGATAACACCTAACTGCAGCCTCACACAACAATTTCAATAAAATACAACTAAAATACAAAATGGACATTACCCAGAACTACAGAAAAGTTGACTGACTGGAAATTCTACAACGAGAAGGAAAGAGAAAACCAGAAGGAAAATCAGAGGAGCTGTAAAAGCCTAAGGTACGGAGACACACTGCACATGCAGAGAGGACAGAGCCAGAGAGGAGGGGGAGGCTGAGTGCCTGGTTGGCATTCCCTAGCAGGAAGGAGATAAAAGCTCCAGTCTGTGCTGAACCCCAGATCCGACAGCACTGAACCCCAGTTCTAGCCAGACCCTGGGGACCTGGGCTGTAAGGCGGAAACCCAGGGGAGCGGCGAAAGGCAGTCCTGGAGGTGCGCACATTTCACGCAGAGGACGGACTGTTGACTCTGCTGCTAGACTGCCCTAGAGGGAAGGAGACAAAAGCTCCGGACTGTGATGAGCCCCAGTTCCGACTGCACTGAACCTCAGTTCTAGGCCATACGCTGGGGACCCAGGCTCATACAGAGGGAGCCTGAGTTGTAAGGCGGAAACCCAGTGGAGCGGCGAAAGGAAGTACCGGAGGCCTGCACATTGCGCACAGAGGACTGACTGTTGACTGTGCCGCGGGATTGCCCTAGCAGGAAGGAGACAAAAGCTCCAGACTGCTCTGAACCCCACTTCCAAGCCTACTTCCAACTGAACTAAACCCAAGTTCCGGGCTCATTGGGGGAGAGCCCAGACTGTTTGGTAGCGGGCGAAACTTGAGGGCACCTTTCTCTCAGAGGTGCCTCCACCCTGAAACTCTGCCCCATCCAAGCTGAACACAGAGACTTTTAAGGCTACCAACTCAGGGAAGCTGCGAAAATGCCAAGACAAGGAAACAGATCACAAACGAAAGAAATGGAGGACAAAAAGCGACTGGATATAGAGTTCAAAACCACGCTTATAAAGTTTTTCAAGAATTTCCTAGAAAAGGCCGATAAAATAAACAAGACCTATGAGGATATGAAAAGGGATCAACCAGAAATAATAAGGGATCAACAAGAAATAAAGAATACACTGTCTGAAATAAAAAATATTATACAGAGTTCTAAAAACAGAATGGAAGATCGCAAGAATCAAGTCAAAGATTTGGAACATAAAGAGCCAGAAGACACTCCTCTGCAGAAGCAAGAAGACAAGAGAATCCAGAAAGTTGAAGATAATGTAAGAAACGTCTGGGACAACTTCAAACGAACCAACATCAGAATTATGAGGGTCCCAGAAGAAAAGAGAGAGCAAGATACTGAAAACATACTGAAAGAAATAGTGACAGAAAACTTCCCCCACCTGGTGAAAGAATTAGACTTACAAGTCCAGGAAGCGCACAGAACCCCAAACAAAAGGAACCCAAAGAGGACCACACCAGGACAAATCATAATTAAAATTCCAAGAGCAAAAGACAAAGAGAGAATATTAAAAGCAGCAAGAGCTAAGCAGGTAGTTACCTATAACAATTTTCAGCTGATTTCTCAACAGAAACCATGCAGGCCAGACTGGAATGGCAAGAAATATTCAAGGTGACGAATAGCAAGAACCTACAGCCAAAAATACTCTACCCAGCAAAGCTATCACTCAGAATCGAAGGCCAGATAAAGAGCTTCACTAATAAAAAAAAGCTAAAGGAGTTCATGACCGCCAAACCAGAGTTATATGAATTGCTAAAGGGGGTTCTTTCAGAAGAGAAAGAAAATAAAGATAAAAATTATGAACAACAAATATGTAACTATCAACTAGTGAATCTAAAAACCAAAGGAATTAAAAAAAATCTGATGAACAATATTAACTGGTGAATATATTGATAATAGAATCAGAGGTATGGAAGGGGAGTGAACTGACAATTCTTGGGGAAAAGGAGAGTGGGGGGTGTGGGAAGAGACTGAATATAAACTGTGCACCTATGGATGAGGACAATGGGGGGTGGGGAAAGGGCAGAGGGTGGGAACCTGGTGGAGGGGAGCAATAGAGGGGGGGGGAAAAGTGAGGAACATTTGTAATAATGTGAACAATAAAGATTTATTTTAAAAAAAAAAGATGATCAAAGTTAAGAACTTTTAATGGTGTCTGGCAGCTACTAAACACTGAATAAATATTAACTATTGTGATGATAATGACATATTATCTTCTTACGTTTCAGAGGAGGAAATTAAAGTACCTTACCCAAGACCACATACCGTATTTTTCGGACCATAAGACGCACTTTTTTCCCCCCAGAAGTGGGGGGGAAAAGTCCCTGCGTCTTATGGTCCAAATATAGCCTACACATATACTTTAAAAAAAAAGTTTTTTTACTTGCCTGGCTCTGTGTGGTCTCTGTGTGCTTGCCCGGCTCTAAAATGGTTCTAAATGCTGCTGTTTACTTTACAGGGTTGATTACATGTGTTTATGACTGTGATGTTGGGTTTTAATGCACATAAGATATTTTAGGACACTGTTTCAGAATCTTTTTTTCTTAATTTCCCTTCTCTAAAAACTGGTGCGTCTTATGGTCCGGAGCGTCTTATGGTCCGAAAAATACGGTAGCTACTACTATTATACTATACCAAACCAGGATTCACAATTAGGGTGCTAAATCTAAGCTCTTTTCACAACACCTAGTATACAATGGCATTTGATTTAGCATACACGTTGGTAATTATTTTGGTATTTCATGAGTTTCACAAAAAGCACTGACAACCAAGAGCTCCATTATTTTAATAAGCCTGGATGGAACCCACTGCTATAAATTGGGTGCTCCCCTAGTGCACTACAGTCATGATTCCATTTACAAACTATTACTAGAAATATGATTTTCCTGGAACACAATAGCGCACATGGAAATAAATCTTTGTGATTAAAAAAAAAGCCACCTGACAGTCACCATCCAACCAGGTGCAAGAACCTAGACATCTCCCTCAAAAACTCCCTCTCATGCTCTCACCCCTTTGTCACCAAGTCCTACTGAGCCCATCTCCTAAACATGTGTGTCCAACTCTAATTCAGGCTTCATCACTTCTAGCCTAGACCAGTGGTCAGCAAACTCATTAGTCAACAAAGCCAAATACCAACAGTACAACGATTGACATTTCTTTTGAGAGCCAAATTTTTTAAAACTTAAACTTCTTCTAACACCACTTCTTCAAAATAGACTTGCCCAGGCCGTGGTATTTTGTGGAAGAGCCACACTCAAGGGGCCAAAGAGCAGCAGTTTGCTGACCACAAGCCTAGACCACTTCGACAGTCTCCTACCTGGTCTTCTAGCCTCCAGTCCATCTCTCTCCAATTTATATTCCACACGGCTGCCATATCTTAAATATCTTTAAACCTATCTGGCCATATTGTTTGCAATCTTTTAGTAGTTCCAGATAGTTTTCAGAATATTCATATTCACTGGGTTGAGTCCTTGCCTATCGGTGTCACCTCATCTCTTGTCTTCAGCTATATTTTGTTCCCAATGCATGTGAAAAAGGGAGAATGGGAGATGTATTGTCTGAACTGCCTATATAACCTTTCCCTGCCTTCTTCCACTGGCTACCGCCTGCTCTATCATCAAGACTCAGTTAAGTGTCACCATCTCCAGGAAGCCTTCTGTCACCCCTTTCTCTCTGCTCCCACAACCCTGGTGCTCCCCCAACCAGTGTGCTTCCCACAGATGACAACGATCTGTTTGCCTATTTGTTTATCCCCCCAAAGCAGGGACCACGTGTGATGCCACTTTGTGTTGCCACTGCCTGGCACTCTACCTGGCACATAGGAGAGAGTAAATAAATGCATGAACACGTGTTTTTTTTTCCTTAGAAATAAAAAACAAGGGAGAGAACCAAGATGGCGGCCTAGGTAAACACCTAAGCTGCCGCCTCACACAACAATTTCAAAAACAACAACTAAAATCAGAATGGACTTCATCCAAAAACACAGGAAAGCTGGCAGAATGGGAAATCTACAACTAGAAAGAAGGAGAGAGGCTCACGGATCGGATTGGGAGCCGTAAAGTACTGAGGTAGGGAGACGCTCGTGAGCAGAGAAGAAGTGTGGCTGTATGCCTGGCTGGTAGGAAAGGAAGTCCCAATTGCATTGAACCCTTTCTGATTGTATTGAACCCCAACCCCGCCCGAAACCTCATGAACCCAGGCTCATACGGGTAGAGTCTGGACTGTAGAGAAAGGCACCTGGAGACTCGGAGATTGGGAGACCTGGGAACCCAGGAGCCACAGCAGGCAGGGTCTACAGTTGCATGCGAGTGAATACGCACAGAGGTCTGACCGCGGAGGTTGCTTCTGCCTCTCCATAGCAGAGTCAGAAGCTTCAGACTACAGAGACCCATCCCAATTCCGGGCGAGCCCCTGGGGTACCCACGCTCTTGCACGGGGAATCTGGGACGGTCAGGCAGAAACTCAGGGGAGCCGTGGAAGGCAGAAGTCAGGTGAAACTCAGGGTAGCGCACAAGGGCAAGGCTGACGGGAAGCCAAGACTGTCAGCTCAGCCCTGAGACTCCGCCCCATCCAAGATGAGCACAGAGGCTTCTGCAATTTGTAAGTCTCATTCTATAAGGCTGTCTCCAATACAGAAGGTATCCCAGAGTAGACACAGCTGATACCCACATCCAATTGGTCAATTCCTCCCATGGATACCAACAACAATAAAGACTTAGCTATAACAAGGCTGTACACGCAGTCCACAAAGGGGAGCACCAAGAGTGTCTACCTCAGGTAACTGGGGAGGCTGACCCACTGGGCCATAGAGGACACCAAACACACAAAGCCATCCTACCAACTCTGGGAAGCAGCGAAAATGCCAAGACAAGGAAATAGATCTCAAACGAAAGAGATGGAGGAGAACAAAAGACTGGATATAGAGTTCAAAACCACGGTTATAAGGTTTTTCAAGAATTTCCTAGAAAAGGTCGATAAATTTATTAAGACCCAACTAGAAATTAAACATAAACTGACTGAAATAAAAAATATTATACAGAGATTCAACAGCAGACTGGAGGATCACATGAATCAAGTCAAAGATTTGGAATACAAAGAGCCAAAGGACACTCCTCTGGAGAAGCAAGAAGAAAAGAGAATCCAGAAAGTTGAAGATAGTGTAAGGAGCCTCTGGGACAACTTCAAGAGTACCAACATCAGAAATATGGGGGTGCCAGAAGAAGAGAGAGTGCAAGATACTGAAAACATATTTGAAGAAATAATATCAAAAAACTTCCCCCACCTGGTGAAAGAAATAGACTTATAAGTACAGGAAGCGTACAGAACCCCAAACAAGAGGAATCCAAAGAGGAACACACCAAGACACATCATAATTAAAATGCCAAGGGCAAAAGACAAAAAGAGGATCTTACAAGCAGCAAGAGAAAAGCAGTTGGTTACCTATAAGGGAGCACCCATACAACTATCAGCTGATTTCTCAACAGAAACTATGCAGGCCAGAAGGGAATGGCAAGAAATATACAAAGTGATGAATAGAGAGAACCTACAACCAAGATTACTGTATCCAGCAAAGTTATCATTCAGAATTGAAAGGCAGATAAAGAGCTTCACAGATAAGAAAAAGTTAAAGGAGTCCATCACCACCAAACCAGTATTATATGAAATGCTGAAAGGTATTCTTTAAGAAGAGGAAGATCAAGTGAATTAAAAATCTGAGGAACAGAATAAACTGGTGAATATAATGGAATCAGGGGCAAAGAAAGGGAGTGGATTGATAATTATCAGGGGGAAAGGGGTGTGGGGGGTGCAAAAAGAGACTGGATTAAAAATTTTTAACTAATGGATGAGGACAATGGTGGGGGTGGGGGTGGGGGAGAGGTAAGGGCAGAGGGTGGGGCGGGAACCAAGTAGAAGGGAGCTATGAGGGGGAAAAGGAGAAACAATTGTAATAATCTGAGCAATGAAGATTTATTTTTTAAAAATAACAATAAAAATAAATAAAAAACAATTTCAAAGACAAGTACAAACCTCAGTTTTGTCAGAGTCATCGTTTCCCAGTAATTCGTCATCCTCTTCTCTCCCAGAGCCTCTTGGGGGTCCTGGCCTCTTGGGAGATTCACCAGGACCCTCAATGTTTATGGTGGTGGCATCTGGGTTTGCTGCTAGAGAAGTGGCTACATCACCAAATTCTGAAATCAAGTAGAACACAAATGTATCAAAAGCCTTAGCCACACTAGAAATGCACTACTTATAATTTAAAGACAAGCTGTTATAACCTCAACCTTGCTATAGACCCTAATACAAATGGCAAAAAGGCTCTGAAAAAAAGATGTCATCTAGAAATCAAGCTGACAGAGAATAATATTTATGAAGACAACAGAAGTTGGAATCAGACCTAGATTTTAGCTGTAGCTCAGCTACTTACATGAACCTGAGTAAGTAACTTAATTTCTGTAAGCCTCATGTTTTCATCTATACAATGGGGAGAATGTTTACTCTAAAGAATTTTGAGAAAGTTAGGAATATTACCTAAGTAAAGCCCTTGGCAGAGTGCCTGGCCCACAGCAAGTACCCAATCTAAACCTTTCTTTGATTCTAATACAAAATTTAATTACATAAGTTATTTTTTCCAATAGGCCTATGTCATATGGGAACAAAATTTAGAGTACAAACCGCAGAATAAAATCACTTTTAGTCCCACCACATAAAGGTAACCACTATTAACTTCTGGTATATTTCCTTTTCTCTATATAATAAGATTCATGCCAGAAGATCATTCATTCATTTAACAAATATTTACTTAATGCCTACAGTGTACCAAGTACTAATTTAGGATGTGCTAATACTATGTAAACAATTTTGTATCCTGTTCTGTCTACTGGGGGTTATATAAAAATGTTTTTTCCATTTTTATATCAGTCTACACAATGATCACTTATGTGGCTACATAATATTCTATTAGCCGAGGTTAGGGAGAGTAGGAGAGAGATACCCTAAGGCAGTAGTCAGCAAACTGCAGCTCTGTTGACTAATGAGTTTGCCAACCACTGGAATAGGGGCTTAATCACCAGGAACAACAACAGGCTGTAATTATTGGAATCAAGAGTCTAGGTCGGTGGTCGGCAAACTCATTAGTCAACAGAGTGGCAAACCGCAGCTTGAGAGCCGCAAGTGGCTCTCGAGCCGCAGTTTGCCGACCACAGAGCTATGCAAATAGTTTTATGGAGAGAACTAAAGTGACTGAGATTAATTGGATGGCTGGTATGTTACAATTATTTAAGCTTCAGTCTCCAATGTTTGACTGTTGAAGCAGCATGAGGTCCTTTGTTTAAGTGAAGACCCCATAAACCTGGGTAAATTACTCCATACCTCTGAGTCTCTGTTTCTTCAACTATAGAATGTAGATATACCTTCCTTACAGAGAGATTAGGGGATGATATGAGATAATAAGTATTGTTATAGCTATCTTTTATTGACTGGACATAGCCTTGACACTTCAAAGACACTTCACGACCTTGCCTGAAGGAATCAGACCAATAAAGATATACTTAAATTTAAATATTTCATATTTAAGTACAGTTTACCAGGGGAAAGGGGCAGTCAGAAGGAAGAACAGAGAGTGTCCGATGAGAGGTATAAAGGCCAAAGAGGTTCAAAGGAAGATGATGACCCATCTAGCTGATGGGATTTGGAAAGGCTTCTAGAAGCTGCCATATGAGAGGGATGGTCAGAGTGGTGGGGATGGCATCTCATGCAGAGGGAAGGGCAAGACCTAGAAGATGGAAAACATGTCCCACGGCGGAGGAATAGCACATGGCATAGTTTGGTTGAAACGTAGAATGTATGATAACTGTTCACACCTTCTGCTCTCTTGGTTATTCTTGCCCATCTCTGCCCTTGAGGGAAAGACTGGAACGTTCTCATTTCTGCCACCAACGTTCTCTACTTCTGACCTATCCCATGCTGTTCTGCCTCTGTTCCGTTCCTGACACAATGTCTTCCACCTGCAGAGTGCTGAACTCCTCTTGTTCATCTTCTAACACTACCTCTCTTCCTCAGGGAAGCCCTCCATGACCCCCAGAGCGAGTCCTTAACATGGTTTATAAAGTCCTGTGAGACTGGGCTCCTCTCCAACCTCACACCTCACCCTGTGACAGCCTCCCCCACCATCTGTGCTCTGGGTCCATGGCCTTCTTTCAATTACTTGGGGGGGAAATCAAGCAAACTTCCTCCCTTCGCAGGTACTTTGTATGTGCCACTTTGTGTTTGAATGTTCTCACACTGTACTGACATAGGATGGCCAAAGAAGGCCTCTCTAATGAAGTGCGATCTGAACAGAGTGAGGGAACAAGCCATGTGGCTATATGGAGTAACAATATCCCAAACAGAAACATGACACAAAAGCCCTAAAGTCTAAGTGTACATGGTGTTTAAAATATATTTTATTGATTTTTTTACAGAGAGGAAAAGAGAGAGTTAGAAACATCGATGAGAGAGAATCATCGATCACCTGCCTCTTGCACACCTCTCACTGGGGATGTGCCCACAACCAACATACATGCCCTTGACCGGAATCGAACCTGGGACCCTACAGTCTGCAGGCCGACGCTCTATCCACTGAGCCAAACCGGTTTCGGCTGTACATGGTGTTTAGAAGAAAGAGTGATGGGGTCTGTGTGGGTACAGCAGAGAAAGGGCAAGAGTAGTAGGAGATGAAATCTGAGTGGAGGGCTAGATCATGTAGAGACTCCTAAGCACAGAATGGGCTCTGGATTCTACTCCTAGTGAGATGAGAGCTACTGGAAGGTTTATAGGAATGATATGGCTTTCTGGCTGGAAAATACCTACTGGAGAGGAGCAAGGAAGGAAAATGGAAGACCAGAAGGTAATCCAGACAAGAGGTGATCATGACCTTGAGCATGGTGGGAGAGGAGCAGAGATGGTGAGAAGTGATCAGATGCTGGAAGTACTTTAAAAATAGAGCTGATGGTTTTTGCTGATGAAATGGATTTCTCATCATATCTCTTCCTCAGATAGTAGTGAGATAGCATAGGTTGTGAAGGTCAGCTACTTGGGTGCAAACCCTGCTTTAGCCCTTATTAACTGTATTAGAAACCCGGTGCATGAAATTCGTGTACTCAATGGGGGGGTCCCTCAACCCAACCTGTGCCCTCTTCCAGTCAGAGCCTTTGGGGGATGTCTCACTGACGATTTAGGCCTGCTTCCTGTGGGGAGCAGGCCTAAGCCATCAGACGGATGTCCTTAGCACTAATGCAGAGGCAGGAGAGGCTCCCATCACCACTGCTGTGCTCGCCAGCATTAAGTCCGGCTTCTGGCTGAGCTGCATTCCCCCGTGGGAATGCACTATCAGGGGGTAGTTCCTGCATTAAGCATCTGCCCCCTGGTGGTCAATGCACATCATAGCAACTGGTTGTTCTGCCATTTGGTTGATTTGCATGTTAGCCTTTTATTATATAGGATGACCATCAGGCAAATTACTTAATTTTCCTATACCTCAATTTCCTCATTGGTAAATAGGGAGAATAAAATAACTGTTTCAACCCTGTTTGTAGAAGCAAAGCAGGAATTCTATTCAGATTTTCTGTAATCACTGTACTAAATTTATGAGTTTACCATCTGAAGGGTTATTTAACGAAAAAGAACAGCTAGTGTGGACAAACAGAAAAACCTGGATGGGGCCAACATTCTTTTACCCATATGTTTGAAATGATCTTTTTTAATGTATGTGCCAGCTTTGCAATGAAAATCTGTTGCTGTGCCTGCAGAAATACCGAGCATAAAGATGGAAGTGGGCACACAACTGATGTACCTTCAAACTGCAAGTCATCTACAGCTGCCATTCAGCCAGTGGTCTTCTCCCAATTATTAGAAAGCAAATTGCAGAGGTCTAAAAGGGAAAAACGAATAAACTTAAGCGGATACAAAAATAAAATATCTGCAAAGAAATCTTATTTCAGCATTCAAAATGATATTTGCTTTTCTTTTTAGTGGGGTTCCATAGTTTTTATATAAAGATAAAGCATCAGCCCTGGCTGGTTTGGCTCAATGGATAGAGCGTCGGTCTGCGGACTGAGAGGTCGGGGGTTTGATTCCAGCCAGGACACATGACTGGGTTGGGGGCTCAATCCCCAGTGTGGGGCGTGCGGGAGGCAGCCAATCAATGCTTCTCTCTCATCATTGATGTTTCTATCTCTTTCTCCCTCTCCCTTCCTCTTTAAAATAAGTAAAAAATATATTTTTTTAAAAAAGATAAAGCATCCGATATTATATAAAAACTAAGTGGGGGAGAGTCCAAAGGAATTTCATCCAATTTTACTCACTATGTGTTTAGGGACCAAGAGCAGCCTGGAGATGGAAGGATAAAGTTGAGAAAGGTGCCTCTGAGGACAGCGAAAAGCAAGAGCAGTTAAGCCTAGCTCGTGGTTACAGTCATAGGCTCTGTGGTCAGACACACCTGGGTTTCATTCCCGATTCTGCTGCTCCTCGCAGTGTAACTGTGAGCTCCTGGGGCCTCAGTTTCCTCATCTGTAAAATGGGTTCATAATGGTTCCTACACACACGGTGTTGGGGACAGGGGCATTAAATAAGGCGGTAAAGCGCTTATGCACAGCCAAGTAGCAGGCACTGGAGGGAAGACGACCCTGCAGCCTGTAATACCCTGAGCAAAGGAAGGTCTGGGAGAGAGCTGCCCAAGAAGCAGAAGCGATGTCAGGAGGAGGAGCTGGGCCTCAGTGGCCGGGGCGGGTAGGGGGTCCCGGGCCCACTTGGTCCCAGGCAGGCCCCGCACACCTGGCCGCCTCACCTCGGGGGCCTCGGCGTCCAGCCGTCCTGCCGCCCAGCCGTCCAGGAAGGCTGGGGCCTAGGATGCTGTCTGCACCGGTTCCGGGTCCCTCCGAGATGCCGGAAGCCGGAGATCCGGGGGGCGGGACTTCTCCGCCTACTTCAGGGAGCGCCCAGCCTCCTTAAAGAGACAGCAGCACCTCCAGGCAAAGGTGGGCGGCGGCAACCCGACCTACCTGCTCCCTCCGTCGCCGCTTCCGGTGCGAGGCTCCGGCTCTTAAAGAAACACGCGCGAGGGGGGCGCGCCGAAAAGCCGCCGCGCTGCTCGCCTTGCTCCGGCGGAGTGTGCTTTCTGTTTTTGTTTATGCCTCTTTTTCATATTGAAATAAAAAGAAAAAATAGCGTAACGAAGGACGACTGTGAAAATAAAAGTCATCAATCCCTTCCCCCCAATTCTTTTTGACCATAAAAATGTAATTAACCAGCGAGGGAGTTGATTCGTCCATTACTCTGAGTTTTGTGAATGAGCGATCCAACACCCCAGGAAGTCCGCCTGATGCCGGGGTTGGGGTTGGGGTTGGGGTAGGTCCGGATTGGCTCACTCACCTCGTGTCTGACCGCCACTCCAATATAGATGGTGCAATTGCACTGAGGGGACCTGGGGAGTGACATTGTCCAACCTGCGGTATTTTTTTTTTAAATATATTTTATTGATTTTTTTTTTACAGAGAGGAGGAGAGAGGGATAGAGAGCTAGAAACATCAACCAGCTGCCTCTTGCACACTCCCTACCGGGGAATGTGCCCGTAACCAATGTACATGCCCTTGACCGGAATCGAACCCAGGACCTTTCAGTACGCAGACGGATGCTCTACCACTGAGCCAAACCAATTTTGGCCAACCTGCGGTATTTGGTTACTGCCTACACACACACCCAGGTTTTGGTACCAATTCCTCCTCCTAGGGGGCGCTTGCCTTGGTTTCCCAAGACGTCTTTGCTCCCCTAGTCCCCTGGGCGTATTTCTACCACCACAACCTTTCTTTGCCCATCTTTGCCACCTGTGAGTGCTTTGAGGGCAAGGATCAGGAATGATTCCGGTCTTTGGGTCCTTGCTGGTCCGTCTATGGTGGGGCACACGAAATAGTTGCTCATGAAATCTAGTTCTGGCTGCTATCTGACCAGCATAAGCCAAATTCACAGATCTCACAAGATGGATCCTGAAACTTTGCCTCAGGGCAATGGGCCCTTGTGGTCAGTTGGAAAGATTTTATATTGGACTACGACTAAGATGACTACTACTGCTACCACTACACTAGCTTTATATTTTTTTAATTTTTAAAAATATATTTTATTGATTTTTTACAGAGAGGAAGGGAGAGGGAGAGAGAGTCAGAAACATTGATGAGAGAGAAACATCCATCAGCTGCCTCCTGCACACCCGCCACTGGGGATGTGCCCACAACCAAGATATATGCCCTTGACCGGAATCGAACCTGGGTGAGTCCGCAGGCTGATGCTCTATCCACTGAGCCAAACCGGTTATAATTATACTAGCTTTACTGTGTGTGTGTGTGTGTATGTGTGTGTGTGTACTTACATAAATATAGTGTGTTTATTGAACTGGCATCATGATTAGGCTTTACACATGCAATATCTCTAATCCTCAGAACAATCTGTAAGCTTGCGGTGATGATCCTGTTTATGAAGAGAAAGCTGAGGCTTAAGAAGTTGCAGGGTACTTTGGTAGAATATATACCAGAATGAATCTCAATGTACAAATTCAGGAGTGCAAGTGCATTAGACCCTCTTACAGCCCATTTCAGATTCCCGTGGCTTCACCGGCTGCTTATTTCACCACCACTAATCTTATTCTGGCGTCAGCAGGTATAACCTAAGTGAGTTTCACCACCAGCCCATACTTCATCTTCTCACCTCTGCATCAGGGCTTGTGTCTTGATACTATGGGGTCGTAGGACTGCTGGAACCACTCAGGACCCAGACAGTTACAACCCAAAGGTGCAGGTGTGGGGAGTGGTTGACGCCTCAGAGGGCAAATCTTTGACCGATGGTGTCAACAAATGAATACATGCTTTATCCTTTTTCCTCTTGGACAGATGCTCCTCAGACAGCTCCTAGAGCTTTCAAAATATTTCCCAGGGGCGAGCAACCAAATGCCTTTGGAAGTGGCCGGTTTAGTAATGGGTCCTTCCTCCCCAGCTTTACAACCATCTTTCACTCCTGGTCCTTGGATTCACACTTGCCAGTACAGTATGAGGAGCTCACACTAAGGCATGTTGGTACCAAGAGTGGCCCCAGAAAGTAGCCCTCAGGATGGAATTTTGGAGCTAGAGTGCTCACCAGTCAGACTGCAACAACAACCCCATTGCTAGTGTATGTGTGTTGGGAGGGAATGATAACACCTAGACTATCTATTTCTTCTCTTAGAAACACAGGTAAAAGTTATATTGACATATAGTTATAAACACATGTAATATTTGGTTCAAAATGAGACAAGTATCAAAGTTAATTGCACTGGCTTTACGAAAACAATGCCTGTCAACTGGGAACTATTTTTCTTCCAGGGGATATTTATTTGGCAATGTCTAAAGACATTTTTGGTTGCCACTGGCTTGTTGGATGCTAGGGCCATGGTGCTTTTAGACATCCTATAATGCACAGGATAGCCCCCTCCTAACAAAGAAGTATCTAGATCAAAATATCAATGGTGTCAAGGTTAAAAAACTCGGAGCTCAAATGTCCAGATTTCCTTAACTTGTCTGCCCAAGTATGGGAAGGCAGGTGAGCCCAGCTGATGGTGCTAATCAGACCTCTACTGCCCTGAGGCAGCAAAGAACCACTGGGTGAATCTCCCCACCGCCCTCACTTAGAATGGGGGAAGGGAAGGTGGTGAGCCTGCTCTGATGGACAGGGATAGTGGTAGAGGAGACATTCTGAAAAGTAGGAGCCGTGGTTAGATGCTGCATGTGACCCTGCCTCAGTCCCCTGGCTTTGTGTGCAGAGAAAAGCTGGAGGCCACGTAGCTGAGCCATACTCTAGAAGGTGTCTTCAACACCCCATGGGCATATACCCATTCCCATCAGGCTCCTGGTACTGTGGGAGCACTTCATCCTCGCTCCAGGGGTTGCAAGTCAGGGATGGACAGTTGGCTCCACTTGAATCTTTTTCTTTTGAGGTCTCCACACACAGACCTCTTTTCCTTTTTTTGATGTACCTGGTGTTAAGAGCTAAGACTGTTTGAAGCCATATGTGGGTGAGGGAGAACCAAAATAGGTTGCACTTGACATCCCCGTGACTATTTTGTAACTGCTGATTTGTATTTCTTTTTTTTAAAAAAAAAACAAAACATTTTATTGATTTTTACAGAGAGGAAGGGAGAGGGATAGAGAACTAGAAACATCGATGAGAGAGAAACATCGATCAGCTGCCTCCTGCACACCCCCCACTGGGGATGTGCCCAAAACTAAGGTACATGCCCTTGACCGGAACCCAGAACCCAGAACCCTTCAGTCTGCAGGCCGACACGCTATCCACTGAGCCAAACCAGTTTCAGCCAATTACATAGATCTTTAAAAACAAAACGGTAGACTACAAAGACTTTCAAAACAGAGTGGTAATTTTCTGTTTGTTTCTTCCCCACTCTAAACCACCACACCACGGAGATGGAGAGTGCTGTGTTTACACTCTGACCCAGCACTAAGGGAAGTCCAAGGCCCAGTGCTCCCTCCAGACCCAAATACTCCAGGGATGCCTCTGCCTCCAGAACCACAGCCAGAAGCTGTGAGTGGGAAAAAACACCTTTCATTAGTGAAAGCAGAACTTACTTCATTAAAAGAATAATTAACATTAGAACATACTTGCTTGCAACAGAATCTTCCTAAAGGACCACAGAGTCCCTTTAAGTGTGATGTTTTAAAGTGTTCCTGAACATTTATCAGAGGGAGAATTTAAGATCTGAAGTCTTCCAGGCCCAAGAATCCCTCAAAGGTTAAGGCAAAGGATCAGGAATGATAATAATTAGATCTATGAAGCACCTGGTAGGGAATTTTCCATTCCATTGACAGGAAGGCAAACACCTTCTGTCCAGGTCGCTTCCTCCTGGCAGAGGGGGGGGTGGGGGTGGGGTGGCGGGGGGGCGGGGCTACTTTCACCCCGCACCTTTGTTGGGCTCCGCCCACTGTGGCCCAGCTGCTGCGTCTCTGTCCATCAGCCTCAGAGCCAGCTCTGGCTGTGCCGAGATGGGGCTGCTTCAGCCAGGGCTGTGGCTGAAGAGGCTCTGGATACTCGTGCAGGTGGCCCTGCATGTGACCTTGGGCAAAGTACAGCTGAAACTGTTTCCCGGGAGAGTCAAGCAGCACATCTTGGCCATGAACCGGAAGAACCCGCACTTCTCCTATGATAACTGGGCTCCAACCCTCTTCAGCACCCAGTATTTCTGGTTCGTCCTGAAGGTCCGTTGGCAACGATTAGAGGACAAGGCTGAGGAAGGGGGTCTAGCACCAAACTGCCCTGTGGTCCGCCTGTCCGGACAGAGGTGTAACATTTGGGACTTCATGCAAGGTCAGGAGGCTGATATAGCTTGCTTGGAATGGGGCTGTGCAAGGCGGGTGGGAGGTGGGTTGGAAAGTCCTGGATTCTTCTACTGCTCCAGCTGCTCATGCTTTTGCTTCGTGTCCACTTCCTATTGTATTTCCAGAAACCAGGGCTTTTCCTGGATTCTGTTTTTCGGAGGGGCATCAGCACCTTTCCTTGTAGGAACTCAAACCACAAACCAACCACACTGGCCCTCAGCTCCCCCAGCACTGCTATTACCATACCGTCATTCTGCCTGAGATGCACTTCACCTCCTCTATGCCCTGTCAACTCCTCTACATCCTTCCCACTTCTGCTCAGTGACACTTCCTGCATTAGGTCAACCTCAACTTCCCCAGACAGGTTACCCCTTCTTGTATACTTAACATGCTAAGTTTTTTTCATAATTACAAACTAGGACAAGGTGTAATAATAGTGTGGGTATTTGATTAATGTCTATCTCCCTCACTAGCCCAAAAGCTGTCCGGGTGGAGTTCATGGCTAAGGTGACCAGATGTCCCGCTTTTGGCGGGACAGTCCCGATTTTTAACAATTTGTCCTGCGACGTTTTAAAAAAGTCCCGATTTTTTGATAGATTCTTTCCAATCAGGACTTTTTACAAATGCCACGGGATGCGAGACAAATTGTTAAAAATTGGGACTGTCCCGCCAAAAGCGGAATGTCTGGTCACCTTAGCCATGGCTCTAACCCACTATTGTGCCCCCAGGGCTGCTGCTGACTCATGGTTTTTGCTGAGTAAGTATTTGTGCTCTCTGTCTCTTCCAGGAAAACCAGCTCAGCCTATTTGGGTTCTTAAAGCCCTCTCCAATCAGTTTTCTCCTTTTGTCCTCACAGCTGCTCTCCCTGCCAGGACTTCTCCTCCCCCTCTTTCCAGATACCCTTCCACAGGCACATTCCTGACCCATGGACATCCCAGCTCACCAACCTTCAGCACCCTCCCCCAAGGCCCATGCATTCAGGATGCATGCTCAAGGTCCTCCCTGGGTTGTGCTTTGTGCCCAAAGTCCTCTCTGGACCGACTCCAGCTTTTCTTCCCAACTTTACCTGCAACCTCCCTTCATGCTCACCGCCTGCAGACAGCTGTTGGATCTTGTACGTTGTGGTGCTCTCCTCCTCTCTCTTTGCTGAAGTTGTTGGATCTCCCACTCCATCGGCAACAGCTCAAATCCCCCTCATCCTCAGGGCCCTCCTCTCTTGCCACCCCATCTGTGAAGCCATCTCAGATGCTTTCTCCCTTCTGGATGCATGGCTCTCCGTCTGCACCCTCTCCTCCGTCACTGACTGTTCCTACCCAGCCTTGGGTTGCCGAAGCATACGTGCTTTCTTCTTGCCCAATGGGAAGCCTTGCAACAAGGCTGTGCCTGATTCGTCTTTGAATTCCCAGGGCCTAGACACAGCAGATAGAGTAGAGAAAGTCCCGAGGCAGTTGGCTCATCTAGTGCCTTTAAAAGCGTTCTTTAGAACCCAAGTCCCACAAATATGTTGTATTACATAGAGTCCCCTGGTCGAAGTAGCTTGGGAAACCCTTCTCTTGGAAATTCATAGTGGGCGTGAACATATAACAGGCCCTGAGAAGATCCAAAGCCTAAGAGCAAACAAACAAAACTTGGAAAAACTTTGACAGCATTGACAAATTTTCCTAACACACACACACACACACACACACACACACACACACCCTTCCCACACTCCACCAGAGGAAATGCCTATCATCATCATGGTTCCAAAGGGAAATGTTGACTTCATCCATTCCTCTCCTTTTAGAAAGGAAATGGAGAAAACTGAGAGGCAAAGGTAACAGAGCCAGTGACTGACTGACTCAGACCCAGAATCAGGGCTTCTACTTCCTGTTTTGTTTTTTTTCCCCATTGCACCCCCAAAAAACACTCATGAGCACGTCCTATGTGCCAGGCTCTCAGCTATATGCCAGGGACACAGAGTTAAGTAAGCACTTGCTCCTTCGCTCAAGGAGTTTATAGTTCTACAGAACAGGTGGACATAATATACAAATGCTTGCAGTTCTGTGAGATGGGGGAGGCTATAAAGCTAGGAACTTTACCTGCAGGGCTTGGAGGACTTCCTGGAGGAGGCGGCTTTGGAACTAGGCTTTGAAGAATAAGATTTTTGTACCTGAGAACGGAAAAGGGGAAAGTGTTGCAAGCAAGGGAAAGCCAAGAGGTTTATTTTTGTTTTGTTTGTTTGTTTTGCCTCATGACTTTAAACCAGGGAGCACAAATGATCTCTATTTATTCAACTAATATTAATCAAGTGGCCACTGATAATGCAAGTAATGATAGTAACAACTAACTTTTATTTTGCACCTACTATGTGCCAAGCACTGTGATAGAACCAGGCTGATGTGCTGAATATCAATCACCTAGCGATCAATTCCATGAAAGCCACCTTGCCTCATGGTCAATTCACAGAATTTACTTGCCTCTTTTAACTGTTTACTTTTAGTGGGTCAGTTCACATTTTGAAGGCTGTTTATTTATCTGAGACTGAAGAAAGAAGAAAGAAAGAGGCTAAAAGACAAAAGAAAACTCTATTTATGAAATAAAGTTGGCTTTCAACACATAAACCCAGAGTCCCCTGAAATAACAGATCCTGGTAAAATTTATAGTGTGGTCGGTGCAGTGATCAGTGTTGAGGGCAACACGACTGCTCTCTGTCTGGTAGATCTCATAACCCAGAGAGGGAGACAGTGTAGTGGGGGAGGGAGCAGAGAGTTTTGGAGGAAGTGGGGTGGGGTATTCAGATGAAGGCTTCCTTGAAAGGATGATGGTGAGATGATTGTCTAGGGACAGTGAGGCCTTGGAGTGGGTGGACACAGAGAAAGACAGAGGAGGGAGCAGCAGAGGTCCGAGATGGGGAGGGGCATCAGGCAGCTGGGCAGAAGCAGAGTGTGGAAGGCATAAAGGGGTGAAGGATGAGGATGGAGATATCATCAAGGACTAGAGCTTGGGGAGTGGGGAGGTCATGTGTCTTACCAAAGAGTAGAGTTTATCCTGAGGGTATTGGTGAGTTCTACAAAGATTTTCAAGCAAGGAGTTAACACGATCAGGTCTGCTTATTAGAAAGACATCCTGTAACTGTTTTGGAAATTCATGGAGCCACAAAAAGCTCTGCTGTAGACTTTGAACTCATTTTAGAGCCACAGAAGAGAAGCTCTGGCAGAGTCTTTATGGATAACCTAAAACAACTCTTTCACTTTTCATAGACAAAGGCCCAGAGAGGTAAATTACTCGCTCAGAGTCACACAGCTAGTTCTAATAGAGCCAGAACTAGAACGTGTGCCTTCTGATTTTCAGCCAGTGCACTTCCTCTCATTGAGTAAGACAACAGAGGCTCAGAAAAATTCTCAGTCACCACCTATCCTCTGCGTGCACATGCAAAGATATGGCATACACATGCCTTTGGACACACACACACACACACACACACACACACACACACCAAAACATTAACTTGTGTATTGTGGTGGAAGGCAAGCCTGATGACTTACTTTCTAGGTACCTAGGAGTTAATCTGAAACTGGTTTATTTCAGCCCTTGTTTACTATCATTTAAAATCTCTCTAAGCATATTTATGAGGTGTCATGTAGTAATTATAAATGGACTTTCTGTGCTGAGAGAGTCCAGTATGAGGGTTAATTTACTGGTCTGGGGGGGGGGGGAGTTTAGGATGGTAGGTTTGAGTCCAGCACTTCTACAGAGCTGTTTTCCCATTTTTACGAATGAGTTGATTGACAGTTTTTGCCCTACATTCTTGACAGGTGTGTTCTGCACCATGGCCTGTGGACATGGGCAGAGTGTCAGCCCTCAGCGCTGCCACTCCCTTGTACCTGTCCTTCCTCTCTCTTTTACCAGGACAGCGGGGAACTGAGCTTAAACTTTGCCCTCAATACTCATCACTGTACCCACCACAATATAAACAAACTAATGGCTCTGTATCTTCTAAGGTACTAATCAGTGAGTGCTGAATCTTCTTTCTTTTCAACTAATAACAAATTCCGGTCAGCTAATATTTAACTCTGGTCCTGACCTTTAGTCTTCTGAATTAGAGGCCAATGGTCAGCCACTTGTCCATGACTGGCCCCTGAGCGTCTCCTGCTGAGGCCTGAGCAACCCTGTCACAGGGGCAAGGACTCGTTGAGTAATCCACTAGCATCAACAGAGGCCCACGCAACACTCTAGGGCCTCTTAAGAGAAAATCTGTGAGCCAAGGACAGGGAGAACTGTGCATCTCCAAAGAAACTGGCCTGCTTTCTCCTCATATACTGAAAAATGATGACTAGAACCAATACTTTCCTTTAATTGGCCATAGAAAACTCAGAGTCAAATATCAACTGTTATAATGCAGGAACCTGAAAGCCTATTTATGTTTTCCACATTTCCCTCCTCTTCTATGCCTCCTAAGCTACTTCAAATTCTTTGGGGAAATAGGTGAAGAAATAACTAACCAAGTAAATCACAAGCAAGGTACTCATCCATCAGCAAATCCTGTCAATTCCAGTTTTTCCTTCTCTACTGCCCACACACTAGCCTATGCTCTCATTGTCTCTCATGTGAATTCCTTCCATGCTCCCAACTGCTCCTCTACAGCTTCCATTCTCACCTCAGTCCCTTTTTTTTTTAGAACAGCCAGGGTGATCTTCTATAAAAACCTGATCATTTTTTTATTATACAGCCCTCCTTAGCCTCAGGAGGCTGGCTTGCAAGCAACAGAAACTCACTTTGTATTTCACATATATCCTAATAATAAGAGTAATATGAAAATTAACCACCACTCTGCTACACCCACCAGCCAATCAGAGCGAGTATGCAAATTAACCCAATCAAGATGGCTGTGGCCACAGAGAGCAGGAGGGAGGCTTGGGTTTCCCCAGCAATGGAGGAAGCCAAGCTTTCCACACATCCTGGCCAGCCGAGGCCTCCACTCAATAGTACAAAGTTTCTATTATAGAAGGTAAATAAATTCCAACAGAAATGGCGGCAGCCACTGAGCTGAAAGAGCAGGAGGCTAGGGTTGCCCCGGGCAATGGAAGAAGTCAAACTTCTGCAGCCCTGGCCAGCTCAGGCCTTCACTCCAGGCTACAAAGTTTCAATTATAGAAAATAGATAAACTCCAATAGAAATGGCTGCTGCCACAGAGTGAGTAGGAGGCTTGCCTCCACAAAGTTTCAATTGTAGAAGATAAATTCCAGATACCAGGGCTTCCACTTGGATCACCAGGGGATGTGGCTGGCCTGCAAACCACCACAGGCCCCTCGCTCAGGCCACCTCACCCTGATCTGGGATACCCTTCAGGGCAAACCAGCTAGCCCCCACCCATGCACCAGGCTTCTATCTTATCTAATAAAAGAATAATATGCAGATTGACTATCACTCCAACACACAAGATGGCTGCCCCCATGTGGTCAAATATCCTGCCCCCATGTGGACACAAGATGGCCACCACAAGATGGCCAGCAAGGGAGGGAAGATGGGAGGGACCAGGCCTGCAAGGGAGGGCAGTTTAAAGGGGCCAGGCTTACAAGGGAGGACAGTTTGGGGCGATCAACCCTGCAGGGGAGGGCAATTAGGGGTGACCAGGCCAGCAGAGGAGGGAAGTTGGGGGCAAACAGGCTGGCAGGAGAGCAGTTATACATCAATCAAGCTGGCATGGGAGTGGTTAGGGGATAATCAGGCTTGCAGGCAGAAGCTGTTAGGGGCAATCAGGAAGACAGGCAGGTGAACATTTGGGAGCTAGCAATCCTGGATTATGAGAGGGATGTCCGACTGCCCTTTTAGGCCTGATCCTGGTGGTGGGATCAGGCCTAAACAGGCAGTCAGACATCCCTTGAAGAGTCCCAGATTGGAGAGGATGCAGGCTGGGCTAAGGGACAACTCTTCCCCATGCACAAATTTCATGCACCAGGCCTCTAGATATATTTCCTCTCTGATATATACACACACACCAGAAGGGAGGAGAAAGGGATAGAAACATTAATGATCAATGATGAGAGAGAGTCATCGATCACCTGCCTCCCACACCCCTCCCTCCTGGGGATTGAGCCCGCAACCCAGGCATATGCCCTGACCAGGAGTCGAACCGTTACCTCCTGGTTCATAGATAGATGCTCAACTACTGAGCCAAACCAGCTGGGCCACTATGGTTTTCTTGGTCACACACATACACATATACAAAGGAATGTATTAGAAAATTGTAAGATCCCCAGAATCAATCACAGCTGGAGCACTAGGCCTGCACTATCTACTAGCATCAAAGGTCAGGCCTGGATGCTGCTTTCATTGTGGTTGTTATGGGAAACCATAAACACCTTGGGACTCCACCATCCCTCATGGGCACTGCCACTGGACCATGGATGAATTCTATCATCTCAATTATTCCAGAATCAAATATCTATATGGGAGGGTCCAATCAGCCCTACCAGAGTCACTGACTGTGGCCTGGCTCCTCTGTCTTCCATAGAGCAAGGCTGAGCACACTCTCCCATCAATAAATAATACACAAAATAGGGAATTCCAAGTTGGAAGGACAATTAGGAGATGGGCAGCCAAAATCATAACAAATATCCACCATGTTTGCTTTGAATCTCCATGAAGTCCTACTGCACCATTCCTTATAGTGCGGGAGAGCCTGCCTGCTCTGGCCCATACCTACCTCTCCCTCCACAACTCTCATTCCTCCCTCAGCCTGGCTTCCGCCACACTGGCCTTACAGGTCCTCGAACACACCAACCTGCCTGTGCCTCCTCAGGGCCTTTCTACAAGGAGTCCCTTTGTCTGCTGCTCCTCCCTTTAGCCCCCTGGCTCATTGCTGATCTTCCTTTCTCCAGTTAAATGACAGACATTTCACCAGAGACCTTCCTTGACCTGTCTGTCTGTCTAAAGCAGATCACTCCTTTTTAGCCTCTCTTGTACCATCACAACTTGAAATTACTTCATTTGTACCTTTCCTTATATTTTGCCTGTCTCCCCATTGAGCAGGCAGAGACCTGCTGGTCTTGCTCTCTGCCGAGTCCCTGGCATATCACAGAGAGCCTTGTATATTTAAGTGCTGAATAAATGCTTGTAGATGAAAAAAAGTGTGCTCCAGGTGGGGGATGTGAGGAGGTGTGAGGAACAGGCTCTGCCCTCAAGGGCAATGAGTAGCCTCGGGGATATAGACACGCCTGGCCACGCCTGGCCACGTCCCAGGGCAGGACCTGCATGTTCTAACAGGTGTACAGTTAACACTCAGCTCTGGCCATAAGTAGCCACAGGGTGCTAGCAGCTCCCTAGACTTCACCCCAATCTAGGCTGGAGAGTTACAGAAGGCAGCCACTCAGGGCAGGCTTCATGGGACCAGTGAACACACGGGGTCCCACATTCAGAAGGGCCTTGTGCTTGGGGTTTAATGCTTTGTGATAGTTGTCTTGAAATTCTTAATAGTTTCAACTTTGAATTTGCACTTTGTAACCTGATGCAACAATGGAACATATCCTGGGCACTTGGAACCTGGCTTCTGTAGGATCCCACCTCCCATAGCCTCCCTGCTCTCCCAGGCCCACTCTTCCACTCCCATCCCATATAGCTTCCTTCCTGTTCCCACCCAGTTCCTGCTGCCACCTTCTGGCCCACACAGGGCCTGGGCATGGGCATGGGCATGGGCAGGATCAGGTGCAGGGCGTGGAGGCAGCCGTCCCCATCCAGGGCCCACAGCATCAGAGTGCAATTTGGCAAGTGCCTGGGGTGCCTTGATAGGAGTCTCTTGCCCACCTCCCCTGACATCAAGGTATCTGGCATGTCGCTGCGCAGAGTTTGTAATCTCCTGTGGGTTGGGGTGGGCAGGAGAAATGTCTGGCTAAGTTTTTGTGTTCCTGGCTGGGCTGTGGTACATTGGTCAGGTGGCTGGAGGGAAAGGAACGCCAATAGCCAGTGGCCGCAGACACACATTCACACGCACACTGAATTTGGGGGCTCCTGGGTGACTGTGAGAGTCTGCATTCACCCTGTGAGTATCCCTGTGCCCAGGGGAGTGCAACATTAAACAGCAACAGAAAGTACCAGGCCAGGCAGGGCGAAAGGGTCGGGGAGGGGGGTGGGGGGGTCGTCAGCGCCAGCTCCAGTGCACAGAGCTTCATTCCTTGGCCCTCCCACCCTCTCCCTTACCCCGCCCCTGACCCCACCCCCGACCCCCTGGGGGGGGCGGGGATCCATCCCAAATCACTGGAACCCGAGGGAGGTTTCCTCACACCCTCAGGTAGACTAACTTTCCACGATTCCCTCTTCTCCGTTTTCCACTCAATCTCCCTCTTCCACTCTCTTCTCCCAGAGTGCATGTCTCTTTAAGGCGAGGGCGCCTTCTCTGGGTCAGACCACCGTCCCCTTCCCTGCTCCCACCCCCTTCTCCCCGCACCGAGTACTTGTCCGTGCATGTCCCTTTAAGGCGAGGGCGCCTTCTCCCGGTCGGACCACCGTCCCCTCCCCTGCTCCCACCCCCTTCTCCAGGCGGCAGCGAGTGCTGGTCTCTTTAAGGCGACGGTGCCTTCTCCAGGTCAGACCACCATCCCCTCTCCTGCTCCCATCCTTTTCTCCCGGCGGCGCCGAGTGCGTGTCCATGTCTGTCCCTTTAAGGCGAGGGCGCCTTCTCCCGGTCAGACCACCGTCCCCTCCTCTGCTTCCACCCTCTTCTCCCCGCACCGAATGCATGTTCCTTAAAGGCAAAGGCGAATGCATGTTCCTTTAAGGCGAGGGCGCCTTCTCCCGGTCAGACCACCGTCCCCTCCCCTGCTCGCATCCCCTTCTCCCGGCGCCTCCGAGTGCAGGTTCCTTTAAGGCGATGGCGCCTTCTCTGGGTCAGACTGCCGGCAGCGGGGATGGCGGCGACGACCCCGGGAGCATGGCGGACATCGACCTGTTTCTGGAATGCGAGGAGGAGGAGCTGGAGCCGAAGGACAAGTTTGTAGAGTGCGAGGAGGAGGAGCTAGCGCCGTGGCAGAAAAGCGGTGATGTCAGTGAGGACTCCGTGGTCGAAGATGATCACTCGGTGGGTGAAACCACTGCGGCTTCCGAGAGCCAGCAGCCAGCCCCAGGGGCTCCGGTGCCCACCGCTGCCCATGCTGCTGCCGCCGGCCACCTCCCTGCACCCACCGCGACCGGCCACCTCCCTGCACCCACCGCGGCCGGCCACCTCCCTGCACCCACCACGGCCAGCCACCTCCCTGCACCCACCCCGGCCAGGCACCTCTCTGCACCCACCCCGGCCGGCAGCAGCGGCTGCGTCCCGGACAGCCTCCGTGCAGAGCAGACTCTAGTCACACTCCCTGCAAGCGATGCCCAGAGAGGCCGGGGTCCCGGGCAGAGCCTGTCAGAGGAACAGCTATGGGCACAATGCGCCTCTGGGGCCGAAAGGAAGCAGCACCGTCGGCAGAACCTGTCCGAGGACCAGCTGCTGGCTCTGCGCACCGCCGAGGCCCAGCGGAGCCGGCAGCGTCGACACGCCATCTCCGAGGAGCAGCGCCTGGCACAGCGCATCTCCGCGGCTGAGAGGAAGCAGCGCCGGCGACAGAACATGTCCGAGGAGCAGCTCCTGGCGGAACGCATCTCGGAGGCCAGGAGAAAGCAGCACCGTCGACGGACCATGTCCGAGGAACAGCTGCTGGCGCTGCGCACCGCCGAGGCCGAGCGGAGCCGGCGGCGGAGACAGAACATGTCGGAGGAGCAGCGCCTGGCGCAGCGCATCTCCGCGGCCGAGAGGAAGCTGCGGCGCCAGCAGAACATGACCGAGGAGCAGCGGCTGGCGGAGCGCATCTCGGACGCTGTGAGGAAGCAGCGCCGCCGGCAGAGCATGTCGGCGGAAGAGCTGCTGGCACAGCGCACCTGCGAGGCCGAGAGGAGCCGGCGCCGCCGCCAGAACATGTCGGAGGAGCAGCGCCTGGCCCAGCGCATCGCTGCGGCCGAGAGGAAGCAGCGCCGTCAGCAGAGCATGTCCGAGGAGCAGCGGCTGGCACAGCGGGCCTTGGAGGCCGAGAGAAGCCGGCGGCGTCGACAGAGCATGTTTGAGGAACAGCGACTGGCGCAGTGTGCTGGAATGGGGATGCCTAGGGGTGAAAAGGACATGTTTAAGGACATCTTAGAGATCCTAGCCATGAAGGGGGCCGTGGAAGAAGCACAGGGCTGGAAAGCTGCCACAGGCACATGTCCATAGAATGAGGGAGCTGGAAACAACAGAAGGTCTATATGTACAAAATAAAGGTAAGGAAACCCCTCCTTCAAAGGAAGAAGAAGAAGAAAGCCCAAAGGGAATAGGAAAACCTCACCTTTGAGCTCTGGAGTTACTATAGTAACTAGTCTGAGGATATCATGACCAATCAGAAGAGATATCAAGGCACTGGGACTTTCAGCCTTTATAAACGGTGGAAACAGGAAGTCGGCGGGACTTCTTCCCCTTCCCATGTTGGGAGTCCCTTCTGTGGGACATTTTTCCCCCTCCCCCTACAGGTGGGAGTCTGTGCTGTGAGAGTCTTTCCCCTTCCCTATGCGGGAATCTGTACTTGTTCTTCAATAAATTTCCACCTTTGCTATTAAAAAAAGAAAAAAAAAAAAAAAAAAGTACCAGGCTAGGGCAAGACAGAGACCACAGAAGATAAGAAAAATCCTTAATCTTAACTAGAGGCCCGGCGCCTGCACTTTCTCCAATCTGGGAACCCTACAATCTGGGGCCCTCAGGGGATGTCCGACTGCCGGTTTAGGCCCGATCCCACAGGATCAAGCAGTCAGACATCCTTCTCACAATCTGGGACTGCTGGCTCCCAACCACTTGCCTGTCTGCCAGCCTGATCACCCCTAACCACTTCCCAACCAGATTGATGCCTAACTGCTCCCCTGCCAGCCTGATTGCCCCCAACTACCCTCCCATGCTGGCCCAGTAACCTCCAACTGCCCTCCTTTTCAGGCTTGGTTGCCCCCAACTGTCCCGGTCACACCTAACTGCCCTCCCCTGCCAACCTGGTCACCCCCAACTGTCCTCCCCTGAATGCCTGGGTTCCCCCCTATTTCCCTCCCTTGCTGGCCTGGTCACCCCTAACTGCCCTCCCCTGCTGGCCTGATTGCCCACAGCTGCCCTTCCCTGACAGCCATCTTGTGGTGGCCATCTTTGACCACATGAGGTGGCCATCTTGTGTGAGGGTCAATTTGCATATTACCTTTTTATTATATAGGATATACTAAATGGCATTTCCTCCCTCCTCCCCCCCATTTTTTGAACTAGGGGCCCTGAGTTTTCATTTTGCACAGTACATTATGTAGCTGGCCCTGCTCCCACCCTTCACTGCCCTTCCTGAGTCCCTTTCACTGCCTCCCCCACATCTTGGCTCAGGGAGAAGATAATATCTAATACCAGCTTACATTTATTGAGCACCTACTATGGGCCAGGCACCATTTGAAGCCCTTATCTGTATGAACTTCTTTAATTCTCATAACAATCCTATAAAGTATTATTACTATGTACATTTGTGGGTGAGAAAACATTGAATTGTGGAAAGAACATTGAATTGAGAGTCTATGAGCCAGAGTTAATTTTAACTCCACTGCTGACCTACTGACATGAGACAGGCCTATAAAACTCAATTTGTCTATAAGACGGGGGAGAAAATTATCGGCCTTGTAGTATACCAATCACATCCCATGAGAGAATGGATGTATGCTTGCCTTGTAAACTGCACCCAAAGGGACTCTTCTTATCACTCTTTTCATCCTCACCCAGCAACTGTGGCGGCCCCCTAAGACCGCATGATAAACCCCTTCACTTTATAGAGGAGTAAACTGGCTCCACCTTCTCCTAAGTTCTGCTTTCTAAGCTTCTGCTCCTCTTCACTGTGCCCTTGGTCCATCTTAGAGGGGGAAATAAAGAGAAGAGGATTGAGGCGGAAGCAAATGCTTGTGAAATAAATGCTGTGTGTAAATGATTGGTCGGAGATGGTTCCATTTCTGTTTCAGGCAACAGGCCACTGGTGCTGAATTTTGGAAGTTGTACCTGACCTTCATTCCTTTTCAAATTTGACCAATTCAAGAGACTTACTGAAGACTTTAGCGCCATAGCAGATTTTCTCGTCATTTACATTGAAGAAGCACATGCATCAGGTACACAAAGATTCCCTGCCTCTACCTCCTCCTGCCCTCTCTTTATTGGCTCACCTTCCACCCAGGTTGGGAGTGAAGAGAGGTGTAGGAGGCGAGGGAGAGAGTTTACCCACCATCTCCCAGTCCCTGCTAGGTTTACCCACCACTTGCTAACTTCAGTCTGTGCTTTCGGCTAGGCGCAAAGAGCAGAATACCTGGAGTGACAGGGTCTAGCTGGGGGAGTGCCTAATATTCTGAATGGATAAGTAGGGAAATCAAGAGAGAGGAGCTAGCCCTAGCTGGTTTGGCTCAGTGGATAGAACATCGGGGTGTGACTGAGGGGTCCCGGGTTCAATTCTGGTCAAGGGCATGTGCCTTGGTTGTGGGCACATCCCCAGACGGGTTGCAGAAGGGTTGCAGGGGGCAGCTGATCAATGTTTCTCTCTCATCAATGTTTCAAACTCTATCCCCTCTCCCTTCCTCTCTGTAAAAAAATCAATAAAATACTTGAGAGAGAGAGAGAGAGAGAGAAAGAGAGAAAGAGAGAGAGAGAGAGGAGCTAATATGAGCACAATTACAAGGAATTTAGAGCTGAAATGTCACAAGTGAAATGACTGCCATTTAGCTACTAGTACTTGTGAAATTCATCCTAAGCCCTTCAGATTTCAAAGGGACATCTTGGTTCATCTCTGTCATGGTTCCCAAGCTTTAGTGACCATCAGGAGCGCCTGGGAGGCTTGTTAAAACAGCCTACTGGACAGAGTCCGAGTCAGACCCCCATGGGGCCTCAGAATGTGCATTTCTAACAAGCTCTGGGCGATGCTGGAGTTAGTAGTCAGATACGCTTCTACCTTTCCTGCTTTTTGTGGGATCAAATCCATGAACTTAGCCCAACTCTCAGACCCAGAGACTGAAGAAGGCAAGAGGCTTGGGTGGCCACGTGGAATGAGTGTCATCTATTCCCCTTTATCCCCACAATATTTGTTTCTGTCAGCCAGCACCAGGCAGACACCATGTCCCAGAGCTGGAACCCAGTAAAAGGTGGGTGAATGAGGGAAGTGAGGCTTTAGGCTAGTATTGGCCTTGCTGGCTCCTCCATGTGTTGTAAGTGTAGAGCTTGCTATTAGTTAATTTTCAGCAAAGTTGATCCAGCAGTGCTTTCTCCAGTGCAGTCCCAGGATCCCTAGTGTCAGTGCCATCTTGTTGAAAATTCATGTTCCTGGGCCCTACCTCAGGCCCATTGCATCTTGATTTATATGTACCCAAAGGTTTGAAAATTGCTTTCAACTTATTCATTTAACTGGCAGCCCCTGTCCTCATTAAGACTTTGCGGAAACCTAAAATATTAGCAAAGGGTAATAGGTACATAGAGGTTTTCCTATATTCTTCTCTCTGCTTTTATGTATATTAAAAAATGTCCGTAATAAAATTGAAACAGTAAAAGAGAATGTGGGTGCCCACAGGTGTCTGTGGTCTTTACAGCTGAATAGAGATACTGCTTTGGTGTCATCACAGCTGACGGCTGAAGCTCGGCCCAGGCTGATTTCACTATCTTTGGCCAGCACTTCTCAAACTTTAATGTTTATACTTAAACCACCTGGGATCTCATTAAGATGCAGATTCCAGCTGAGCCACAAGGCATGGCCTCCCCATGTGATCATGAGACTGCTGGTTCTGGGACCACGCTTGGAGTAGCAAGGTCCTAGAGCCAGTGGTTGGCAAACTCATTAGTCAACAGAGCCAAATATCAACAGTTCAACGACTGAAATTTCTTTTGAGAGCCAAAAAAGGACTTTTGCAGATGGGCCACGAAGTTTCGATCGCACTGTACATGTGTGCCTGCACGTGGTATTTGGTGGAAGAGCCACACTCAAGGGGCCAAAGAGCCACATGTGGCTTGAGAGCCGCAGTTTGCTGACCACGGTCCAGTTTTTTTTTAAGTCTTTTTAAATTTTATTATTATTATTATTATTTTTTTTTTTATTGATTTCAGAGAGGAAGGGAAAAGGATAGAGAGACAAAAACATCAGTGAGAGAGAATCAATGATCGGCTGCCTCTTGCATGCCCCCCATTGGGGGCTGGGGGGTCAAGCTTGCAACCTGGACAGGTGCCCTTGGCCGAAATCGAACTTGGGACCCTTCAGTCCAAAGGCTGACACTCTATCCACTGAGCCAAATCAGCTAGGGCTCCAGCTTTAATCTCTAAAAAATAAGTTGCAAACTGGGACAAGGGTGGTCAAACCATCGCAGAAATTGTCTCTGGTCCTGATATCTGCCTTTTCACCCATTTCTCCTCGAGTCAGACCCAGCTGGTTTAACCCTTCCCTTAGCCCAGGGTGCCTACCTCATCCACTGAGGAAAAGCTTCCTGTCCCTATCCTGACACAGACCTGACCTCTTTCCTCTGTGCTCTGCCACTCCTGGTTGGGGCATTTCTTTCTCCTTCCCCAGGGTACTTGTTTCTGTCACTCAGACAGAAGTGGGTATGGCCTGAACCCCATAACTGAAGTACACAGAGCCAGTGTCCTCAGATCCCAGGATGTCTGGGATCTGGGGCCCAAAACAATCAGTTTCCTTTTTCACAGATATCACGTTTGTCCAGGTAAATTATGGGAAAGTAGGAGATGTGGTGGGAGGAGCAGACTGGAGTTTCAGGCCTAAACCTGGGTCCTGGCTGCATTGCATGCTGGCCACACAGCCGGGGCCAATGTACCTTCCATGCCAGCTTCTGTGCCACTAAAATGGGATGACAACACTGATCCCACAGAACCACTCAGTCAGCAATATTTAACATGTGCCTGCTAGGTGCCCAGCCCTGTGGTGGCCTGGGGCTAGAGAGATGAAACATGCACACAGTTCTTGCCCCTAAGGAACTCACAGTTGAAGTTGGGATGCGAGTCAGCACTCCTGTCTGGGCCCCCATGTTCTCAGTGGCAGGATGGGGGCGAGCAGCTCTGTTTGGCCGCCGCAGGAGGTTGCTGTGAAGTTCCAGGGACTAATTGCCCAAACGTGGTGCTGTTGTCATCTACAAAGTTTTGATGTCGTGGGGCAGGTAATGAATACTGTAAATACTGTTTTTTCTTGGGGGAAGGGCTCTGAGTAGAGGACTTTGAAACACTAAGGAGGTGAAGCAAATTCTGCCGATGGACTCAAGCAACTTATATTACCCTGGAAGATAACTATTATTGTAAGCACAGGCCATGTGGCTTCCATAGGAACCCCTGACCACATTGTCTGGGTCCCATGCTCCTCAGAAATGGGGCACGTAGAAGGGGACACAGCAACTTTCCCATCTGTGGGCCCATTAGCTAGTAAGTGCCACCTCCTGTGAGCAGAAGGGCACCCTGGCAAATGAGGTCAATTGAAAATCTCCTTCCATTTAAACTCAAGTAGCTTTAAATGGTTTGGTTTGGAAGGGGCTGGGGGAAACGTCTTCAGAGCAAAGTAGCAGAAAATCTGCAGCATATAATAAAAACTGGGTTCTCTCCTACCTTTCTGTTACTTGGGGCAGTCAGACAAAATAAACCAACATATTTTGAGCAGGTCCTAAGAAGCAGGCTGAGTACTGGGTATTCCATTCATAGTTATCTGAGTTAAGCCTCACAGTCAGCTACTTAGTAGGTTCTATTAATTAGTAGGTCCTATTAACTCATTTTACAGATAAGAAAATTGAGAACTTAGAGTTTTAGAAAACTTGCCCCAAAATCACACGACTTAGTATGTCAGGGAAACTTTCCTGGAGATGATGTTAGAGAATGGTTCTCAGCCAAGGGGAATTTTGTCTTGCAGGGGTCATTTGGCAATATATGAAGACATTTTTGGTTGTCACAATTGAAGGTGGTGGGGGGCGGTTGCAGTTCAAAATCCTACAACACACAGGATGGTCCCATACCCTGCTATACACACACACACACACACACACACACACACACACAAAACAAAGAATTGTCTAGCCTGAAATGTCATTAGTGCCAACGTTGAGCAGCCCTGTGGAGAGTTGAGCCTTAAAAGGACAGGTAGGATTTCAAACATGGAAGAGATGGTAAGGAGAAAGGGCAGAGGGGTGTCAGCATCATTCGAGGAGTCTACTCTAGCTAGACGTGAAAAGACTAGCAGCCGTGACTGGAAATGTGGGTGGGGAGAGATGACAGGGATCATTAAATGCCATGCTAAGGAGTTGGGCTCATAATTGGTGTTTAATCAGGAAAAAAAAAAAAAAAAAAAAAAAAAAAAGACCAAATTTTGTGTTAGGAATCATTCTCAGAGATTTCTGGACGATAAGTTAGGTTCAGGGGTCCTCAAACTTTTTAAAGTGGGGGCCAGATCACGGTCCCTCAGAGAGCTGGAGGGCCGGACTATATGAACTACTAATTCCTACTGTAACACCTCGGCTGCGCTCACTGCCCAAAAAACCTGGCGGGCCGGATCAGACTCCTCTGTGGGCCGCATGTGGCCCGCGGGCCGTAGTTTGAAGACGCCTGAAAGGTAGTAAGACCAGGAGGTCATTGCCAGGCTAATAGCTGTATTTGGCTCTAAGCTCACCTGCGTGGCTTGTTTTAAGGCTGTTAGAGAGCTAACACATCAGCTGCAGCAGCAGAAGCCACAGTATGCAAACAAGGAGAGAAAGTCCAGCCGGAGGCAGGAGCTGCGAAGAAAAAGGCAGAAGTGAGAGACAGCTTGGGGGTGAGTGTGTCGAGGATCTCCCAAAATTACACTGGTTGGAGCAAAAGGCTGGAGGAAGACCAGAGAGATGGGCCAGGTCACTCAGGACCTGGTAGACCATACTGAGGAGCTTGGGGCTTATCCTGAAGGTGATAGGGAGCCACTGAAAGCTCTAAGCAGGAGAGTGACATAGTCAGATTTGTTTTTTGCAAAGAACTCTGGCGGAGAATAAATAGAAGAGGAAAATTGTCCAGACACTAGAGCAGTAGTTCTCAAATGGTGGCATGTGTTAGAATCATCTGGAAGACTGTTAAAACTGATGGTTGACGCATTCATTCTTGGTCAGTCAGAATCTGCCCGGCTAACAAACTCCCAGGAGATGCTGATGCTACTGGTCTGGGTAGCTCACACTTAGACAAACACTGCTCTAGGTCCTGGCTGGTGTGGTCCAGGCACTAGCAGCCTTGGCATCCCGGGAGCTGGCTAGCCTCAGGGCCACCCGAGACAGACTGAATCAGAATCCTCCTTTAATGAGATCCCTGATTCATTATCACATTCAAGTTTGAGAAGCTCTGGTCTGTTGGATTGTCTTACATTGAAGAGCCCTGATCTGGATACCAGGAGCTGAGGACTTTAGTTCTGGATCAATGACTAACTCCCTATTTGATCTCATGTATTTACCCATAATAGGAAACTGGGCCAAATCATGGGTCCTCAATCTGGGATCCCCCAGTTAAAAGTGGGGGCTATTTAGTCTAAAGGAAGTGTGTACCACGCTGTGGGGTCCACTGCTCGGCCTTTCTCTTGCAGATGGCTGGGCTTTTAAGAACAACGTGGTCATCAGGAACCACCGGAACCTCCAGGACCGCCTTCAGGCAGCCCACCTGCTGCTGGACAGGAGCCCCCGGTGCCCTGTGGTGGCGGACTCAATGGAGAACCAGAGCAGCCAGCTCTACGCCGCGCTGCCCGACAGGCTCTACGTGCTCCAGGAGGGCAGGATCCTCTACAAGGTGGTGACCACTCCCACCCCCACCCCAGGGCAGGGGCCCAGGGAGGGCAAAGGGCAAAAAATGAAAGGGCTTCATATCAGAATCAGCAGACCTGGATTCAAACAGCTGCCCAGCCATTTACCAGTCATGTAACCATGGATAGGTCCTTTCTTTCCTTGGAGCTCCTGTTTCTTCTGCAAAATGGAGATGTTGGCTCCCATGTCTCAGGGGACGAAATGATGCACAGGGAAATCCCTAGCATTTAGGCTGAAGCTGGGGCCTCCTGGCAGCCTTCTGGTTTAATTTGAAACTTAGAGATAGAGAATATTGTTTCCATTTTATAATCAATGCTCAGAGGGGATTTGACTTGCCCCAGGTCACTCTGTACCAGGCTGATTTTTAATTCTAAGGCCTTTGGATGGGATGAGTCAAAGTGGGAGGTCTGCAGCAGCTAATCTCTGAGGCAGGCCTGAAACTGGAGGGCTGAAGGAAGTGGGAAGAACACAAACCCTGAAGTTCAGAGATAGAAATACTGAAGCAGAGGTTCAAGACAGAGGTTGAGTCCAGGCTTCTTTTCTGGAAGGACTGTGTTCCTCTCAAGGCTTCCAGCCTGGCCAGGGAGGGACATAACACAGCCTCTGGCCCCTGGGCCCTGTTGACCTCCCCTGAGAGGTCAGAGACCTAGTCTGGTAGCTGCTGAAGGGATTTGCAGCCTTGGAGAGCACAGAAAGCTGAGCCATGGGGATACTCCTCTGTGGCCTATGAATGCAGTTGAAATAAGAAACGACTTAAGGATGAATCTCTAGAGTGCTGAGGGTCAGAGCCTGAGGATTCCAGTCCTCCCCTGAGACATGATTCTAAGATGGCAGGACTGAGGCAAACTGAGCACTGTGTCCCTACCCTGGGGTAGGCCCTGTGAAAACACTGAGAACACACACACAAAAAAGTGAATTTAAAATGGCCCAAACCTTCTTTGAAGTGTTCACAGTCTAGGGCAGTGGTCGGCAAACTCATTAGCCAAATATCAACAGTACAATGATTGAAATTTCTTTTGAGAGCCACATTTTTTAAACTTAAACTTCTTCTAATATCACTTCTTCAAAATAGACTTGCCCAGACTGTAGTATTTTGTGGAAAGCCACACTCAAAGGGCCAAAGAGCCACATGTGGCTTGTGAGCCGCAGTTTGCCGACCACGGGTCTAGGGGATAAGGAAGACCCAACCCAACTAGAGTGTCATACGTATCCTAACTGCTGTGAGGCTCCAGAGCCAGGGTCAGCAAACCGTTCCTGTAGGGCGGGGGACAATCCCTGTCTCCACAATTCAGTCCCCCTGGTGTCACAAAAATGGCCCAGACAAAACGTAAACGAAAGGGTATGGAGGCATCAGGACAGATTTAGCTCTCAGGCAGTTTTCCAGCCTTTGGGGAAGGGCAAGTTTTCCCAAGGAAGTTATAATTGCTTGGCTAAGGGATCGGGAGCCAGCCATGTGAGCATGCTGAGTGAAAATCATTGCAGATATTGAGAACAGGGTGGGCAAAGGCACTGAGGCGTGCTAGGGCAGGGTGTGAATGGAGAGCTGAGGGCTCTTGAGTTACAGGGGTCCCATTCTGGACCAAGGAGTTTGGCCTTCATTTTAGGGCAAAGGAGAGCCATTGAGAAGTTTTGAGCAGGGGGGAGACATGATCAGATCCTTACTTTAGAAAGATCACTGGCTACTGGGTGAGAATGGAGTGGAGAGAGCAGGGCATTGTCAGGAGGTGAGACAGCTGCCCGAATAGAAGAGGAAGGGGCTGAATTAGGCCGTGGGATTGGAGAGGCAGGGGCGGTTCTGATGTAGAGTGAATAGAACTTGATGTGAGGAGTGGAGAAGATATGTCTGAGGTATGATTATGGAAGATTATAGAAGAAGAGTGTATTTGTAGAGACCCATTTCTCCCTTTGAAACTATTCACTTTATCCCACTCCGGTTTTCCTCCTACTTCTGTCCTGTCCTAAATGGTGGGGCCACTCCACACACTCCCCTGCGTGATCTCGCACATCTTCTCATGGTTGCATCTGCCACTGACAACACCATCCTGATGCCTACCACATGGATATCATTAGCCCAGATCTCCTGCAGGTCAGAAATCTGGGAATGCTGATTTATTTCTCTTGCAGGGGGGGCCTGGCCCTTGGAACTATCACCCAGAGGAAGTTCGTGCTGTTCTGGAGAAACTCCACAGTTAATCTGGACAGATCCCCCAGTCCCGAGTGACCAAGAGGAAGGCGCCTCAAGACTTGGCTCTTCCCCCAACCCAGCTGGGTTTTACCTCTTGACCTGTGTCCCCAGTTGAATTACTAGCTCAGATTTTTCTGATCTAAGCAAACAGTTTTTATAATCAGAAAATGAAGCAGACAGTGAGCTGAGTGTTAAAGAATGTACAGCCGAAGCCGGTTTGGCTCAGTGGTAGAGCGTCGGTCTGCGGACTGAAAGGTCCCCGGGTTCGATTCTGGTCAAGGGCATGTACATTGGTTGCGGGCACATCCCCGGTAGGGGGTGTACAAGAGGCAGCTGGTTGATGTTTCTAGCTCTCTATCTCTTTCCCTTCCTCTCTGTAAAAAATCAATACAATATATTTTAAAAAAAAAGAAAAGAAAAAAGAATGTACAGCTCCACACCGTCTCCACTGAGGATACTTCACAGCATGATGGCTCCGAGTGTGAGAGCAGCCGTCCTCTGTGGGTGTACTTTTCAAACGTGGTCTCTCTCCAGTTGCCCTTGTACCAAGTGATTGGATATGGCATCCCTTACGTTAGGTAAATGCATTTTACCGAATTTGTCATTTATGGAATGGATTGATATTTAAGACACTAAACTGACTTTTAGACCCAAGCAAGGGACAACTCCAGGTGTTTAGAGAGAGAGAGATGAGGAATTGAAAAAGGAGGGAGTAGGGATGAGAGGAGACAGTAAAGATGGTAATCCTTTCCCTGCCAAAAAACAGAAACCAGTCAATGGTGGTGGTGGTGAGGGGTGAGTTTCCATGGTCCAATGCATCTCCAATTGTATAGAAGAGCTGGGTACTTACTTTACAATCTTTGACTGTGTTTCATGGAAATCTGGCTCTCATATTCTGAAACCTTCTACCTTCTTTACTTATCAATGGAGTCACTTGGGAGGGGGAGGACTAGCTTCCCAAAAACAATATAACCTTGACCAAACTAGACAACAGGCACCAGCAAAGCTGTCATTCAGTTATGCAGAAGCTCATACTTGAAGTCCTATTTCTAACATTTTTTTTTCAAGTCTCTTAATGGTCTTTTGTGTTCAATTATATCAGACTAATGGATAACCATTGATACTCATCTGTTTTAACTCTGCTTCTCTTCATATTTGTTTATGACGGCCACAGCCTAAAGTACACACAGCTGTGACTTGATTTGAAAATAAAATATTTGAAGATGCAGCAAGCTAATACAGAATGATTAAAATATATGAGCCCATTTGGGATGACTTCAGTGTGATCTTTCTATTTTCTTTTCCAATTTGTGTCAGCCTGTTCTGTCTTTTATGATATCCCAATGTACAGTTAGCTGATTAGCAAAAATACCATATGCTGGAAGGGCCTCATTTGATGGGAAGAACACTCAGTCTCTCTGTGTTACATGTCAAATATGGTTTTGTCTTGTGAACTCTCGCTAGGGAATTTTTCCACATTGGAATCAAATTACCTTCACAACATGACATAAAAGAATGAACTTGGGAGACATTCTTTTAACATGAACCACACATTTTCCTTGGCTCTGCCTTCATTGCTATAATGTTAATATTATGTGCTATTTTATTTTTTTTTTAAATAACTATTTTTAATCACTGGGGCTTTTAGACATGTTATCTCATTTAATCTCTATATATCTCAAAGAGGAAATTTATTATCTCCTTTTCTGAGTGAGGAAATCAAGGCTCAGCATTAAGTAACTTGTGGAGGGTCTCAAATTAGTAAGTAACAAGCTGAGATTCAAACCCCATCCTCAACTTCAGGATCAGAGTCCGAGCTCTGCTCCCTGCTAGCTCTGTGACTTGGTATCTGAGCTATAATTGGATATCAATATGCCTACCCCACAGAGAGGATCCATGAGTTAAGCACTCAGAACTGTGCCTGGTTTGGTCATTATTACTATTATTTATTATCATCATCATTGTTGTTCCACAACTGCCTCCTTGGGTTCCCTTTTTTTTTTTTTTTTAAGGTACACTTATTTATAGAAACATATTATATATATGTAAAATTGATTTTTTACAGAGAGAAAGAGAGAGAGACAGAGAGTCAGAAACATCGAGGAGAGAGAGTTATCGATCAGCTGCCTCTTGCACACCCCCTACTGGGGATGGGACCGCAACCAAGGTACATGCCTTTGACAAGAATCGGACCTGGGACCCTTCAGTCTGCAGGCTAACGCTCTATCCGTTGAGCCAAACTGGTTTCAGCTCCTTGGGCTCCCTTTTAAGGGATGAGGAATGGAAAGAAGATAGAACAATAGGGACACATAAAAATTCTTCAATCTGCCAAAGCAACTATTCAATACTGGCATGAGTTTGTGAAGGCAAACTGAAGGGTGAGTAGTTGTAAAAATGGTGGAACCAAAGCACATCTGAGCACTGTCCTTCCTAAGTCTTAAATTCACTTCTCAGATGGTCTTCCAGTTCATGTCTACAAATGCACAGAAACCTCCCAGTTTTCAACAAACAATAGTAGCTGGAACTGAGGAACTTACAGAATTATAAAAGAGACCCCAAGTGTTCCAGTTCAATTCTCTCCAATTTAATGCATCAGACATCAACCGAGCATCGATTCTTCTTTTTTGGGTGCTGAGTGATGCAAAGGTGGACAAGGTTCAGCTGTTGCCTTTCAGAACCTTAACCACATGGGATACCAGATGTACACTGTGATGATCACAATTCAAGGTGTTGTGGAAGACTGAAGAAATCCAAGCGACGCTCAGAGAAATGGAGTTACACAGCTTTATTACCCTGGTGGTCTCAGAGGAATTGCCTCCAAAGTCTGAGCAAACCAATATGGTGGGAACCCTTCTTTAATCCCCTTTGGTTTCTTTGTCCCCAAATATGAATGGGACTTCTGTACCTTTCGTGGGCTTTGCAAAAAGCCCCGTGGGTTGGGATGGGGGTCTTAAGATCATATCTAAGGGCCTGGCCTGGCACCACTGCTGATAACCCCCTCCAGGGGTTGTGTACTGCTCATGGTTTATGGCCTCTGTAAAATGTGAGCATTTAGGTAACAGATCTTGCAAGACCAGTTTGTGGAAAAGATGCAGTGACCGAATTATAGGTTAGTAGTAATTATATCATTAATTATAGGTTATCAAGAATGTACATTAGGCCGAAACAGGTTTGGATCAGTGGATAGAGCGTCGGCCTGCAGACTGAAGGGTCCTGGGTTTGATTCCGGTCAAGGGCATGTACCATGGTTGCGGGTACATCCCCAGTAGGGGGTGTGCAGGAGACGGCTGATCTATAATTCTCTCTCATCCATGTTTCTCACTCTCTATCCCTCTCTCTTCCTCTCTGTAAAAAATCAATAAAATATATTAAAAAAAAAAAAAAAGAAAGAATGTACGTTAGGTTGCTGGCACAGATTCAGATTGCTAGCCCCCAAACATCAGGGGTACATTAGAATTATCCTTTTAGCCTTCTCAAAGGCAGAATATGATGGGTAGAGCTGAGGTGAAGACTAAATGCTCAGGGAATACAGAGGAGAGAAGTCCCTCTGAGCAGGCTGTACCTGGGAAAGCTTTATGGAGGCGGTGACCTGTGGGGTGCTCCGTGCTTCCGTAATTTGCTATGGGAACCTGGAGAACATGAGAAGAGAGATGGGCATTTAAGTGGAGAACACTACATGAGCAAAGGTGGAAAAAGAAATGTGTAGAGGACTGCAAGAGGTTTGGACTCAAATTTAATTCAAAAAGGAGAAAGGTTTTTCTCTTTGAAGGGGACCTCTCTGAATCTGTGTTGCAGTAATACCGGTATATAGACACTAGAGGCCCAATGCACGAAGATTTGTTCCAGAATAGGCCTTCCCTCCCTTGGCACTAGTTTCCCTCCAGCACCAGGAACAGCTGCTTCACTCCAGCTGCTGCCAGGCATCTGGGACCAGGGCTGCTTCGCTCTGGCCGCTGCCACCACCCACCAGGGGTGTGCTCTGAGCTGCACTGCACAGCCATTTGTAGCACGCCCCCATCCCTGGTGTGTGTGTGTCAGCTGGGGTGGGGGCTGCACGCAGTCTCCTCCCGCCCATCTGCATGTGCAGCTCCTCCTGAGTGGTCATAATGCAGCCTCTTCCAGCAGGTTGTGATGCCTGTCTAATTTGCATATTACCTGTTTATTTATATAGAAGATGTTTAAAATGCTTTAAAAATGTTTAAAAAAAAAGTTTAAAAATATTTGAGTTAACTTTCCTGAAATCTAAAGTGTGATATTAAGGACACATTCCCCACTGCCCTAAAGCATGTGTACCCCATAAATAAGAATTTGAACTTCAGGTACGGACTCAAAGTGACTTGCTAAGATAACCATTTGTGTGAATGATGTACTCTCCCTAGATAATCATATGTATCCCCTCACCCTGTTCGAGATTAACATGTGTGCAGTTATGTAACTCTTTGATAGCCACCTGAACTGCTGCAGATACAAAACAGGCTTTAAAATAAGTCCTGGCCAGCCAATGGTGCTCACCAGTCGAGACAGCCAAGGAGGCATGTCCTTTTGTCAGTCCGGCAAGCAACGCTGCTCCACGCCCCTCTCTGCCAGATGACAGAAGAATGGCTAGCACCTCCAAGAGAGACGTGACCGAGCTCTCCGGTGAGGAACGCCGGCCCCCTGCATGCCGGACCAGACCAGCCCAGCTGTCGGACCACAGAGGACAGCACCACCAGGATCCCATCAAGCCTGTACACGCAGCATCAGGAACTTTTGTGAATAATCAAGTGCTGTGTGATTTGCAACTGCGTATGTTTCCTGCGGTGTAATTCCTCCGGCAGTTAGTTGAATCATTTTGCGTACATTTAAAATTGAAATTAAAACTTCTGGTCTTTTCGGTCTTAGGCCTGCCCTTGGTTCTGCTTGCTCAGAGTAGCCTCTTCGCTAGCAACTACTTGAATGTCCCAACACCTTCACGGTTAAAGTTTATCAAAAGGGACGCCTTAGATAACCGCCCCAGATCCTTTCCCGGGATCCACTTGGGACAGTCTGGATAACAAGATTGAACCCATTCTGCTTGGCTAATATTGTAAACTACTGAGAGGTGAATGAAGCTTTTTTTAAAAAAGATATTTTATTGATTTCTTACATAGAGGAAGAGGGGAATAGAGAATTAGAAACATCCATGGGAAACATCAATCAGCTGCCTCCTGCATTTTTAAAAAATATATATTTTATTGTTTTTTTAGAGTGGCAGTGAGAGGGATAGAGAGCTAGAAACATCGATGAGAGAGAAACATCGATCAGCTGCCTTTTACACACCCTGCACTGGGGATGTGCCTGCAACCAAGGTACATGCCCTTGACCAGAATCGAACCTGCGACCCTTCTTCAGTCCACAGGCCGATGCTCTATCCACTGAGCCACACGGGTTAGGGCTGAATGAAACTTTTTATTATTTCCTGTCCAGCTCTGGGTACAATTTGCAGTCAGAATGTCAACTTTGTCTGCTTTTGGCAGATTTTCCCTCTAGTTCACTTGTTCTCTGAAGGTGATGTCCTTTGGGGTACCTGGCTTTGGTGGAGGGGGGCGGGCAATGAGCCCATACCCCATTCTGGCAGATGCAAGACATTGCCTTGTATGCCTGACAGGAGGTTTTGGAATCCAGAGCTCCACCTATCAGAAATTATTATATGTCTCCATGTGGATGAAAGGGGCCATATGCTAACCTGAGAAGCTTGGGGAAGGCCTTCGTGATGGTCTTGCAAACTCAGAGACCTAAAGTAACCACAGAGGATAGTCTGAAATGAAACTTTAACCAAAAGCAGTTATGATGGGTAGTTATATCCTCGCTGGTATCTTTACTGACAAGGTCAACCTTTACTTTAACTGAGCCTATCTGTCTTTTTGCATCTATGATAACATACCCTTGAAATGTCTGAGAAACTCGTAACTTCCCTTTTTCTGGACCCTTTGAGCCACAACCTAAAGTGTCTGGGTGCCAGGACAAAACCACAAATTCCTTCATTGTTATCATGTTAATTATTCCTGCACCCATTTAAGTATAATATATGTCTATCATTGTCCTTTTTATCCAACGCCAGGGATTCCCACTTTGCTTTCTCCTGCCTCGCTAGTCTATCACCAATGGATTTCATGTAACCCACCTCCATCCCTTCCTTTGATTGCAATGTATAAATATAGATGTAACCTTCCATTCTTCAGAGCGTTCTTTCAATTTGTTGAGGTTCTTGTTTCCCGGCATATGTCAACAGTTTGGCTCAAATAAACTCACAAAAATTCTTTACAGGTTTGAGTGTTTTTATGTTAACACCAAGAACTGCCTACTGACTTTAATGCTTGTTCTCCTCGCTGGAGTTGGGCTTTCAATTCATTCCTGGCCACAGACTATGTTTCATTTCTGGTAAACACGGCCATTAATTTAAAAAGGCATATTAAGCAGAAACTGGTTTGGCTCAGTGAATAGAGTGTCGGCCTGCAGACTGAAAGGTCCCGGGTTCAATTCCGGTCAAGGGCATGTACCTTGGTTGGGGGCACATCCCCAGTAAGGGGTGTGCAAGAGGCAGCTGATTGATGTCTCTCTCATCGATGTTTCTAACTCTATCCCTCTCTCGCTTCCTCTCTGTGAAAAATCAATAAAATATATTAAAAATAAATAAATAAATAAATAAATAGGCACGTTAAAGTATTTTATCTGGCCGAAACTAGTTTGGCTCAGTGGATAGAGCGTTGGTCTGCGGACTGAAGCGTTCTAGGTTCGATTCCAGTCAAGGGCATGTATACTGGTTGCGGGCACATCCCCAGTAGAGGGTGTGCAGAAGGCAGATGATCGATGATTCTCTCTCATTGATGCTTCTCTCTCTCTCCCTTCCTCTCTGTAAAAAATCAATAAAATATATATTTTTAAAAATAAAGTATTTTATCCGGCACTGTTATGTGTTCCACTGAGGAAAGACTCCAGGATACCTAAAAAGTTTTGAGAAATTTGTTCAAGAATGACACCCAAATCCTATATTCCCTGTAGTCTTACATGCTTTAAATGCCAGTCTGTGGTCTTTCAGCCTGAAGGACATCTGGCTGGGTTTCAGATTCTTGTGTTCCAATCTCTTTACCTCAGAGATTTGTGGACATTGCTCCACTGTTGTGTAGCAGTAATGAGAGGAGGCCAGCCTAATTTATTTCTCTGGGCACTTTGAGTTGGTTTTATTCTGCCTGGAAACCTATTGAAACGGGATTTTTGGACCAAAACCCGGATTCTTTGTCCCACGGAATCGAGGAATGAATCCACAGACAGAGGACAGGATAGCAAAGTGGAGATTTATTGAAGAACAAGCACAGCCTCCCCCGTGGGGAGAGGGAAGGAGTCCCACAGAAGGGACTCCCACGTCGGGAGGGGAAAAGGGTCCTACTGAGTTCTTTTTCCCTGTGGCTTTTAAAGGCTGCAGCTCTCGATGCCCGATATCCCCTCTGATTGGTCACTATTCCCTCACACTGGTAACTATAGTAACTCCTGAACTCAAAGGTCAAACACCACATGGGAAGTGTGACGCCCTCCTTCCTCATTATTCTTTTCTTTCTGGGCTTTCTTCCTTCTTCTTTATTTTGTAAATATAGACTTTTTTGGCGACTTCCAGCTCCCTTGTCTTATGTAAATACAACTGCTGCTGCTCCCTGCACCTGGCTTCCTTGTGTTATGGAGATGTACCTTCTCCCAATCTGTAGCCCTGTGTTTTTCCAAGAACCCCAATTCTAAAAATTCCCTAAGTCTGCTTATATTCTCCTAAAATTCCTGTTTCACTATCAAATTCTTTATATTTGTGGTTTATTAACTTCACCAAGACACATTCCAGTGTTGATTATTCTATATCAAAACTAGAGGCCTAGTGCATGAAATTCATGCATGGGAGGGGTGGTTCCCTCAGCCCAGCCTATAGTCTCTCCAATCGGACATCCCCCTCACAATCTGGGACCATTGGCTCCTAACAGCTCACCTGCCTGCCTGCCTGCCTGCCTGATTGCCCTAACCCCTCTGCCTGCCTACTTGATCACCCCCAACCACTCTGCCTGCCTGCCTGATCGTCCCTAATCTCTCAGCTTGCCTTCCTGATTGCCCCTAACTGCCTCCACCTGCCTGTCTGATTACCCATAACCACCTCTGCCTGCCTGATCACCCCTAACCACTCTGCCTGCCTGATTACCCATAACCACCTCTGCCTGCCTGATCACCCCTAACCACTCTGCCTGCCTGATCACCCCTAACCACTCTGCCTGCCTGATCACCCCTAACCACTCTGCCTGCTGGCCTGATCACCCCTAACCACTCTGCCTGCTGGCCTGATCACCCCTAACCACTCTGCCTGCTGGCCTGATCACCCCTAACCACTCTGCCTGCCTGATCACCCCTAACCACTCTGCCTGACTGATCACCCCTAACCACTCTGCCTGCCTGATCACCCCTAACCACTCTGCCTGCCGGCCTGATCACCCCCAATTGCCTTTGCCCTGGCCCCCCACTGCCATGGCTTTGTTCAGAAGTCAGATGTCTGGAAGATGGCCGGTTGACCCAGTCTATTTAGCATATTACCCTTTTATTAGTATAGATAGATTATATAGGATAGGATTGCTTAAATGGGGGAGAGGGGCAGCCTTTTTCACCAGGAGATGCTCTTTGCAGACAAAAATACATAATCCATATATCTGGACTGATGGCCAGCCATATGCACTATACTGCCAAACCAGTTATTAAAAAATTGAACCACTTTCTTACACCTTACACCAAACAGGTGTTGCACAGAGGAAATACGATGTGAAGACACAGAAAGAATGCCATGTGATGACAGGGACAGCGATTGGAACTATGGTGCCATAAGCCCAGGAATGCCCAAGATTGCTAGCAATACCAGAAGCTAAGAGAAAGGTAAGAACAAATCCTGCCAATACCCTGATTTCCGACTTCTAGCCTTCAGAGCTATGAGAGAATACATTTCTATTGTTTAAGCCATCAAGTTTGCGGAAGTTTATTACAGCAACCCTAAGAAATTTTTAGTACGGACTACACAGACAAAATATGTTCTCATATAATTTCTTTCCTATGTGTTTGTCAAGTTATAATAAAGTTAGGTTCATTTCTATTTGTTGTCAAAGTTTTATAATTGCTCTTTCATTTCAATTTTTGGCTATATTAGTTATTTATGTTTACGAAGTCAATCTATATAATAAAGTATAGCTTCCCCCCAATCTGTCGCATCCTGTTCCTTTACCACCCAAAATACTTTAAAAGTTAATATTAATAACGGTTGTCTCTGAAAAGTAAGATTATGTATTTCCTAACTCTTCTCTGAGGTTTTCAAATCAGGACCAAATAAAATGAAAAGAAAAAGAATAAAGTGATTTGTCCTGCAGGGCCCAGTACAAGTTCCATGGCCTCAGTACTTTCTTTTTCTGAACTTATACATTGTTTACTGACTATACTGCTCACTTAACTCTTTGCATCAATCAATCAATCAATCAATCAATTTAAAATTTAATGCACTGAGATAGGAAGGGCACCTTATTAGATGCTGTGGGGAATACAATGTATTACCAATTAAGTTTTCATGTATAGCCACTTCCTTGATTAAGCTATATATTGAAGGAAAAGCTTTCTTACATCCTCCATGGAGGCCATTACTGCTGACCGATCATACCAAGTTCCTTTGTACAAAATGTTAAAGAGAAAATAAAAACTGAAGCAGATTGATACAAATCCCTTTAATAAAGTACATCAGTGGCAACTTTATTTTAAAATAAATACAGGGTTAAAAAACATACAAAAGCATTTTGTTATAATTATTAAGAAAGATTTGAGACTGCTATTCCCTCTGCAGAAATGCTATACACAGATGCAAAATGATCAAAGGCTGATATAATAATGAATCTCAAGTAAGTGGCATGGCCATCATGTGCCTGTAGGAGAAAAATCAATAAGAATGCTCTTAGCAATTCTAATTAACTGTTAAGCAGTTAACAGAAAAAAGGGTTTGATGCAAGAGTATAGTCTAAATATATAACAATTTATAAGATAAGATTCAGAAGAGAAGCCAGTCACATATAAAAGTACAGTCATTCTAGTGTGTATTAGCTAAATAACAGCCTTGGTTTGATGTAAAATAGCTATGGAGCTGAAAATTACAACTGTATATTTCTCCTCTTTTAAAAAAAAATATTTTCATTTATTTCAGAGAGGGAGGGAGAGGGGGAGAGAGAGAGAGATAGAAACATCAAAGATGAGAGAGAATCATTGATCGCTGCCTCCTACACGCCCTACATGGAAGATCAAGCCCACATGTGCCCTGACCAGGAATCGAACTATGTCCTCCTGGTTCATAGGTCAATGCTCAACTACTTAGCCACACTGGCTGGGCTACAACTGTACTTTCTGATCAGTTTTTTCAAAGTGTTTTTCTAAAGGATTTCTCATAACAAAAAATTTCTTTTGGTTAACGATGCCTCAGAATATAATACCCTGAAACATTACTTTTACATTTATGTAATTTTTCGGGAAAGCAATTTGGCAATATACAGAACAGGTGTAAATATGTCTATATCTTTCAACCTAGTAATTCCATTCTCTGAAATCTAATCTTATAAAGTAATTAAAAAGGTGAAGATTGTGGTAGTGGGAACATGTATAAGATGTTCCTTGTAGTAGTACTTATAATGACAGAGGGAGGAAAAAGGAAATTAGCTAGCATTTTCATATTTGCATATGCTTAATCTTAAAATTATGAATCTTGAATATAATAAGTTTTAAAAATGAGAGAAAATTGTTTATACATCATTATTATAACTACATGTGAAGCATACGGTCGATATCTAGAAGAAAGTAGATATAGAAAAAGCTGTTATGACAGGTTGATAAAATGATGTGTGATTTTTAGCCTCCCATCCCCCTTATTATATTTTCCAAATGTTCTATAATGATGTGAGCTTCTCTGATCCTTAGTGGGCCTTGAAACAAAATATTCAACAGAGACTTACTAATTATCACCCACTGGTAAAGATGGATAAAAATAGGAAGATAAAATTCAGTCTAATCATTTTTCAACACTCCCCTCTTCCTGAACTCACTTTCCCAGTCATTGGGCACATTTGGGTGGTAAAAAAAAAAAAATTAATACGATTCAAAAACATCCTATAGACTCTTTTGAAGTATAGATTTCATAGCAACTCCCAATAAGTTGTGAAAAAGAAAATTTAATGGACAAGGTAGTACTTTAACCCTCATTTCAAGACACCTTAATTAAAGAATCACTACCACCTTTAAAAACACACTCACACACACACACACATTGTCTTTGGCCAGATGGCTCAGTTGTTTGGAGTGTTGTCAATACATCAAAGGTTGTGAGCTTGATTCTAGGACAGGGCACATTCCTAAGTTTGGGGGTTCGGTCCCTGGTTGGGATGTATATGGGAAGCAACCAGTCAATGTTTCTCTCTCTTTTTCTTCCTTTATCTCTAAAAATCAATAATAAACACACACACACACACACACACACACACACACACACACACACACATATCCTTGGGAGAAGATCAAACACATACTCACTTTTTCCAAGTTTTTGTGTTTGTCTAAACCCATGGCCTGACAAACTGTCAGGAACAGAGAAATTCCTGATAACGGCAGCACTTCCTCATCAATGGGCATTCATTCCACTTGACAAGCAAAGCTCAATGGAATGCTGTCAAAAAATGCTTATTCTCTTTCCACCCCATCTCTCTCTGGTTTATTTGTTGCTGATCCTATGCTCCAGTTCCCCTTATCTGAATCTCCCTTGTCCTTTCATGCTTAAATTAACATCCAGTTTTGGCACTGCAACCTTTTATGATTCCTACTCTAAAAGGCCTACAGATTCAAATAAGACAAAGCAAAGCAAGTAAATACTTCCAATTTAAAAAATGAACACAATTAAAACAAAAACAAGTACATGAATTCTGGCCCTAGTTATTTGGCTCAGTGAATAGAGCATCAGCCTGCGAACTGAAGGGTCCCAGGTTTGATTCTGGTCAAGGGCACATGCCCGGGTTCCCAGCTTGATCCCCAGTGGGGGATGTGCAGGAGGCAGCCAGTCAATGCTTTTCTCTCATCATTGATGTTTCTATCTCTCTTTCCCTCTCCCTTCCTCTCTGAAATAAATAAAGATATATTAAAGAAAAAAAGTAAGTGAATTCTGTTTTAACCTTACTGTAATCCTGTCTATGACAGATAAAAGCCTAATTTATAAAATGCTACCTTTAGACTATAATATTATTATTATTATTATCATTATTATTATTATTATTTTTAATATATTTTATTGATTTTTTACAGAGAGGAGGAGAGAGGGATAGAGAGCTAGAAATGTCGATGAGAGAGAAACATCGACCAGCTGCCTCTTGCACACCCCCTACCGGGGATGTGCCCGCAACCAATGTACATGCCCTTGACCGGAATCGAACCTGGGACCTTTCAGTCCGCAGACTGACGCTCTACCCCTGAGCCAAACCGGTTTCGGCTAGACTATAATATTATTGAGAATAACCTCTGTTTATGGATTGAGTACAGAAACTATTCTATCATGAAGAGTATTTATTAACTTTATTATTATAGAGATAGGTTTAAAATTTAAACATATTGTGCTGGCTAAAGATAATATTTACCTCTACAAAGTATATTTACTTACCATAATTTCTTCATTTTGAAGTTGCCCCTCTGTGTGTACTAGCTCTAAAACATAAATTTAACAGAAATGAGTTAGGGCTTACAAGACATGAGAATAGCTACTGAAATTTATGTTCAGCAAAACATTATATGTGGTAAACTATAGTTAAACCAGATTTACCAGTGTTTGGGGGTTAAAATTTAATATACAGATAGAGATATTTGACATAAAAGGTATGAAAGATAAACTGTTTATGAGCTATAAAATAACTCTAGTGAATAAAAACGTAAGGCAATCCAAATGTAAATTAAAATAAAGAAATATAAACTGAGGAATTGATAAAATGTGGAAATCCCTTTTGAGGATCAATTGCAGGCCTGAAAGGAGCCATTTTATGGTTCCCATGGGCAATAACTAGAGCTCAGTTTCTCACAATAAATTTTCACTATAATGCAGAATTATGCTACCCTTGAATCAATCTTTTCTGGTATCCAACTTTAGAAAACCTTTACTCATATAATTTTAGGATAGATTAATTTATTTGATCATAAGATAATCATATCAAACATGATTATATTTGGAAGCATGAAATATTTAATTGATATAATAAGAATATTAAGATTTAGAAATTAATTTTATTTGTATCAAAATAGTGTACATAATTTTAAAGGCATATAGCATACAAAGGGAAGTCTCTGGGAAGTAAGATTATGTATGACTTTCTGTTCCTAACCTTTCTCCGGGGCAATGAAAAATCGTAATCCCCTCTCGTCCTCTCCTTTATCCTCCAGTCCTGCTCCCTCCAGGTCAAAGGACAATTCTCCCCTCCCACATGCTCAGAACAATGCTGGTGAAACAAGCACATACCTCTTTCAATCCACTGCTCAAAACTGTCTGGCTCATTAGATGTGCTCTTTTCAATTCGCAAGGTCCGTACTAACATTGTAAATAAACAAAACATATAAAGTATTAATTATTGATTCTTTGTTGGTGTTCCTATATTCCTTTTATCTTCTGAGACTGTAAGGCTTTGGTGGGAATGCACAAAGAACTGGGATCAGGAACACCATCTTCTGAAAATCATTTACTCTTTTTCTATATGTCCCTACAGGGAAATGCAATCTTATATCACTAAAATCCTACAAATGTTTGCAAATATTACAACATAGCTTTGGAGCCTTTTTGAATTTGGTATCATCCAGTTGTGGTTTTTTGTTTTTGTTTTTTGTATATTGGTATTAATAATAGTAGTAGTAGTAGTCTTGGGCATAAGTCTTTATCTTTAAGGAGAACCTACTATGAGTCAAGCATACTTACCTCATTCACTCTTTAATATAATCTTATGAGAAAAGAAATATTAACCTACTTTACTGATAAGGAAACAAACTTAGAGAAATTGGGCACTTAGAGAAGTCAGGCAAAGTGTTCAATGATAAAGAATTAGTAAGTGCCAGAACTAAAATTCAAATGTTAGGTCTGACTCCAGAGCCTCTACAATGAATGACAGGAGAAAGGCTTAATAGGAGTGCAGTCAGTCATCTTCCTTCTGCACTGTTTTTTCTCCATCACCCCTACCCCAGTTTCAGCTACCCAGATCCATTTCCCCCCTCTGTGCCCTGGGGGGATAACACCAGTGGGCTGCATCTCGGGGACTCACTTGCTCACTGGTTACAGGTCAAATGTGGCCAATGGGTGGCACTGGGAGGAAGCTGGAGGGCAGTAGGGAAGTGAGATCAGGCTGTTTTTCCTCCACTCCCTTCCTGCTTCAGTGCTATGTCTTTGACAGTGGTTGTGTTCCTTCATGATACAACTCCTGCCAGGCAGGTCCTTATTTACAAGCTCCAATCTTTCCTGGGTCCATAACACTATTTCCTCCCCTTGGCTCAAGGGTGGCAATGGCATCCTGCTGTAGCCAGTTTCTGGGTGTCTCACTTCCCTGGTTTAGTCTCTGGTGCCAGAACATAATTTTATAAGTAGACCCATCAATAAAGTCTCTTCATTTGAACCATCTGGAGTGTATTCTGTTTCCTGCCATGATTCTGTCTGACATACTTTATCCTTACATAAACATAAAGACAGGATTAGAAGGATATTCTAATGGGAGATTCTCCCTCTAAATCTCTCAGAAAGTGTCATTATTAATATAAGAATCAAAATTATCCAATGCAAATAATCAGGATAATCAGATTTCCAGAAAGAATTTAACAGAGAATCCCAAGCCAAACAATCTGTAATAAATATGTCAAGGAATCTAGCGTTCTGGCAAACTGGCTTCTTATGTTCATAATAGGCTCTTTTGCCAAAGACTTTCACATGGTAAATTGCATGGAAATTATTAGTTGCTTTGGAAGGGTTTCAAGTTTGCAGTTTCATAGAGTCTAACTGTATTCAAGGCAGTTAACCCATACACCCCACTCTCTTACCCAGCACTAAAGCTGGATTCCATGCTGCATAAAAAAAATTGCCCTCTGCCTATGGAAAAATTAAAAGATGATAAAAATTAATGTATGATTTGCTTACCAAAGTAACTTTGGATTACAAGCTTTTCAATTCTTACATGTCTGTGAAAACAAACAATGAACTCTTGGGGAAACATTCCTGTGGTGGCCCAAAATGTTTCTGGATTCCTTTTGTTAATTAAAAAGAGAGAGAGAAAAAATAGTCAAATAAAAATTAAACACAACAGTCTAGTGAATAAGTATAAAAAAATGAACCACGGATTCTTGCAATACTTTTCTAACTGTTCATGCTGCCTCTAATTTCTCCTTAATTTTAATAATTCTTTACTACTACCAGATATATTCTTTAAAAATATAGAATTTATGTCACTCTTGTCTAAAGCCTCCAGTGGCCTCTTATTGCCTATAAATTTAAATCCCTTAGTATGGTATTTTATGACTTTAAATAGTAATCTGGTCTCCCATCATTAAATTATCCTCATCCTTCATGCTATCATCTCCCATTACTATAGTCACACTGGGCCAGTTAAAATTCAGCAAACACATCATGCAGGCTCATGCTTCTGTGCCTTAATACATATGTAATAAATGCAACAGTACAGCATTGTTGTTTTTCCCCCCATTAATTGGTCAGTTGTCTTTCAAAGAACTTAAAATTAAAAAGGTTGCTTTTTCATATTATCCAAATATTTACCATTTTCAATGAACTTAATTTCTTCCTATAGGTATGAATTTCTTTTTTTAAAGTTTATTTATTGATTGAGAGGGGGGAGAAGAGAGACAGACACACAGAGAGATTTATTGTTCCACTTATTCACGCATTCATTGGTTCCTTCTTGTATGTGCCCTGAGGAGAGATCGAAGCTGCAACCTTGGCACTCTAACCAACTGAGCTACTTGGCCAGGGTTGGTTTGAATTTCCATCTAGTATTATATCACTTCAACCTATAAAACTTCCTTTAGCATTTCCTGTGATGCAGGTCTACTTGTCCTGAGTAAAATATCTTTATTCTATGCTCATTTTTGAAGGATATTTTAGTTAGATATAGAATTCTGGATAGACAGGCTTTTGGGAAGGGTGGGAGGTGTTTCTGTTTTCAGCCTTAAAAAATACTGTTCCACTGTCACCTGGATTTCACTGTTGGTGATGCAAAGTCAGCTGTCACTGTTACTATTGTTTCCTTATATTTAATGTATTTTTTCCTCCAGCTATTTAAATTTTTTTCTTTATTTTTTAGCAGATTATTATATGGTCCCTATTTTTTAAAGTTCATTTTTAGAGAGATAGGAAGGGAGAGGGATAGAGAGATAGAAACACTGACAAGAGAGAAACATCCTGCACGCCCCAACTGGGGATTGAGCCCACAACCTGGGCATGTACCTTGACCAGGAAGTGAACAGGTGACCTCTTGGTTCATGTGTCAAAGCTCAGCACTGAGCCAAACTGGCCAGGCTGGCTCCTGTGTTTTTATTCTGCTTGGGGTTTTCTGAGTTTCCTGGATCTGTAAGTTGGTATTTTTAAATAAGATTGGGGAAATGTGGCCAAAAAGTAGAAATAATCCAAATATCCATCAGCTGATAATGAATACATAAAATGTGCTATATACATATAATAAAATATTATTTGGAAATAAAAATGAAACACTAATATGTTACTGCAACATGGATAAACCTTAAAAACAGCAACTGAAAAAAGCAAAAGACTCCATATGTGTAATTCCATTTATATGAAATATCTGAATAGACAAATCTATAGAAACAAAGTAGGACTGGTGAGGATAAGGGAGTGACTATAATGGATTGCAAGGTTTCTTTTAAGGGTGACAAAATGTTCTAAAATTGTGCAGATGGTTGCATAACTCTGTGAATACACTGGAAGCCAATGAATTGTATTCTTTAAATGGGTGAACTGTATGGCATGTGAATAATATGTCAATATAGCTGTTATAAAAAGAAGCAACAGAAGCAGTAGCAGCTGCAGCAATTGGACTTCCTAACGCACAATTCTGGGTTTTAAATATTATGATTAATATTTCATAATTTTTAAATTTTACATTTATATGGTTTTAAATATTATTTATTTAAATAAATTAAATGGCTTTTAATTGCCCTGTGGGTTTTTTTTTTGGGTGCTTCTAATGAACACAACCAATATAATAACATCAAATAGTACGTGTAGACATGGATTTTAAAATGACATGTAACTGAATCCTCATATTTAATGAAGTCATCAAAATAGTTTTAAATAAGGCTTTATAGCCGAAACCGGTTTGGCTCAGCGGTAGAGCGTCGGTCTGCGGACTGAAAGGTCCCAGGTTCGATTCCGGTCAAGGGCATGTACATTGGTTGCGGGCACATCCCCGGTAGGGGGTGTGCAAGAGGCAGCTGGTCGATGTTTCTCTTTCATTGACGTTTCTAGCTCTCCCTTCCTCTCTGTAAAAAATAAATAAAATATATTAAATAAATAAATAAATAAGGCTTTATAGCTTATCACTATTTAGTATCTATTTTCTCACATGATTTTTTTTTCACAACTCTGAGGTTGTCAGGAAAGGAGGTATTATCCACATTTTTCAGACCAGGAAATTGAGGCTCACAGAGTAACACATACACTCTTAGTCCAATGTAACACATATAGTTCACTTACTTAGGAATTTTAACTATAACTCTAGTATTCTTTTACAGTATTTAAAAAAACCAATTCTCGTTATCTTCTTTTTCTCTTTTTTTAACTATCTTTATTTAAAATTTAAATTCTTCATTGTTGAAAGTATTACATATGTCTCCTTTTTTTCCCATTGACCTCTCCCCAGCCACTCCCACCCCCTATCACATGTCCCTGCTCCATTACTCTTCTTTTTCTCTTAATTCACTTTTTCTAGTGCAGAGATTTTTTTTTCTCCTTTTTCATTAATATATTAAATGCCACAGAAAAAAAGCAGAGTTAAGGGTAAACAGAAATATAATCACTTTCTTTAATTCCTATTTCTGGGAAATAGAGAGTTGGAGCACTGCCCAGTTGGAGCAAATTTTTAGCACTGTTTTCTCCAAATAATTCCATGGTTACTTTCATTTAGATAAACCAATTTATGAGCAGAGAATAATTTTTAACATCTACTAATAAAGTCTAATTGTATTTGTTAGACATGAATATATATTAAAAGTCTCCAATGTATTCTGTTCAGTTACCAGGTCAGTAACTATTGTACTTTTATATAGTTTTTTTTGTACTAAAGGTTTTGTCTAATAAAAAGAATATGATAGCCCTAACCGGTTTGGCTCAGTGGACAGAGCGTTGGCCTGCAGACTCAAGGGTCCCAGGTTAATTCCAGTCAAGGGCATGTACCTTGGTTGTGGGCACATCCCCATTAGGGGGTGTGCAAGAGGCAGCTGATCGATGATTCTCTCTCATCAATGTTTCTAACTCTCTATCCCTTTCTCTTTCTCTCTGTAAAAAAATCAGTAAAATATATTTTAAAAAAGAATATGATATCTGTAGTCATTCATTAATATGGACTGATATGAAAAGATCTCTATTCCTGGCAAACAACTTAAGTCAGATCTGTATATATCTATGTATTCTCACAACAGTTCCCACATTAATTTCTCTACTCCAAGGCAGAGTGGGATAAATTACTATGACCTGAAGTAAAAAACTAAGAAGGATTAAGAGACACAGGCAAAAAGCAGATATCAAACTTTTGATGCACACCTTTGAGTTATAGTATACTACAAAGAACCCCAAACTAGGAGTTAGAAAACATGAGTGTGAATCTTGATTCTTGGTTATCTGTGCGATGTTGAGCAAGTCATTTTATCTCTGATCATTCTTTTCCTCATCTTTACAATGAGGTTGAAAATAATTTTTTTTTGCCTCTTATTACCCAACCTTACAGTGTGTGTCAAATAACATAGAGTCTATGAAACGACAAAGTCCTATGCAAATGTAAAGTAACATATGCACATACTAGAGTGTGTGTGTGTGTATGTACATGTCTATATGTATGCATAAATACTCAGCTACTCTCCAATATTAGTTAAGTTTCACTAATAATTGATGGTCTAATTCAATAAGCTATTCAACAAATATTGTAAGACACTATGGAGTTAAAGATGAACAAGTCATAGTCTCTGACTTCTAAGAATTCACAATTAAGAAACAAAATTAAACATAAATAATTATAAAGGAATAAATAAGGTAATAAGGGTAACTACCAAATTCTGCTAGAGTCAAACAAAAAAGGTAAACTCATCCTTCTTGAGGAAAAGGGAGAAATGTCAGAAAGAAGGTTAACAACTAGGCTTAAAAGAAGAGGATGAGTTGCTTATATCTATTCAGATACATGGGCTTCACAACAGAACCCAAAGAACCACAAGATCTGTATTACAATGGGCTCTGCCTTCAATATTCAAACTAATACTTGATCTCCTTAGGCTTGTCTAACCATGAGTCTAAAATGAAAGTTCAAATAAGAAACTCATTAGTTCTTCTAGCTCTAAAATTACATTATTCTATTAGTGAAACTCTGGTCTTTGTACAAATACCAAGAAAGAGAACTCAAGAGGGTAATAAAATAGCCAGAGTTCTCCCATTATCTACTTTTTCTTGGAATTTAAGTCTGAGAATGATATTCATCTCTACCTAGAAGAAGCTCTAGCATGGTGAAGAGTGGAAACTGGGGTAACATTAAAAGGCCAAGAGCCAAACAATGCAGGTAGATAGCAGATAGTGAGTGAAGCATTCAGTTTATTTATTTTTCATTTTTTATTAAGGTATTATATGTGTGCATATCTTACCATTAGAAGCATTCAGTTTAGCAAAGATGTTGCTTTGACTAATAAGGAAATAGGCAGTGGGTAGAAAGTTACAATGTTTATGTTCCTATTTACTAAGAAAAACTTGAAATAAAACCATAACAAGATATTAAAATGTACAATTCCATAAAATGAGGTTGTTGTTGTTTGAAGTTTTGCCTTATTAAACTACTTTTAAAAAAATATATATATATATTTTTTTTTATTGAATTTTTTTACAGAGAGTAAGGGAGAGGGATAGAGAGCTAGAAACATCGATGAGGGAGAAACATCAATCAGCTGTCTCCTGCACACCCCCCACAGGGGATATGCCTGCAACCAAGGTACATGGCCCTGACTGAAATCAAACCCGGGACCCTTGAGTCCGCAGGCCGACGCTCTATCCACTGAGCCAAACCGATTTTGGCTATTAAACTAGTTCTTAAAAAAAACAGTTATAAAAGGTCAGTTTAGGAATTTTCAAAAAAAGGATCAAAACCTAAACACATACAACTGAATTAATTTAAAAAATGGGACCAAAGGTGGAAATTGTCAGATATTTTACTTAACCAAATGTTTATTAAACTATGTTTAACAGTGTTAGTTGTTGTAAAACACATAGTCCCAGTTCTCAAGGGGTTCACTGACCTGATATCAAGACCTTAAGGAAGAGAGAATAGTAACTCTTACCCATCAATTATATTTTCAGGGGGGTGTTTTTCATCACTTGATGTAGCTAAAATCACTTCAGTCCCTTCAGAGCTTGAACAGAGATCAACTTTTCTCATCTTAAACTGTTTAACCTGCAAATAAATAACAACAAAAGCTACTTCTTGATTCTCTGCACTTTATCGGAGAAAAGGAAGCGAGAAAGCCTGTTGCCTAGCACACAGCTTAACAGCCAAGCTATTCAACAAGTGGGAAGGACTCTAACATGTTTATTTACATAAGTAAACTTTGGACCTCTCCCAGGAATAACCTGTAAAATATGAGTATTTCCACTACACTATCCCACAAAACAAGTCCCTGACTTCACTGACATAATTTTTCTGGTTCAAAAATTAAAAGCCCTCAATAATTATAGAGAAAAAGCTAAGGTGACGCAAGTGAATTAATTTATTTATAATTACTTAAATTATTATAATTCTGAAATTATTTTTAAAAACCTGGAGCATAAAACAGATTTTTTTGTGACTATCAATACATTTATCAACTGAAATAGCAAGCAATATTATTTATATTTTAAACAACATCATCTTTTTTTTTTTGAGCAGAAATGTAAGAGAGAAGACGTCCTTTTACTTATTTTCAAATTCTAAATCACTCATGTTGGTCATGGACTTAAAAACATTTTAAGTTTAGTAGAAGCATCTTGAAAGACAGTATTGAGCTCTACTATGAACACTGGTGGGTAAAATAGAGAAGGAAGACAGAGATGGTTCTGTCAGCTCTCACTTACCCTCCTCCTTGATCTGGTGGTGATAGGGCAAAAATTTATAGATGCAAAGTGACTGGAAAAGCTGTATCTACAAAGAATTAAAAGAGTTTAGAAAACTGAGGAAGATGTCCAATACCCTTCACACACTGATCCCAATCTTTAAAAAAAAATAAAAATAAGACAATTACAAATATACAAAGGACAAAGTACAGAGATTGTTATATATATTAAACAATTATGCATTAGTGCCCTGAGGTAATAAATGTTAACATTTTTGCCATATCTACTTAAAAAAATTCTTTTTGAGATATATGTAGCCCCTTCCTGGCCCAGAAGCAATAGCTATTCTAAAATTGATGAATATGCCTCATGACTATATATATATATATTTTTTTAATTGATTTTTTACAGAGGAAGAGAGAGGGATAGAGAGTTAGAGACATCCATCAGAGAGAAACATCGATCAGCTGCCTCCTGCACACCCCCTACTGGGGATGTGCCCGCAACCAATGTACATGCCCTTGACCGGAATCGAACATGGGACCTTTCAGTTCACAGACCGATGCTCTATCCACTGAGCCAAACCGGTTTCAGCTTGACTATATTTTATACTATTATCATACCTATATCTCCATAAATAATATGTACTATTCTTTGAAAACTTGGATGGTTCATTTTGCTACTTTTTAAAAAATCCTCACCTGAGGAGTGAATATATTTTTCCCAATGATTCCTAGAGAGAGTGGGAGGGGAAAGAGGAGGAAAAGAGAAGCATTGATGTGTTAGAGACACATCAATAGGTTGCATCTCTCCGTGCTCCTGGGCCAGCATTGGGGATCCTGCCTTCAATCAAGGTACCTACATGCTCTTGACCGGAATCAAACTCACGACTTTTCAGCCTGTGGGCCGATGCTGTAACCACTGAGAAAATCTGGCCAGGGCAAAAAGACTCTCTTTATAGGAGTAAAATTGCAGAAACTTAGAATCAGCATATTTTTAAGTTAATAATTGATCAATTTGATCTCTAAATTATAACAAGTTTCATTGCCATAAGCATTGTATGAAAGTTCCTGCTTCCTCCAAGTCTAACCACAATCTATGGTGTTAGACTTTTGGCTATAGTCAGTCTCATTGGTGTGAATGGTATCTCCATAAAGTTTCAATTTGTATTTCCATGATTATTAGTGAAGCTGAATACCATTATCACATTTATGGGCCATTCAGGCCGCTTCCTCTGTTATTTGCTTTTTCTTATCCTTGGCTCATTTTTTTATTGGGTTGCTCTAAAAAAAACTTTTTGTCCATTTCTTTTTTATTTGTAGGTATTTTTAAAATAAAATATTCAGGATAGAATTCCATTATTATATGCTGTAAATATCTAGTACTCCCGTGGTTTGATTTTTTCTGTAACTTTGTTTTTTTGTGTAGGAGTCTCCCCACCTCACACACACACTTTTTTTGTTATTGAACTATAACATATATGTAAAAAAGCACACAAATCATAAATTAGCACAACAAATTTTACAGGGTAAACTCACCCCAGTAACCACTACCTACATAACTGCTACCCAGGAAAAGAACTAGAACATTATCCGCATTTAAGAAGCCCTTTCTATGGCCTCTTTCAATCACTCATCCTCCTTCATGGCCCTCATTTCTAACTACAGATTAATTTTGCCTGAACTTTACATTCATGGAATCATACAGATTATACTCCTTTGTATCTGGCTTCTTTCACTCATTATTCGGTTTTTGAGATTTATTCATGTGGTTGTGTGTAGCTGAGTTAAAGGGTAACTAAGTAAAGTGCATCTTAACCCTCACCCTGTTTAACTCCTAATAAGATTTTTTTTTTTAAATCAGCCCCTAAATAGAGTTTCAGAGGAAATTGGTGTGAACTGAAAAGCAAAAAATTTCTGTGATATCAGGTACTTACATCCCCAAACTCTGATGAAGGAGAGACCTAATCTCACTCCCAAATATCTGAAATCAGAGGTAAACTGAACTATTGGATTTTTAAAAATAGATTTTTACGGATTTCAGGGAGGAAGGGAGAGGGAGAGATAGAAAGCTCAATGATAGCAGAGAATCATTGACTGGCTGCCTCCTGCATGTCCCCAGACTGGAGATTAAGCCCACAATCCTGGCATGTGCCCCTGACTAGAATCGAGCCAGGGACCCTTCAGTCTGCAGGCCAACACTCTATCTGCTGAGCCAAAACCAGCCAAGGCTAAACAGAACGAAGACTAGAGGCCCAGAGCATGAAATTCGTGCATGGGTGGGGCTGTCCCCTCAGCCCAGCCTGCATTCCTCCAATCTGGGATACCTCAGGGATGTCCGACGGCCGGTTTAGGCTGGGTTTGGGCCTAAACTGGCCGTCGGACATCCCTCTCACAATCCAGGACCGCTGGCTCCTAATCGCTAACCTGCCTGCCTGCCTGGTCGCCCCTAACTGCCTCACTCCCGCTGGCCTGGTCACCTCTTACTGCCCCCGTCCCCCCTGCCAGCCTGGTTGTCCCCAACTGCCCCCCTCTGCCAGCCTGGTCACCCCTAACTGCCCCTCGCCCCCTGCCGGCCTGGTAACTCCCAACTGCCCCCCTCTGCCGGCCTGGTTGCCCCACGCAGCCTGCTGTTCAGTCGTTTGGTCGTTCCTCACTAACCCTCCCTGCCAACCTGGTTGCCCCTCGCAGCCTGCTTGTTCAGTCGTTTGGTCATCCCTCATTAACCCCCCTGCCGGCCTGGTTGTAGGCAGTCATCTTGTGAAGGCATGGTGGTCAATTTGCATATTACCTCTTTATTACCTAAGATTAACCAAAGAATTTACAATATATGCATATATGCATAACCTATGGATACAGACAATAGTACAGTGAAGACCTGGGGAGGGGGCATAATCGAGGTGGATTGGCTCAATGGGGGAATAAAGGGGGGCAGCAATAAAATTGTTTTAAAATTATATGCTGTGTCTATTCATTTAAACACAATGTCCAATATACAAAGTCATTTGAAGCAGATCTGTAGATGACCCAGGTGCTGGAATCAGCAGACATAGATAAAAATGACTGCTATATATTTGTTAGAGAATTTAGTGAAAATATGGACAAATGGGTGAACAAAAGGGAATTTTAGCAGAGAAACCGAAACTCTAAAAAAGAGCAAAACAGGAATTCTAGAACTGAAAAGTACATTACCTGAAATAAAAATTTTATCAGATGAGCTCAACAGCATAAAAAAGGATCAGTGAACTTAAAGATGGGCCAATTGAAATGATCCAAAATGAAACAGAGATATACAGTACATGAAAATAATAGAAAAGTTATCAGAAACCTGAGAAACATTATCAAACTATTCTGAAATACATGTGATTGGAGTCTCAGAAGGATAGAGAACAGTGTAGATGAAAAATTTGAAGAGATATGGCAGAAATTTTTCCCAAACCTGTGAAAGATATAAGCCCAAGATCAAGAAGTTCATGAACCCTAAACTGGATAAATACAAAGAACATTCCACCTAGACATCTTAGTCAGTTGATGAAAATTAAAGAGGGGAAAAACAAAGCAAAAAACACATTACACTTAGGTGAACACCAGGAATCAAAATTGACTTCTTACAACCGACTTGTGTGGTTCAGTGGGTGTTGACCTGTGAATGTTTGATTCCAGGTCAGGACATATACCCAGGTTGTGGGCTTGATACCCAGTGTGGGGCATGCAGGAGGCAGCCAATTAATTATTTTTCTCATTACTGATGTTTCTATCTCTTTCTACCTCCCCCATTATCTCTGAAATCAGTAAAAGATATTTTAAAAGATAGGGGTTATTTGATCCTGTAAGCCTAATAAAGTGTTTATAGATGTATATTTTTACTATTTCAAGTTCAAGAGTTCTTTCAAGTTTTCTACACCTTTTTTGAAAAATTACTTTGAGAGAGACAGGAAGGGAGAAACACTGATTTGTTATTCTACCCATTCATGCATTCATTGGTTGAATCTTATATGTGCCCTGACAAGGGATCGACCTTGTGTATTTGAATGATGATCTAACCAACTGAGCTACCCGGCATGGGCAAGCTTTCTACACTTTTTTGAAACAACTTTGAAATTTATATTTTATAGAAAATTATCCATTTCTTCTTAGTTTTTATATTTATTGGCATAAAATTCATTTTTATTGTGATTTTGAAATTTAGTATGACAATATTAAATTGTGGTAAGGCTGGTCAAGAAGAAGGCATATATTCTAACATTTTTTTATTTGTGCATTTTTCTTGCTTTTATCACTACTGGTATCAAAGGAATGGTATTAGATAAACATTAACCCTTAGTTTGAGGAGATTGTGAATTCCTAAAAATAACAGATTGATTAAGTTGGATGCTAATTCTCAACAAAATTATTAAATTTCATTATTAAAATTATGGCTTTGAAAAGGTAAACAAGAATGTAGTAAAATAGGAAGTAGCAGTAACTTTAGGTCACAAAAGTTACACCATATCTGTACATTTGTTTGTTTAATGGAGTCACTACCAATTAGGGATATTTTCTGAACATTTCAACAAAACTTCAGATAAAGCTTCTCAAGATATCCTGTGGACCAGCCGAAACCGGTTTGGCTCAGTGGTAGAGCGTCGGTCTGTGGACTGAAAGGTCCCAGGTTTGATTCCAGTCAAGGGCATGTACATTGGTTGCGGGCACATCCCTGGTAGGGGGTGTGCAAGAGGCAGCTGGCAGATGTTTCTTTCTCATCGACGTTTCTAGCTCTCTATCCCTCTCTCCTCCTCTCTGTAAAAAATCAATAAAATTAAAAAAAAAAAAAAAGATATCCTGTGGACCAGATGGAGAAATGTGGGCTGGCTGACAGGTGGTACTTTAGGTAGATATTTATAACTTTCTGAATGGCTATCCTAAAAGAATGATGATTAATAGAACAAAATAATACTTCTGTGGAAGACCTCTATCCTTATTCCCATTTAACATTTTTATTAACTAAGGATGCTTATAAATTTGCAGGTGACACAAAATGGCTAATATGCCAGATGACAGAATCAGCACACAAAAGGATCTGAGCAAGCCAGAAATATGGGTTGAAAGCAATAAGATATCATAAGGATAAAAGTATATAAGCCTATTTATTCAGACTTAACCAATTCTAGCCTGCCACCTGTTTTTGTATGGCCCATGAGCTAAAAATGCTTTTTTAAATAATATACTAGAGGCCCGGTGCATGAATTTGTGCATCAGTGGGTTCCTCAGGCTGGCCTGTGGGATAGGGCCGAAACTGGCTCTCCAACATCCCCCGAGGGATCCCGGATTGTGAGGGCACAGGCCAGGCCAAGGGACCCCACTGGTGCACAGTTGGGGCACGGTAGGGAAGTAGGAGGTTGGCTAGCAGGGGAGGGACAGTGAAAGGGCTCCAGGGTGTGTCTGGCTCATCTAGCTCAGTCCTATCGGTTGGAGTGTTTGCCCCCTGGTGGTCAGTGCATGTCATAGTGAGTGGTTGAGTGGCCTTAGCATATCATTAACATATTATGCTTTGATTGGTTGAACGGACAACAGAACAACTGAACACTTAGCATATTATGCTTTTATTATATAGGACTAGAGTCCCAATACATGAAGTTCATGCATGGGTAGGGTCCCTGGCTGCTAGCTGGGGGCCTCCCTTCCAGCCCTGTCCCCTGGTCAAACTCAGTTGAGGGGACAATTTGCTTATTAGGCTTTTACTGTATAGGATAGGTTTGGTTCATTACAAAGTCACTCTAAGGCAAGAGTGTACTATATCTGCTCCCAAAGGTAGTTGCACGCCATTACATTTTTAGGCACTGTGCTAGTAATGCAAAGATGACTATAACCTAAGACAATGATAGTGAATAAAACTTGGTTCTTGCCTTCAAGCTCAGAGTCAAGGAAGATGGACAAGCATGCATATAGTATGTTATATGCTAAAAGTGTGATCTACATCCAGAATGCTGTGTTCAGTTTTGAATATTACATTTTAAAATATGTTTTTATTGATTTGAGAGAGAGAAATGGAAAAGGATAGAGAGATAGAAACATCAATGAGAAAGAAACATCATTGATCAGCTGCCTCCTATACGCTCCCACTGGGGATCAAGCCCACAACCTGGGCATGTGCTCTGACCAGGAATTGAACCGTGACCTCTTGGTTCCTAGGTTGATGCTCAACCACTGAGCAAGACCAGCTGAACTAGGTAGTACATTTTAAGTAGGACATTATCAGGCTTGATATTGTCAGAGGAGAGCAAGAAGTTCTGATAATCTATAAACTATGTTACATGGATAAAGCTAAAAGAATAGGGGCTGAAACATTTTAAGAAATGAAAGAGAGATGACTGCAATTTTTAATATCACAAGTGTTCACAAATGGGAAAAAAGATTAGAATTTTTCTTTTATAAATAGACTTAACAAATGTGAATTTTAAGCAGGAAGACATCATAGACAGAACTTTCTGGAAAAGTAAATATTTTAAATCTTTTCCATCTCTGAAAGTGTCCAAGAAGACTAGGTAATAATCTATGAAGGAAACTAAAGAAAGAATTCTCCATTTGATGGTTCTTTCAGATCCAATCAAATTCTAGGAAAGGTAGATTGCGAACACATAATGAAGGATCTTAAAAGTCAGGTTAAAGGCAATGGATTTACATAAATAAATAAATAAATAAATACAATAAGTTTTATCCTGTAATCCCAATTTTTCTTCACAACATTTAACAATGTCTAGAGACATTTGGACATTCACAACTTGGAATGGAGTGTGATACTACTGGCATATAGTGGGAATTTTGTGATGCTGCTAAATATCCCATTATGCACAGGACAGTCCACCACAATAAATAATTATCTGGCCTAAAATGTAAATAGTGCAGAGGTGGAATGACGGTGTGGTAATCTATCTGGGAGTGGAAATGTGGGGGTTGGAGACTTAGGGAGAAAACTTGCTTTTAAAAAGTTATATTTTAGGGCAGTGATGTTCATCTCATGGCACACATAAACTAATTACTAAAATTCTGCAGCACACCAAAAAGTATATATTTTTTGCTGATCTGATTAAAAAAAATAGGCATAACTTTGACTCATTTACACCAAAGGGCTATTGTGCTGGCTGTCATTTTTTCACTTGGCACTCTAAGGCAGGTTGGGGAACATCCGAACCATGGGCCATCTGAGGCCTGAGAAATCATTTGGTCTGGCCTCAGGGGTGAATTAATCCAATGTGTGACCAAATATAGCAGGCTAATTTTTAAGTTGATAATTTTGTTCGGCCAGGACCTCCAAATGGCTCTTGGGAGAAAAAGATAAATATCCAAATGGCTCTTGGGAGAAAAAGGCTCCCAACTCCTGCAAGGGAAAAGAAGTCAGTGACCCTGACTAAATAGCAAGGCATTCTTGAAGCACACCGGTTGTAAATCAGTTTTAGGGGAAAGTATCTAGATGTGTACTATATGAATAAGGAAGAGAGTGTACTCCTTCCCAAATGTTCAGTTCTTTTCTCAGCTCACAATCTTATCACCTCAGTTGTCTGCAGGAAGCAAACATGTCCTTACCTACAAAACTCTTTTTCATACTCCCTGTATCCATTAATATCCTTTCTATAGCCTGTGTTGGGTAGAATTGTTTAAATAACGAGTAATATATGGCAGAAGTTGGGTTCTCTATAAGATCCTTTGTTGTGGTTAATAAGAAAGAGGCAAACCAAACCCAAAAGAAACCATTGGAACAACTCAGCTGGTATGTTGCTTCCACAACTCCCAAATGCAGGTTTGGGGGTGTAGTCCAATCTCATCCTGGGGTGCCTTACTCTAAATACACTTATTCCCTTACGGCCTCAGTTTACCACAGGTTGTGCACGCTGAGGTGCTATCCTTTGCATTTTTAAAGATCCCTGGCCTGGACCTCTCTGATATCTTGACCTCTAAATCCAGAGCCACTTCACCATCCATTCATCTCCAGTTCCCATGCCCTGCCGGTCCTTCTTTCCCCAAACCTCTCCTGGTTCGTCCTCAGAAGCTTTCTCCTCACTTTCTCCCCAACCAGCCCCTTTCTCCCTAACCACACCCTTTCCATAGCATCCGCTGGGAGCTTCTGAGTAAACGAGAAAACAGCTCTCCTGTCCCCAGGGCCAGTCTGTTTGCTCTCCCTTGCGGGGCAAACCTGCCCTGACACCGCCTCTCGCCTCCATCCCAAACAAACGCTCCTCCCAAGTCCCAGGCCACTTCAAGACCTCCAGGAGCCCTAAACATTCCTACTGTTTTGGACGACACGCTCCAAATTATATAAACTGCATTCATGAACTCACAGCCTACATGAAATCTGGTAGATGTATTCATTGCAATATTTTTTCCCTTTCGGGAGTCAAAACATTATTTCAAAGCTCAAAAAATGTCGTGGGCTGGCATTCATGTCTCCAGGGCGAAAGACCTTCGTCAGACTTTTCCCATTAGAGTCCCCTCACCCGCCGCCCCATAGCGCCCTCCCGCCTCCCCGCCCCGCCCCCGCCCCCGCGCCGCGCGTCCCCCCACGATCCCCTCCGCCTTCGCCCTCTTCCCTCTCCACCGGCGCCGCCCTCGGCCAGCCCGGTTCCCACCTCCCCCGGTGCCTGCCCGGCCCGCTCGCCTGGACCTCGGGTGAGCTCCGCGACGGTAGCCCGTAGGGTTAGGGGCGCTCCCTTCTGCCCAGCCCCCAGCCCCGCCCGCCCTCGTCCCCGCCCACTCTTCCCGCCCCCGCGGAGTTCGCGGTCCGCGCACTTCACCCGCACTCTCCGCCCCGCCCGCGCGGCCCCGCCCCGCCCGCGCGGCCCCGCCCCGCCCGCGCGGCCCCGCCCCGTCCCTGGCCTCCTCTCCTCGGCTCCGCACCGGCCTGGGCCTCCACGGAATTCCCGAGCTCCCGCACCATTCCGCTCTGGGTTCGCACTCCGCCCCGCCCTCAGGCCCCGCCCAGACCACGCCCCCAGGCTCGTTTCCACTGCGCTCCGCTGAGCTGCGCTGAACCGCCCACGGGCCTTGATCGAGGCGGGGCCTCCCGCTCCCCAGCTCGGCTCCGTCCCCAGGGGCCTGTGAGACCCAAGGGACCCGCCCCCGGGCCAGCGCGCACGCGCGGTCCCCACCTCCCCGCGCTCTGAGCCCTCGGCCCTCAGGTCGCCGGCCCAGGGCCCGGCCCCGCCCCAGGCCCGGCCCGGCCCCGCCCCAGGCCCGGCCCGGCCCCGCCCCTCATGCCGGGTCCGCGCACGCGCGTCTCCCCTGCCCAGCCTACCCCTAGCCCCTGTCAGCCCCGCGGCCCCGCGGCGCTAGGTCGCCCCCAGCCCCTTCCCTCCTCCCATCCTTTCTCCGTCCCACCCTCCGGAGCTTTGTGCCCGGGGAGCCGAGCCGCTTCCTCTCTCTGCCACGCCGCGGGAGGAGGGAGCTGCCACCGACGAGCTGCAGCTCGCTGCCCCGGGCAGGGGCACAGGTAGGTGGCGGCCGCGGGCCGGGCCGCTGTCGGAGCCCTGGGCCGCGAGTGGGGGCGGGGGCGCGGGGTGAGGGAGGGGCGGTGGGGGAGGGGAAGGCCGTGAGGGATGCGGTTGGGGTGTGGTTGGGGGAAAGGTGTGAAGAGGATGATATGGGGGGGGTTGGAAGATGGGTTTAAGGGTGAGGTAGTAGTGCTGGAGTTGGGTATGGGGACGTGTGAGAATTGGGGTTCGGGGCGGGGTGGGAGAAGGGAACCGGATTTTTTTTGGGGGGGGCGGATTCGGGGAGGGGCATGCGTGGGAATGTAGAGAAATGGAGAATGGCAGTGCTGGGAGTGCAAGGAGGGAAGGATCTAGGGTTGAAACAGGAGAAAGGGTGGGGTCTGGAGGGCAGAGAAGAAAGAAGTTGGGGCTGTGGGTTGTGAAGTTGAGCACAGGGAAGCCTGAAGGAAGGGGATTTTGAAGATTGAAGGCAGGAGGAGGAGAGAGATGGAGAGATTTGGATCTCAGGAGAGGGAATCCCAGAGTGGGGAGGAAGGGAAGAATAGGTGGGCATGGACAGAGTAGATGGGGTGCCTGGATGAGAGTGGGTGGGGTGGGATGATGTGGGAATAAGAGGGAGGCTGGTGGTGGTGGTGGGATTGGGTCTGGGGACCGGGAGCCCAGTTTCAGGAGGGCCAGGGAAGGATTAGAAGGGCATAAGGTTTGAGAGGTGTGGGCAGAGGAGCCGAGAGTGGGCGAAGGAAAGAGGGTTTGGGATTTTTTTTCCCTGTAGAAATTGGATTTTTGGGTGAGAAGCTCTAAAGTTAGCAGGTAGGAAAATGAAACTTTAAGTCTGAAGATGTGGGCGAGATTGGTGTGTTCCTGGAGAAAACGAGGGAGCAGTGGGGTATGGTACAGTCCTCTGGAGCTTGAGAGAGAAAAAGGTATGGGTGAGAAGGCAGGTAGGAAAATGCACGCTACAGGGGAAAAGGATAGAGAGAGGAACTGAAAATTGGAAAATGGTGGCTGACACAGAACAATGGAGGTAAGATTGTTAGTTGCTTATTCATGGGTTGGAACTAGTTTCTGTTCAGGTTTTTAGGTTGGAAATGTTCTCAGGAATTCTGCATTTTCAAGTGAACCAAGGGTGTCTGCAGCCTTAAGATGAAGGCCATGAGTAGACATGTTTTTCTGGTGTGTGGATGTGGGTGATTGCTGCCCTGGCAGAAGGAAGAAGGGAGGCCTCAATGTAGCTCTCTGTCCTGGCTCTGTTCCCACCAACTCTTTCCTCAAATGTCCACTGTTGTTTTTGTGTGTGTGTTTTTAAGTCTCCTCCCAGTCCTTCCATCCTCCCAGCTTGAGCCAGTGAATACCAGAGGAATCAAACAGGTGGGTGAGGTTAATTTTTTACATATTTTTTAATCCTTCAGGCTTATGTCATAGTTTTATTTTTTAAAATATATTTTATTGATTTATTACAGAGAGGAAGGGAGAGGGATAGAGAGCTAGAAACATCGATGAGAGAGAAACATCGACCAGCTGTCTCCAGCACACCTCCTACGGGGGATGTGCCTGCAACCAAGGTACATGCCCCTGACTGGAATCGAACCTGGGACCTTTCAGTCCGCAGGCCGACGCTCTATCCACTGAGCCAAACCGGTTTCGGCATACTTTTATTCTTGAAAGACAGCATCAGGCAGTGGAAAGAGCTTGAATTTTGGAGTATCACAGCCTTGAGGTTTAATGCTGGCTTGTCACTTACTAGATACGTACTTTAAGTTACGTAACTTCTCTGAGCCTCTTCATCTGTTAAATGGCAATCTTGACCTAATAAGATTGTTGAAGATTCCATGTCATCATTTAATATAGTACCTAGCACAGTGCTTGACAACTGGTAGATCCTTAATAAATGGTAGCTATCATACCTACTGCCATTATGATGGGGATTATTAACTTACTTTACCCACTGTTTTCTTCTCTTTCTCTTCAAATTAGATATCCATAGACTCAGATCACAATTTTAATCCTGTTGCTTTGCTCTCCCCCCTCCAAACTCCAACTTGTCATGAGAATAAGGCATTTCCTTATTCTCATGCTTTCTGCTTGGTAAACTGGCATCAAGTTCTAAAAAGCTATCATGTTTAGTTATCATTTCTTTTATTTTGCCTCTTATTCAAAGAGGCTGCAGAGAACTGTGTTATTAATGTAGTAAGATTATATTTTACTCATTGGATGAAATTATATGCTGCATGGTATTGGTTCGTTTATGGTGGCCAAATGCTACAACATGCATTATTGTGATATTCTTCTACAATGTTGTATGGGTTACCAAACTGCCTCTCTGTAGGAAGCTGGGAAACTATTAGAATGCCCATTACTCTGTTGATCTAATATAAAAGATAGCTAATGCAGATCTACAGTGGACATGGTTATCCTTAGAGATACTGATTATTTTAATTTTCCAGTTTCTATGGTTTTTGCCATGGTTTGTCCCCTGAGGAGACCCATTCATAATAGACCACGCTGAACAATAGCCAGGTGGAAGAAAAAACCAAGTACAGAAGCTGTGTGTGGAGTTCTCTTGCATTTATTATCTTGAAAGATTTGAATACAAAGGTTGTAATTTTTAGATAATTTTGTAGTACCTCACAGATTCTCAGGAGGGTCCTTATTGGGAGAATGCAAGGTGCACAGATTCAGTAGTAGAAATCAAAGCTCAGCAGGATGCCCTGCACCGAGATGAGTTCCTCAAGTAGCATTGTGGAAGAGTAGAGAGGACTTGGGGTTTCTGGACAGATGATAATGGGTTTACTCTTTAGGAAATTTTGGATCTCTTTTTCATTATTTAGGAAGACAACTAGCACTTGATGAGTCTTTTAAGGCTAAAATATAGCCATAACTATGCCCTTTTTTGAAAATGATCTCTGGAAGCAGAAGTTGCCAGGATTTGGGGCAGCCTGGGTTATCATCCTTTCTCCTGTCCCAAGCTGCTGTGCCCCCTGCTGGATAGAATCAGACTTTTTGATTTTCACCCAAAGTGCTCCTCCATTTGTCCATTTTACTCCAAAGTTTGTGGAAAGCAGACTTTTGGGGGTGAGGATTATGGGTAATACAGATGGGCAGATTCTGTTTCTTTGTCAAGGAGCTTATATTGTGCTGAGCCATTATAATATATTATCTTCCATTGAATTTGCCTTTCTATGAAAATAAAATCATTTCTTTTTAGGACTGTATCTGCTGTCTACTTCTGGATCTACAGGTAGGGTAGGACTCTGAATGTCTAATCATAGAGATAAAGACCAACAGGGGGCACAGCAGCTTGGGACAGTTGTAAGGATGTTAACCCAGGCTGCCCCAAGTCCTGGCAACTTCTGCTTCCAGAGATCAAGTTTGCTTTACCTCCTCAAGATTGAAGTCTGTGAGGCTGAAGGGGCCAGATTCATTGACTTCTCCTGGAAGAACTTAGAATAAGTGAGGCATCTCCTTAGTAGCAGGCTGAACACCAGCAAGACTGAGTTATAAGAGCCTGCACTGTTATAGGAGGTTTTTTCTTTTCTGGTTTGTAGATCCCCCTTCTTCCCCTGCCTTCTCCCCCCCCCCCCCCCCCCCATTACCAGTAGCAATATACTCCCATCATTTGCTTTGCTTCTACCACCTGCAAGAGGGTCTGGCAAGTGGGGGAGGAGCTGCAGCTGTTGCCTGGAAGAGGGGATGGCTCCTAGCAACAGTATCAGCAGGCCCTGCAGTCAGAACACTAAGCTTGTCTCTTTGAGGTCTCACTCTTCATCTCAGCAAATATCTGTTGAGAGCTTACTCAGCACTAGACACTATGTTAAGCCTGGGAACGAGAAACAAATCAAATAAGTGCCTTGCCTTCAGAGAGCTCACAACTTTGGGAACATTAGTAAGAGAGGAGACCGAGTACATGGTGCTAAGTGTTATGTAGAAGGAGCCAATGGTGCTTTGGGAAAAAACAGGCGTGCACTGATACAGGGGTGAGGGAAGGTTTCCCAGGAGAGGGATGGCGGTGGAAATGACGAGTAGGAATTAGCTAAGTCAGAGAAGCAGAGAAGGTGTTCCAGCCAAAGGGAGCCAAATGGGCCAAGGCCAGTGGAAAAAGAGCCCAGCCATTTACCTGGCGGTGGTACTGCTTGGTCGGAGTAGAGCATAAGGAAATGGGCGAGGCTCTTAGCCTAAGCAAGGCCCTCTTTTCTGATGTGTTTTACACACATAATTATCCTTGGGAGAAACATGGATTGTACTGATGCCCACAAGCAGGATCAACTGTTTGATCTTCAGAGAGTCAGCATT